TAAACACATGAGGTGTCACAGACTCTTGGTAAGATTTTAGGGGTAGGCAGAGAAGCTCAAAAGATTTTTTATTCACTGCAAGGGAAGGCACAAACAATACTCGGAATTATAAAAACTAATGTGATATCATTACTGTTTTATACTGCATCATGCATGCAAACCGTCCACCAGTAAACAAAAATTTCCTCTGCCTGTCAGCTTTGTTTCCTGTGAATATTTCGCAATTAGTCCGCCCGCAGCGCTACCGTCGCACGTAGATACTCTATGCCCTGATGCAAATAGTGACCCAAAGTAAAGGAAAATTCCCTCTTTGAACTGTGGCAGGGTGTAATTACTGTGCAATTGCCATGTATTATGGTTTATTTGCTGTGAAATTGCCATGAATTATGGCGTATTTGCTGTGTAATTGCCATGTATTATGGTGTATTTGCTGCGTAATGGGTGTATTATCAAAGGTAATAGTCGTAATGCCAAGGTAACGGCGTAATTGCAGGTAATGTCAAGGTAATAGCTGTAATACTTTCGGAAGGTAATAGTCGGTTGCCCATTTTCGGGAGTGAATTCCCCCTCGATCGTGTTATCATCCAGTAAGTTAAGGGGGCTCATACATGTTAAAAGCACTTTTTTGGATGTAGACGGATCAAGATTTTACAATATTTTGTCCAAAAATTTGTTTAAAAAATTGATTTTCTTTTCTATTTTTGAAAACTATTGCAGATAAAAAGCCCATTTCAGTCAATTCTACGACACTCGTAGGGATGAGTCTCCACGACTTTTCACCCACAGATTTGAGCGCGAACAAAATCTTACGAAAACCAAAATTTTAATCGTTTGGACTAAATTTTCAAAAAATGTCCAGTCAGTTTACTTTAAGCCAAAATGAAGCTCACTCAATTATCTTAAAGGGTTTTAACACAGAAATTGTAAAATCTTGATCCGTCTTACATCCTTTCTCCAGTAGGTTTGGTGCCCTTTTAACCATGAGGATGTTCCTCCTTGATAATCAGTGTTAAAACCGTGATTTGGTATGAGGTTGTTGGACTTATGATTTCAATGCAGTAGCAAAGTTATGATCCATTTATTCAGGTTGTTTGCAACATGTAAATTCAACCGCTAAGTCTCAATAACTGAGCCTGGTTCCATTTGGTTCATAAATTTTGTCGACTAACCGGAAGAACTAAGACTAAGGGGGTCAGAGAAAAGAGTAAAAGATGTGAAAACCAGGGTCAAATCCAAGGTGAAGTATTTTGGGTATGAGAGCTTCGATGCATTCGACAAAATTGCTTGAGAGTAACTGCACCCCAAGGTGGACCGAGATCTGGGATTAGGTCACGGATTCGGTTCAAACTTTGTGGGTTCAATAGGTGCTACTAGGACCTATCAACCCTAAAAGAGAAGTTAGCTAGCTCAAATAGAACCTGAGATATTTGCATTTTTCTAAATTTGACTAATTTAGCGTAAAAATGTCGCTTTCTTATTTTTCATAGTAAAAGTTGTTTGCTTAGTTGTGGTTTATGTTTCTTCTTACTATTCATAAAAAAAAAAGAAGAAAATGGTGGCAGGCCGAGTTTTGTACGTTGCTTGGTTTGGCCTACTCGAGCAATTTTGTCGAATTCATCGAAACTCTCATACCCAAAATACTCCACCTTGGATTTGATCCTGGTACGTCTCATTTCACTTCTTTTACTCTAATAAACAATTGCTATATAGTCCCAGCAGCAACAATGTCATATGAGCCAGAAAAGTCTAAAACAAAATTTTTAATTTTCTACTTTGTCCTATTTTTTGCGCTTTTGTCAAGATTGGGGCTTCTACATGACCTTGGGTGATGGGAAAGATCCTCCCTGCCCTAATTTAGATAGTATCAACTCAAACAAAGGAAATCCAAACTCAAGGTGCACTAAAAATTATAATGAAATTGTTTTGAGCAAATTTTACTAGTTTACAAGGGGTGTGGAATCTCCACAACCATTATTAAGCAATATTACAATAGTTTCATTACTTTTCACAATGAACGTTGTGAAATTTTTATTATACCAACAGGCTTCTCAGCAGAAGAATGTACAGAACTTGCACATGACATATAGTTTCGATCAAAAGTTTCATCATAGACAAATTTACATAGTGCGTGGAATGAAATTCAACTTTTTATTCATGCAATATAACAGTTGAGCATTAGATGAGAATAAATTTTCTTCGTACGTCACCATTTTAGAATTGCTTTGTTGGAAGCCAGATCTGTCGCTTAGAGCCCTGACTAATGGGCGGAAGGAGGATTTCAGCCATAAGAGGTGCTAGCACGGCGTATAGGCACTGTTAAGAAAATTCTAAAAATTCAGCAAGCACCATACATTTTCATACGAATGAGTATAAATTTCTAACTGTTGTGTTATTCACACAAAAAAAAAGGCAACTGATCGCCTTTCTTCAAGTTGTCACTTTTAGGTAAACGTGAAGAACAACGCCGTTGAGGGATCTGCCGGGGATCTGGTGGCATCCTCTTCATCATTGGCTTGTGTCCACATCGGAATCAAATTGAATCAGAATGACTAGCAATGTCGTAATGGAGGTAATCACCTGAAGAAACATAAAGTCATCTCAAAATTGTTTCCTACAACTTGTTTCAGTATCAGTCCTATACACTGTGGAAATTTGTTGTCGCTTTATGACAAAAACGTGGATGATCACTTTCAAATGATGTCATTCTCATCACAAATTGATAACATTTTCATCAAGCTCCAATACTTATTGCATGGGCGTGACAACAATGTCATCATTTGCTTTGGTGACATTGTTGTAAGGAAAATTAGCCTTGAAATTGTCATCAAGTGACGACTCAAATTTTCACAGTGTAGCACTGAATTGTATACATTTTTCAGTCGCTAACCGCTTTCATTGTGGGGAAATCGAAGTACAGCAGATCGTAGACCCCACAGCGACAGTCGTGCATCCGAACCTGTCGGCTGAATCCTTTCACCTGCATAACAACGCGAGACATCACTATCAAGGGCATTACGTCACTGGGCCATTCTACGAAAATGATGCAATTTATCAGCACGTCAGAAACATGTCTGAAATCCTGATAAAAATTCGCGCACCTCTGAAAGCTGGAATTCTGGAAACTCTTTCTAAAGTTAATGGCTTGAGCTCTTCAGAATGTGACAATAAGTTTCCTGCTTTCAGAGGTGCGCGAATTTTGATCAGGTTTTCAGATAGGTTTCTGACAAGATTCACACGAGTGTCATTTTCTCATAAAATAACAGTTCTCCTATTGTATTTACACTGCAACGAAAGACTACGCAGAAAGTAGACAAAATCTATGCAATGCATAAATTCTGACTACGACGCGTACATAGGTGCTCACTCCACTGAAACCACACCTTCACATCATAACTTACTTCTCTCCTAGTTTTGTTGGGAATTGAAGAACAATGGACCCGAAACCGGTGGAGCGTGTTGGATATCCTTAAATGCTTAAAATGGCACACAGTATGATCAACGTGGCTTAAAAGGAATCTTTTTAAATATCAGTTAAACATTTTTCCATGTGGATTTCTTTTGCAACTTATGGTTTATAGTGAAACGATTGTAGAATGGTGCCGCAAAATCCGTTCGCAGGCAAAATAAGAAAATAAGCTCAAATCGGGGATAAGTGACATTCCTATTTTCCGCTCTCTGGATTAACACTCTTAGAACCTTGCGAAGAATGTGTTCGCGTTACAAACTATTTGGTTCGCAGGTTAGGTTAGGCTTGAACTGGAAGCACGCTTGCAAACTGTTTGGAAAAGTCAGCTATACGAACACGAGAAAAGCTTGTTTGCAAGTTGTAAACTACCGATTTGCAATACGGATGCGTTCTTTGCATCATGAACAAGTCAGATTCTTCGCACACTAAAATCTTGTGGACGTTTTTACGCATAATAATGCATGCGTGGATACGTCTGTAAGGTGTGTGTAATATTATGTATCACTGGGTACATTTAACGCAGGAAGATACATAAAATGTACACAATGATGCATAAAATAGTATTATACACACCTTACGTACGATTCTGTGCATGCATAGTTATGCATTTAAAAGTTCAGGAGTTAAGTGTGTGCAAGCTTACGAACACATCGGTTCGCACGGTTTTAAGAGTACACTGCCCGTTGTGCAAGTTGCACTTCATTAGCTACGATACGCACTTACGTTTTCGAACAACTGCTGGCCCAAAACGCAGTGTACGATGAACCTAAGCAAGCAAACCATGCCCCAGATGAAGGAGCTGACGGCGTATTTGGCTAAAGTCATGGAGATCCCCCGCGCGCTCAAGATGGTCCGCAGGTACGAGAAGCCGACGAAGGAGCAGATGGAGGCCTCCATGACGGTGATGAACAGGCAGCACAGGTTGGCACCTCCGTGCGCGCGGTTGGCGGCCTGGACCACGTCCTGCAGGACCTGCTGGCGCGTGCGGAGCGTCCGCAGCTCCAGCGCGGCCTGGTTGTCCTCCTCGGGGCTCATTTCCTGGCCAACTCGCCTGCGGAGACGGCGTGGGGGTAAACGTCTCAAGAAATAGTGTACTAACTACTCGGTATCACGGTGTAGTACGTCATTGCAATGCAAAAGTTTGACACATTTGACCCAATGTTTCCTCGTGTGGACAACCTACATCACGTTTGCTGATGCGGTCTTCATGGTCCGCACCACACGTGCGACGCACAGTGTGCCAGAAGACCGGTGGAGGCGGCCAAAATTCTGGGCGCGTTTGGAGCTCCCAGTGTCGTCAAAACAGGACTCTAACCGAACGTGTGACCCCACTCATGGATTGCTCTCCAAACGAGGAGTCCATTGGTGGGGGTCACACGTTCGGTTCGAGCTCCATAGCTACTCTGGAGCTCAAAACTCGTCTAGAGTTTTGGACGCCTCCACCGGTGTTCTGGCTCACTGTGCTACATCACGTTTGCTGATGCGGTCTTCGTTGTCCGCACGACACGTGCGGCGTGAACCACGTTTGGGATTTTCAGTGGGCTTGCCTGGCCAGGGCGCGGACCTGCTTCTGGATGTCATCGGCCGTGTCCCGGCCGAGGAACGCGCAGGCGGCCAGCACGGCAGCGAACGCACTCTCGGACAGCGACATTTGGAAAGTGGGAATCATATCGCCCAGGCCGTAGGACACCGCCTTGCTCGTCATGCCCTACACAACAAGTCGCATTACAGGCCGACACCCTACACTCTCATCCTCGTACTGACTTTTTGTAGTGCTCAGTTTAGGATTGGGTCATATACTTCGATGTATGACCGAGAACTGGTCATACTTTTTTGTATCACAGAAAAAGGTTGATATACACTCCACAAAAAATGTCCTGTCAACGCCGTTAATTTATTACCAATGTTTGCTGTTATGCAATTCACGGCGTTTGCTGTGAACTAGTTCACGGCGTTCATTGTGATCTCGGTTACAGTGTTCACTGTGATCTGGCCACAGTAAACGCCGTGAATTGGAGCCTGATTTGCAGTACTTCGGTGCTCAGCGGCGTCAAACTCACAGTGTTTACTGTAGACCAGACAGAAAACACCGTGAAATATATCACAGTAAATCGCGTGAGCAGATCACAGTAAACGCTGTTAATTGACCTACAGTGAAAACTGGTATTAAATTAACGGCATTTACAGGACATTTTTGGTAGAGTGTATCTCCAAGCTAAACAAGGGCCCTCTCGCCAATGTCTGAACTTTCTTCGGTCATACATTTTGGTATGACCCTTTTTCGGTCATACATTGGTGTATGAATGTTTTTCGGTCATGCTTTATGTATCGCCGAAAATTTCTCACTCTTCGCATTTCATTGAACCCATTTCAGTGAACGCCTGTCAATCCTTCAATGTGGCAAAGCTAGGGAAAATTCTATAAACAGCTTGTGGTAATTCTCCGTAGCGCCCTTGTCAATATTCTCCGTAGGACCTAACAGAGCGATTCTCACGTTTCGGGGTAGTTTTGGCGTCTCTGATTTGCCGAAAGTGAGAAATAGTGAGAAAGTTTTTCTGATTATTGGGGTCCTGGATGATACTTGAGTTATGGCGATGGTATTTAAAGTAAAGACCTTGTACTACCTTCCTAAAAACATGAGTCATAAGGTATTCCCATACATTTTAGTGGGTGTTTTGATCACGGAACTTACGTTATCACGGAAGTTACAAAGTGTGAAAATCGGCTTTAACGGCTGACTCGGGCTTGCTGTGGCTTAAAAGTCGTTCCAGGGTCAAATGATACTCTAAGCCCGACATTTCTGCGGAAAATTTTTTCACCTAGTGCTGCTGCAACATTGGGTAAAGGGTGCCACGGAAGTTACAGGTAATTGTTGATACACGCCATTTTATAATGCTCTAGCCCGCTTTGAGACCGTGTACAGCATCTTAGATTTCCGCGACCCATGCAATTATATCCCAGGGACTCCACTTTGATGGCTTGTGTCATGGAAAGTTAAAAGTTTGGCTTGGGGAGAAGTCCAGAGCTGCCTTTTCGAAATTAGTGTAGTGAAATTGAATACACGGTGGACATTTTTCGTTGCAGCAGAAGTGCCTTTTGAAAGAAGTCTGGCGTATTGGTCTTCGGTTGAAATTACCTCGAGACATGCCAAGCTTCGAATCCCCATCGACAGTTGGCAGCATTTTCGAACCACACCGCCACACTGGGGGCGGAAAGTTCGAGTATGTTCTCTTTGGACAACACTGGTGAAACAAAGGCATTAAAATTATGCCCTTAATGGGCGTAAACGATTATACGCCCTTAAAGGGCATAAATCGTTTATGCCTTTGGGAAGGGCATTAAAATTTTGCTTGGAATTCCTATACCATTTACGCCCTTTCCAAGGGCGTAAAACGATTTATGCCCTTGCAAGGGCATAAAAGCGTATTTATGCCCTAAAGGGCGTAATTTTTATGCCTTTGTTTTACCAGTGAATCACGGAAGTTACATTTAGGGTATTCCAAACGCTACGTAGACCAATCCAACGAACGTGAACTTTTCGAAATGTGTGCGTTTAGTGGGCAATGGCAATGGCCCTAACATCAGAAACAAACCCCATGTCGATATCTGGGCTCGTTTGAGCACAGGAGTCAGAAGAAACGAAACTACCCCGAAACGTGAGAATCGCTCTACAGTGTTCACCGTAGGACTCTACAGTCTTCCACGTCCTACGGAGAAGACTGTGCGGTCCTGCGGAGAATACTGTAAGATCCTACTGAGAATATTGAAAAGAGGGCTACGGAGAATCCTGGTATAAAAACTAACAGAATTTTCCGTGCCCTTTTGCCACAGTGATCAAGACAATTCTCAATAGAGTGATCCATATATCTCCGGTTTCCAGAAAGGTCGCCTACGCACATCCGGGTGAAGGTCTGCGACGCTCAAGTACGGCAGGATGAAGGAGCTTGACCAGTATCCCATGAGCACCAGTGTCATGCCACGCCATGAACGGAGGGACGGTGCGTGCCATTTAGTGAAGCCGAGCAGACACTCCACCAGTGCGGCCAGCTCGAAGCGGTGCACGATCAATATTATCTATAAAGCAGAACCGGAGTAAAGAGGCTTTTCAAAACTTGAACATGGGTCAAATACCCATGGGTACGTTCATCATAACCTAAGACATGTGCTTTCATCGATGAATGGTGCAATTTTAAGCACATCCATCCGACGGTTGCACAATTTTGTAACAAATTTGAAAGTTAAAGATCAATTTACAGCTGGCGTTGGACGAAATGTGTCACGAGGCAGGAGCAAAATTTGATCACCGTCGGATGTGCTTAAAATTGCATCATCCATGGGACAGTATAAGCCCCATGACAATGAGTAAGTTTTCAAGTTCGTTTGAGTATACCCTCAGATTCGTAATGACAATTAATTTTTCAATCAGTTGTCTCTTTTTCTCTGGATTATAAAGTTATTAAACAGACGTAACATGTACCATTTTCTCTTTAACGCTGCACCGTTTAGGTTACTATATAGTATTTTGATCTTATCCTTTTTGTCATTATGATATACACATGACGCATCAACAATTTGCCCTGTAGCACGACCAAATTGTGAATAGTTCAAGGAATACTACATTTAACGCCGGTTTTGTGAGCTTTATAAGCAAGTGACCAGATCGGGTACTACCTGAAGCGCTATAGACGCCAAGCACTTGGCCAGGATGTTCGCGGTGAAGACCAACGCCATGAAGGACCCGTCGGCGGGCATAGAGGACACGTTCAGGTTGTAAAAGTGTACGGAGTTCACGATTTTGACGGCGGTGTACAAAGCCATGGCTGTGACGCAGTACGTCGTCCAGGCGCGCGAGGGTCTCGGCGGCCAGCCGGCAGCGCAGTTGTGGCCGCCGATGAACATGAGGCCGAGGAGGAAGCGCCACTGCAGCGAGCAGAGCCGCGCCCACACTGGTAAAACAAAGGCATAAAAGTCTACGCCCTCCCAGAGAGACAGTACTTTTTGAAAAAGTGAGAAAGTGACAAGAGAATGCAAGGGATACCCCACTCAAACTGCAATCTGAGTACGCCTGGAGGATTGGATGTCCTCTAGACAAAATTTTCAATAGATCACGTAGAAATAAAGAATTAAATTGCACATGATATAAAGTTAGGATAAATGGATCAACTACTTTTGTATCAAAATGGATCAAAGCTTAAGAGACAATGGTACACGCCTTGCGTACAACAATTTTATAAGACATAAAAAGTCAACTGACGTAAATGTCATTACGGGGCTGAGAATGCAATTTACGCTCTGATGGGGCATCATTTAAATTCCTCGTGTTACCAGTGCAGGCGGCCGGCGACCGGCCACCACCATCCCCGTCCATCGCACTTGTGGGCGCGAGCAGCCGCGGCCTTCACACCGCGAGGCCCGCGGGTCGATTCGTTTGTCTCTACTATAGATTAGGGCGGACCGATCAACGTTCTTTCAATTACTCTGTGTATGCGCTGCATATTTTAATAGTGTACACCCCGCTCGGTGAGTGCGCAGTATACCGCATTATATACTAAGAATGGGAGAGTCTTCACCAGTATCCAATTTTGAGCAAGGTAGTTCGGTGAGGATTGTTTTATCGCCCCAATTGGGGTAAGGAAGGTTTCCTCACCCAAATAGGGTACTTCGGAAAAGAGCTGGGGCGGAAGTTGAGAAGAAATCGGGAAGGACAGAAGCCGGACTTCAATGTGAATGTAATTGTGCGGAAGCGGCAGAACGGCGACGCAGACGCCCATCCTCACAAATTCCCCATACTTATGTATTCTTCTTGATTTCTCCTTAATTTCCGTTCTTGCTCTTCTCCGAACTCTGACGTTACGCAAATTTGGGCGATGATTTTATCGTTGCGCAGAATTGAGTCACCGCTGGCTCGTCACCCTTAGTTGATCTACGATGCGCGCGTCACCCAGTGCAAGGGCGATTGTCGTCACTGTTCATTCTCAGTGGCAGTTATTTGTTTCTCCTGAAAAAAGATGAAAATTGAGATGTCTCCTTCTGCTTCATGGATCATTGTCTGGAGCTACTTATTAACGTGATTCACTGTAGTTTGTTGTTTCAGAGCGGCGCGGAAAGTGAGGCAGCGTGTTTTCTCCACGGCCCTGACGTCATTTGCGTCGAATGTTTGCTGTGACTTCTCCATCTGCGCATCGTCAAACTGAAAAGAGAAATTTCTTCCAATGGCTTCTCCCACTCTTCGAGTACCTCTGCATGAAAATGCATTGAAGAGAGTTTATCTTTCATGCATTGGTTTGGGAAATCGAGTATACCTGCGTTCGCTGTCGTTAAAAAGCTTAACAAACTTGTCAAGATAGAGTTGATCATTATGTTTCTTAAATAATTTAAAATGTTAATACGATGATTAATGCTTTTATTGTTTAAAAACGGCGGCTACGTCAGTAAGCCTAGCCTTTTCACTACGCATCTCATAGTTCATGTGGTTAGATAGGTTAGGTTAGGTGGTTGGGTGGGTAGACTGACCTGTTCTGCATGTATTTTCCGATCTGGCCTAAACGGTAGTCTTTCGTGTTGATCCTGCCTGGTTATTTCGTACGAAGCCCGCTGACGTAGTAGCACTGCAAGCTCCTTTTGTGATTCGTTCGAGGTGCTCACACACTTGTCAAGAAGGCCCGTTTGTTTAGCAATGTGACCTGACTTTAAGCAATTATATTCCTAAGCTGATAGTCCCTCTCGCAGGTTTGTTGTTCACCTCTTTCGAGTTACATTCAAAAAGGCGAAGGCATTTTAAAACTGCCTCGTGTTACGAAGGGTTTGGCTTCAAAAAAGGAAGCATTTCTTCGTAGATTTTACACTGCCTTTCATTTTTTTCGAAGACGAAGGGATTCTTTGTAGAGTTTTTACTGTGTGTTTTTACAACGTTCCGACTTTGCCACTACGTCAAGGTTGAAACCATGAATACATTCATCTATTTATTTATATGTGGGGACGTGGAGGCGTTGGTGGCGTGCTCCTGACTCTGCTCCTGGCGTGCCTCAACGTTGCCTCTGCTTGCAGGTCTCGCGCACGTCAAGGTGGAAATCCTTTCGCCCGGTGGACTGGCCTGCCGAGGAGGCGGCGCGGAAAGCGAGGAACCGGGTGAGTCTACGTGAGTCGTGCTGTCTGGACGGCTTCACTTTGCGAAAAAAATACAGTAAATCCTGTAACGATTAGTACACACTGTTAAAAGAAACTGTAGGAAAACAGCACATTTACCAACGAGTGATTTGCTTTTAAGCAGCACGTGTCATCGGAACTTAAAACAGCACAAATGCTGTTAGGAAACAGCAAGTTTCATCATTGGAGAAAACAACAAATATAGTCGATTTCCAATGCTGGAAAACAGAACATCTTGTTTGTAAAATTAATGATATATGCTGTTTTGGAACGGTATCCTGTCATTTAAAAACAACACCATTCAATTGAAGATTTGCCGGAGCATTTTGCAGCTCACGGCTCAAATCAAACTCCAACTATGTCAAAATAAATTCTGTTGTTTCTGAACAGCATTTGTGTTGTAAAGTTTTTTAGCAACACTTCCAATTTTTAAACAGCGGTGAACTGTCCAAGAACTGCACGAACTGTTACAAAACAAATGTCTTGTTTGAGCCGTCAGGAAACTCCTATTTCCTTTTTGTGAATAACAGAGAGACCGCGTTGAAGAACAGTGCTGTTTGTAAACAGAAAAGAGCGTTTCTGAATGACTGCTAGTATTGGATAAGACTATTAGGACCCTCGACATTTTTTTTGTAAATGTATAACAACTTCTTTGTTTGAAAACAGAAAAGTGTTGTTTATGAACAGGTTGGTGCCATTTGGAAATGGTAATTCTGTTACACAACAACTTATTGTCAGAGATCAGATACAGAGAGCCATCATCCCTTTTTACAACACTGCTGTTGGATAACGACTCAGTGTCCAACAATATGCCGTTCTTCTACAACAAGTGTTGCTAAAAAACTTAACAGGATATATGCTGTTAATTAACAGCATCTTTTCTATCAGTGCAGCTGTCACTGTACCTACGTTTCTTGGCTTGCAGGTGTGGGTGCGAGCGAGGTCCAGCCCCAGCAGCTCCGCATCGCGGCGGCCTTCTCGCTGGCAGGGTTGGCTGGCGACGCGGTCCCGGCGGAGCAGGCCTCGCCCAGGGAGGAGGCAGGCAGGGAGACGCGCCGCGGGTTCAGGTGTGGGGAGTGCGGCGAGTGCTTCGGTGCAGAGGCGGACTTGAGGAAGCATCTGGCTGGTCACGCCAGGGAGGGACCGCATTCGTGTGACGTCTGCGGCAAGGAGTTCCCCAGGTCTTCAGATCTCGTTAGGCACAAGAGAAACCACACAGGGAAGAAACCTCACGAGTGTGACGTGTGCGGAAAGAGGTTCTCTCAAGGTGGTCATTTAAGTGATCACAAAAGAATTCACACCGGGGAGAAGCCTCACGAGTGTGACGAGTGCGGAAAGAGGTTTTCTCGTGGTTGTCATTTAAGTGATCACAAAAGAATTCACACCGGGGAGAAGCCTTACAAGTGTGACGAGTGCGGAAAGAGGTTCTCTACTGGTGGTAATTTAAGTGATCACAAAAGAATCCACACCGGGGAGAAGCCATTCAAATGTGGCTATTGCGGAAAGAACTTTGCAAAGTCAGATACTTTAAAAAGACACAAGAGAATTCACACTGGCGAGAGGCCTTACAAGTGTGAGGAGTGCGGAAGGAAGTTCTCGGATCCAAGACATTTAAGGAACCACAAGAGAATCCACACCGGGGAAAAGCCTTACGAGTGTGACGAGTGCGAAAAAAGGTTTACTGACTCAGGGAATCTTCATGTGCACAAGCAAAGCCACGCTAGAAAATGATGTTACGTGTGGGCCTTTACTGTACTTGTCATTTTGTTTAACTCTCAGAATCTTTTCGTTTGCTGCTTTTCTGCGCTTTATTTGTCTAAATCGGTTTTTCTACCTTGCCCTGCATTTCTCCTCCGTTCCGATGTTCATTTATAAAATAGCGTCACGCTGTTCATTTACTTTTCGCGCTTGTGTGTTTTTTTGTTTTTTTTTTTCAATTAGTACTGTTGTTATCACTGCGCAGAATTGTTTTGTTGTGTTTGTCACCGTAGACGCAGTCGTTCCATTTCTCGGGGACAGGATTCCCATGTTGGCAATCTGTGAATTGTTTCTGTATTTACTTTCCTGTAAAAACTGTCTCGCGACGGAGAATTCATATTAAAGCATATTGAAAACTCACCGTGACCCTTTATTAGAATGATAATCCTGCATTCAAACATTTGTCGTCACGCATCAAAAAATCACAATGATTTAAATTTCTTTCACAGAACGTTGTGAAAATTACCACTTCAGTTTTATCTAGTTTGATTGCTTCCATATCTGTCGCCCCACGTCGTTAATATCACTGATAGAAAAAAGTACAGAAATTGCACGGAACATGTCTGGTCAATTTTTGACCTGGACCGTCCGTACCTTGCCAACCACGGAGGTTCTGTACATGTTTTCTGTACCCGTTTACATGAGATCCTTATGGGGACCACAGAGAACCAGTACAGAAGGTCCGTTCCTTTTCCGTGCCCGTCTGTACCCCATTTTCCCGTACATTTTCCGTGCCAAACCACGGCCTAAAACCTCAAGAAAAGAAGCATTTTAAACCCAGAACGGCGGCAATGGACGTCAGGAAGCGGAGCAGCTGCCAACCAAATATTCGTCAAAAATCGAACTCGTGGAAGTCCTTTAGTTCGCAAAAGTAAAGATATCGCAACCAGGTTTGCGCCAAAATGTAGGTAATTGAGCTATGGCACGAACTACAACCATGGGCATCGAGCTCAAGTACAAAATTTAACGAAAAACCCCGTTTTGATGGTTTCTGCAAAATCTTCAAAAATTGTTTGTTTTTTTTTTAAGAAATTTTTATCCTGTAGCAAAACTTTGTTCATGGTTGTAGTTCATGCGATAGCCACTTCAATTATTCACATTTTGGCGCAAACGGGGTTGCGATATCTGCATTTTATGGCGGGCTGAGAGACTTCCACCAGTCCGAGTTTTTACGAAAATTTGATGGGTAGCTGCTCCGCTCCCTGACGTCCGATCGACGCCATTCTGGGCTTAAAATGCCTTAAGGTCTTACGACAAAGAAAGTTTTAACGACGTGGATGGACATCTTAGAAGCAATCGCACTAGTCAGTTTTTGGCCATTTTCAGTGCGTTGCTCCTTACATTTACTATTTTCACTCTTTACCCTATTTACATGTTTCTTAACTTACTAAATGATTAAATGACACTTAACCTAACTAGCATACTCTCCTTAACAAACCCCGTCACCGTTACAAACCATTTACACCTACTTAAGTGGTTCTTAACTAACAAAATGATAAAATGATTACAGTTAATCTAGCTATAACCTAACTCTACTTCACTAACCCTGCGATTAACTTGTTTACAACTATTTACGTGGTTCTTAACTTAAGGGGGCTCATACATGTTAAAAGCACTTTTCTAAAAAAAAAAATACGATTTCAAGAAATCCTAGGAGTCACGAAGTCAATTTGATTATTGTGTAAGAGTGTGGAGAAAGAAAAGAAGTGGTGTTGTGAAGTTGTGGCTCAGGGGACTACCAATGGCAGTGGTACCAATGTGGTCGATGTGCCATCCGTCGAAATTTAAACTTGACCATAAATAGAAATCAAAATGCTGGTAAATTCAAAAAATTCCAATGCTAATGTATTCCGCAGTGTTCTGACAATGGAACATCTTTGAAGTCCATCATGATTAAAATGTTCTTAGCAGAAAGAAGTCAGTAAATTAATTTTCTCGGGTTGGCAACTATTTTCTCGGCGTCTGCGCCCTTGCGAAAATCGCGAAGCTGAAAGCGCCAGCAGTCACGCATTAAAACTGCCCCTCCATTGTTGTGGACGTTGAATTGTTTGGCTTGTTTCAAAAGGCTATGGTTCTCTACTCATGTTTTCTTCAATTCTGTGTAATAGTTCTCCCTTACAACGTATCAACACCACGACGGTTGGTTTGACAAACTTCATAAACTCGGGAGGGATGGTTTCGAAACGCGGGTGAGTCTTGTTCGAGGAACATGAGCACTGCAAGTCGCGAGGTGGAGCGAAGTGGTCCTAGTGCTAACTGAATCACAACAACAACACTGCGCATGTCCAAAAACACTCCAATCAAGAAGTATTATTGGATAGTTCTACCCGAAAAACTGCGTTCGAACCGGCACCAATTCTATTGTTGCATCTTGTCTACCTGCAGTCAAAGAAATTTTTCATTTCGAACGTTGCTTTTTCAGCTTTTGGAGTAAGCTGTACAGACCCAAAAAGAAGCTCCGCTATTGGTCCGCCCCGGCTCGGCTCCCCCCACTCCCTTTTTTTTCCTTTGACGAGTCGAGTTTTGCCATGGAAACGGCGATTTTGACAGCAAATTTCTCAAAATTGGCCACCAAATTTTTGACCAGATTTCAACATCAGAATCAGCGTTCAAAGTTCTACTAGTCTGCAAAATCTCATTAAAATCGTATAGAAAACTTCCGAAATGCATAAAGGGCCACACAAATCAAATCTCGAGCCGGCTGAGTCCTGGGTATACTATAAGGCTACTTCGTGCCTAAAAATTTGATGTAGACGGACTAAGATTTTACAATTTCTGTGTTAAAATCCTTTTAGATAATTGAGTAAGCTTCATTTTGGCTTAATGATTAAATGATTACACGTTATCTTCGGTCACCCTAGCGGTGCGCCAACAGAAAGTGTTTTGTCCAGAGCGCCTGTTGGTAGGCAGCCCATTCGACGGCAGTCTTGTTTCGCTGGCGTTGCAGGTGCAGGTGCCGGGCCCTGCATTACCATTACCATTAAGGGCTAGACCAGCGACGGCGGCCGCTGCTTGGCGCGCGTGGCTGCAGCGGCAGTCCCGTCGGAGCCTTCGTTGCGCGAAGACACGTCGTCGCTGTGCCGGTGCGCGTCGCGAGTGTAGTGTCCACAAGTGTTTGATGTTCCGAGTGAGTCAGCTAGTGCCGTCTATTGTGCCGTGTTGTAGGTGAAGTGTGGTGTTGTTCTTTGCGCGCCGGGTTGTCTGGCCAAGCGCTCCACGGTGGGCCAGAAGGCCGGCGCCGGCGGCCGAAACTCTAGACGCGTTTTGAGCTCCAGGAGTCGCTAAATGGGACTCGAGCGGAGCGTGTGACCGCACCAATGGTTTCCTCGTTCGGAGAGCAATCCATTGGTGGGGTCACACGTTCGGTTCGAGTCTTGTTTAGCGACTCTAAAGCTCCAAATGCGCCTAGAATTTCAGCCGCCTGCACCGGTCTTCTGGCTTACTGTATGCTGGTCCGGCAGCGTTGGAGGTGACGGCGAGCGTGCAGCACGCCCAGGGCGTTGCGGCGGGCACTGCGGCCTGTGTGACGATTCCTAGCGTTTCGGACATAACACGCCTTGCGACGCCTTGCGTCTGGACGAATCGGGGGCGAAGTGAACGAAGCGCTAAGCTGTCGGGCGAGGCTGGGCACAGTTGCGGAGGTGTGGCACGCCAGGGCTGGGCGATGTCTCGTTGTCATTCAGGGGCGGCCTCCGTGTTGGTGTGACGGCCCCTCTCCGGCCGGAATGCGGCGGTGGACCAGGCGGGAAGTGGTGTTGCCGCGGCCGGAGGGCTGCGGCGTCAGCGGTCTGGGGCTCCGCGGAAGCGCACAGTGGGCCAGAAGACCGGTGGAGGCGGCCAAAACTCTGAACGCGTTTTGAGCTCCTGAGTCGCTGAATGGGACTCGAACCGAACGTGTGACCCCGCCAATGGATTGCTCTCCGAACGAGGAATCCATTGGTGGGGTCACACGTTTGGTTCGAGTCCCATTCGGTGACTATGGAGCTCAAAACGCGTCCAGAATTTTGTTCGCCTCCACCGGTCTTCTGGCCCACTGTGAGGCGGCGGGACGCTGCGGTGCGGTGCGCCCTGGTCGCGGCTGAGAGCTCGCCTCAGTGGCGGATCCAGCCGCTTTCAGAGGTGCGCGAATTTCGATCAGGATTTCAGACATGATTCTGACATTCTGACAAACTTTACACGAGTGTCGAGTCGCTAAACACGACTTGAACAGAGCGTATGGCACCACCAAAGAATTCCTCGTTCGGAGAGCCATCCATTGGCGGGGTCACTTGTTCACTTCTAGTCTAGTCCCATTTAGCGACTGTGGAGCTGAAAACGCGTCCGGGATTTTGACCGCCTGCACCGGTCTTCTGGCCCACTGCGCGCCGGAGTGACAGAAAGTTGATGGCGGACGTTGCTATTGCTAAGTAAATTTATCTATTTGCAGGACAATGAAGATGCCGTGCAGTGCAGTTAGGCCATGACCAAGCCAGCGTAGCCGATCACCCCCAGGTCCACCAACCAGGACATACCGTTCTTCATGATCTGGCTTGCCTTTTTAGCGGTGATGTTCAGGAGGGAGACACCGGCCAGGTCGGTGTCCCCGGAAACAGCTCCTGTTACCAGGTGGGTCACCGGTGCGCGGTTTACGCGATAGTTTGTAGTTCTCCGAAAACACAGAAAAGAATGGTAGAACTATTATTTCATGAGAGAATGGAGGGTTTAAGTGTACCTTTTTCGTTGAATGGCCCAGTGACGAAACGCCCTGAAAACTCGTGTGAATTCAGAAGTCTGTCTGAAGTCTGGTTCAAAATTTGCGTACCTCTGAGAGCTTTAAACTTGCATTCTGTTTAACCCAGATCATCAATATCAGGACAAGTTTCCAGAATCTCAGCTTTCGCACACGAATTTTGATCACGTTTTCTGGCACGTTTCTGAAGTACTGTCAACGAGTGAACTGATACCACTCTCACTCCGGTGACGTGTGATCACGTTGAAACGATGACGCAATGTCGCGTTTCTTTGAGCATTTTATCACAATCGTTTGGACGTAAATGATAGCCATAAATTAGCTTATTCAAACCCACAACGAATGTACCCTAATGCTTTCAGGAATGTGTCATTTCGTCATTTTCGTTGCAAAACGTGTAACGTTCCTGGGAATTGCTCCATTTCCTTGTGTTTGTAGTGGCCTCCAGTGGACATGCCTGCCATGACTCGGACCCGTTTGCCCCGGAGGCGTCCGGGTCTAAGGCCGCCGGACACTCGATCCAGAGGGCGTCCAGGCAGAATTTGAAGAAGGCCTCGCCGAGGCGAAGGAACGGCGCGCGGTCCGTCATGCAGGGAATCTACTGGGCGGTTTCCGTCAAGATGTGCGTTTTCTCCTGTCCTCCTCCATTTGATGATAGTTGTAAAATTGACAATGATGTGCAGGGAGGGTAATCAGGCCGTGGTCAGGGGAACTCGTCAGTGTATTTCAGGGTTAGCCAGACGAGTGTACACTGTGAAAATTTGTTTTTATGACAAAAACGTGGATGATGTTTTCATCACTTTCAAATGACAATCTTATCACAAATAGATGACATTTTCATCAAAGCTCCTAAACTTATTGCCTGGGGCATGACAACTAGTTCTATTTCCTTGCAAAATAAATTTTCCTCCTAAACTAGCCTTGAAATTGTCATCAAGTGACGACTCAAATTTTTACAGTGTGCAGGGGCGGCTGAGGCCGTTGCCACGCGACAACAATGCGACACTGCGCATGCTCTAAGCCCGCAGCGCGGGGCGTAGCGCTAAGGGAACGCGGAGCCCAACAAAATTGCACAAGAATGGAGGTTATACCATTTCGCTTCGTACTATGCTGTCGATTTGAGACTTACCAGGCGGAAGCTGTGCATTCCGTGTTGGTGTGTTGTCCAGAGCCGTACGTAATTTTAGCGGTTGTTCAACAAGCAAAGGCGGAAGTGGCTCAGTTTGAATGTGCCCCTGTGGATTTGGCCGCCACTCAAACTTTCGATTTCCATTGCATCTTGTGCCAAGGCCCCTTGTTTGTGAGTAATTTGACAAACTTTATTTCTCGCCATTTTTTTGCAGTGTTCTATTTTATAAATTCCTTTGCAGTTCAAGTATACGAAATTTCTAGTTTGTCCTGCCATGAAATTTCGCCATTGCTGCTTTCCCCTCTTGCGACAGTGAAAACCGCCAGGGTGCAACCACTCGAGAAATCCTGTGTCCCCTGGAACCCTAGAATTCTCTGGGAAATCTGAAATCTTTCCCCAAAATGCCAAAAACAGGCGGATTTTAGGCTTAAAAGTGGACGAAATCCGACGAAATGTCTTATCTTGGAAAATCTTGTGTCCCCAACATCGTAGGTGGTTACCCCCTCGGAAAACCGAAATACTCTACAAACCAAAGAGTGTACATGGTACGCTCTAACTGGAGCAAGCCTGCAAGCACGCTCTAGCTAGCGCATGCCTGCCAAGCATGCACTAACTAGTGCATACATGCCATGTACACGCTTCCTGATTCAGAAAACTCCCTATCCCTTATGCAGTAAATGTATGCTTCAGTTAGCGTGTACATGGCATGTATGCACTAGTTAGTGCATGCTTGGCAGGCTAGCTAGAGCGTGCTTGCAGGCATGCTCCAGTTAGAGCATACTATGTACACTCTTTGATTTGTAGAGTACTGACTGAAAATTTTTCGATTGGATTCCCAAAGTGATGTCAATTGACAGTGTCAAGTACCCGCACTCTCATTCCAGGAACGTGACGTCACGTTGAAACGAATGTGACAAAGTGTCACGTTCGTTTGAGCATTGTGTCACATTCTTTTGAATGTGAATAAGCAAATTTTTGTCCGGTTCACATAGAAAGGAACGTGACGCAATGCTCAAACGAACGTGACACTTTGTCACATTCGTTTGAACGTGACGTCATGTTCCTGGGATGAGAGTGCGAATGCTATCGCTGCTTAACCGGCAGTCTACTTTTGAGAAAAGTTTGTTACGTACCGTAAACTGGGGCTACTTTGACCCACCGGGGTAACTTTGGCCCATGGGCTAGAAATTCGTTTTAAGTGCTTCTTATTCCATTGGTAACATTTTTAGCCGCTGGGCCAAAGTTACCCCAGTGGGCAAAGTAGCCCCGGTTTACGGTAGTATGAAGATCGGCTCTTCCGGGAACGATTGACCTTTCGAGTGTGAGTAATACTGGAGTTGATTTTAAATGGAAAGCTTTCGTTAGTTGGCTGCTTCGCGGCGTTACGCTGGACCTCTCCCTTTTTCTCCCAAAACGTAACGTTACGCAAAATTTCGCAACTTAAAGCGATTTGAACGTACTCTCTCCCTTTCCCTAAGAATGCTTAACGCAATACGGTGTTTCTGCGACTCTTGAAACGGAAGGAAGAACACAAGTAAGTGCACAACTTCCGTCCCCTCGCCTGAGAAGGGGTCCAAGGGGCAGCCACACTGTGAAAATTTGAGTCGTCACTTCATGACAATTTCAAGACTAGTTTTCCTTACAAGGATGTCATCAAATCAATTGACGGCATTGTTGTCATGCCCATGCAGTAAGTTTAGGAGCTTTGATGAAAATTTCATCAATGAGTGGTGAGATCGTCAGAATTTGAAAGTGATGAAAATATCATCCACGTTTTTGACAAAGTTACAACAGATTTTCACAGGGCACACTATCCTCGGGGGAGGGGACTGAGGTTGTGTACTTACTTGTGTTCTTCTTCCTTCCGTTTCAAGAGTCGCGGCAATACCCTCTACGTGCTGTTGACGGTGCATGCACAATGGTGAACTGAATGCTTCGACAGGTGATTCAGATATCTTGACGGTTCGGGGGACGTCATCTCGTCCCGGAAGATGATACATCGCAGAGGAACTACAGGTGAGTGTTACGACCGACCGTCTACTCGCACATTATTTCGTCGGAAACAGGCCGCCTACCGGTGATGGCGGACGTATTGTAGACGCGTGATGAGCTCTTGAGATGCTAAACAGGACCGGAACCTCAGGTGTGACCCCACCGATAGCTTCCACGTTCGGAGAGAAATGTATCGATGGGGTCCACACGTTCGACCGGGCAGACTGGAGAGATCTGTCGATTTCCGCCTTCGGTATTTTGACTGCGTCGTAGCACACGGTATGAACGGTTCCTGGTTTCCCAGGAACTCCCTAGAAATCGTCTGTCTTGTCTTATCTACAGGCTTCCTTGAAAAAGCAGGATCCCTTTTTTGACGTGCCCCTTTGGCGACCAGTTGGTGGAGTGCGTATATCTTGAAACAGTAAACGGAGTTCACTTCGGCCATCGTCAAAATTGGGCATGTGAGCGATTCTCACGTTTCGGGGTAGTTTCGTTTCTTCTGACTCCTGTGCCCAAAGGAGTGCAGATATCGACATGGGGTTTGTTTCTGATGTTAGGCAGGGCCATTGCCCACTAAACGCACACATTTCGAATAGTTCACGTTCGTTGGATTGGTCTACGTAGCGTTTGGAATACCCTAAATGTAACTTCCGTGATTGTCCAAAGAGAACATACTCGAACTTTCCGCCCCTAGAGTGGCGGTGTGGTTCGAAAGTGCTGCCAACTGTCGATGGGGATTCGAAGCTTGGCATGTCTCGAGCTAATTTCAACCGAAGACCAATACGCCAGACTTCTTTCAAAGGTACTTATGCGGCAACGAAAAATGTCCTCCGTATATTCAATTTCACTCCACAAATTTCGAAAAGGCACCTCTGGACTTCTCCCCAAGCCAAAATTTTAACTTTCCATGACACAAGCCATCAAAGTGGAGTCCCTGGGATATATTTGCATGGGTCGCGGAAATCTAAGACGCTGTACACGGTCTCAAAGCGGGCTAGAGCATTATAAAATGGCGTGTATCAACAATTACCTGTAACTTCCGTGGCACCCTTTACCCAATGTTGCAGCAGTACTAGGTGAAAAAAATTTCCGCTTAAATGTCGGGCTTAGAGTATCATTTGACCCTGGAACGACTTATAAGCCACAGCAAGCCCGAGTCAGCCGTTAAAGCCGATTTTAACACTTTGTAACTTCCGTGATAACGTAATTTCCGTGATCAAAACACCCACTAAAACGTATGGGAATACCTTATGGCTCATGTTTTTAGGAAGATAGTACAAGGTTTTTACTATAAATACCATTTCCATAACTCTAGTATCATCCAGGACCCCAAGAATCAGAAAAACTTAATTGGATATTTCTCACTTTCGGCAAATCAGAGACGCCAAAACTACCCTGAAACGTGAGAATCGCTCATGTATCGAAGCTGGCCATGCAATAGGGTACTTTCGTAGAACCCTGAACCGGAAGCAAGCAGACCAGCAGACGCCAAATCGGCCGGAAACTAACCTCTCTTCGGATCCAAAACTATAGCCGAGCTGTACAAATATTGCTCGCGAAACACATATTCACTGCAAACAAGTATCAAACGACTGTTTATGTTCAAGTGTGGCCGATACGTTTGACGAACGTCTCTTTCCCATGTCAAGTTTTGATCTACTTCCGCCAACATGGCGTCTGTGTGCTTCCGGTTCAGGGATCTACGAAAGTACCCTATTCATCTTTGTCAATTTATCATTAAAGTGGTTTCGATATGTTTCTAACGCATCATAATTTCTACTTTTCAACTCGCATACCTCTGAGATTCTAGCAAGTAACGGTTTCCAGTTACTTCCGGTTCAGGGTCCACGTAACCTTTCCGTGTCTCGCGTTACAGATGAATCTCCACTCTGTTTAGCCTAATGGTCTATTTCAGTTGTAACTTCCTGAAGAGCCGAAAGTAGATTCACAGCTGCAGGGTGTCTGCCACTTGATAGAACTTGTTCAAGCTCGAATTATTATTCTATGAAAGAAGTTTACTAAGTCTGTAGTCAAGTATTTTAATTCAAAACATTCGATCAACAAATGGTCTGAAGTAGTAATTTCTCGCACGCTCAAGGATACGATTGATTTTTCAGGTCTTTTATCCCAAGTATGACTCACTTAATTATTACTTACTTTTTCGTGAATAAGCTTTGCACGAAATTGAGCATGCGTTTCGATGTACACGAATTTTATGCGCATCAACGCACACTTTCGTGCACACTAAATTACTATGTAGGTTGTTCTGCGCGACAATGCAAGGAACTAAACATGCACTCCGTAACGCACGAATTTGTGCCCGACAATGCACGATTTTCTGCATACTTGCGCACGAAATATTGCATTGTCGCGCACAAATTCGTGCGTTATGAAGTGCATGTGTAATTTCGTGCATTGGCACGCTGAAAAACCTATGTAATTTAGTATGTGCTTTGTTACGCACAAAATCGTGCATTTCAAGAAGCATGCTCAGTTTTGTGCGAAGCTTCTGCACGCAAAACTACAGTGTGGACACTTGCATACCGTTATAAACCTCGTCGGAACATCGTCAAGAAATATCACTATACCGATTTATGTCAACTGTTTCCGGTGTTTCCGGTCCATGTTTTCCCATGCTGCACTCCGAGTTCCTCTCGAAGTGCTCATTCTGTTTGCTCACACTCCATATCTCTCAAATTTTGTCGCATGGATCGGCATGGACCTCGGTTTCAGTGAATGCTCCCGACATATTTATGGTTCAGGTTTCCGACGCAATTCTGAATAGTTAGGCTTACATGTCAATTTTGCTGAAATATTTAATGTATCGTTTAAATAGGGTACTTCGGAGAAGAGCTGGGACGGAAGTTGAGAAGAAATCAAGAAGAAAAGATGCCGGATTTGTATGAGAATAAAGCTCTGCGGAAGCAGAACGGCGACGCAGACGCTCTTTCTCAGGAATTTCGCAAACTTCGTTCTTCTTGACTCTTCTTAACTTCCGTTCCAGCTGTTCTCCGAAGTACCATATTCATTTCAAATGGGACACAAACAAACTCTTGCGTGTGTTAAATACTTAAACGTAAATGAGACGAACAGTCATATGTCTGTGAGTACCCACCCAGCGGTCACGTCAAATAATGTGGGCTATTAGGTGCGAAGAAATTGAAACCATTGCTGGGTCAAGTTTGAAACACTTGCCGAGACCTAGTACACTTCCTTCACTCTAAAAGTCCTATGGTGAAGGTTCTCTTTATTTTGGTGGTGCAGCTGACTTCGTAACTTACAGTCCAAAATTCATTGTTCCTTTTAGATGTTTTGACGTATTTCTTTTGTATTAAGGGGAAAGCCTTTCACCGTAAGACATTTAGTGTTCGCTCTTCTGAAAATCGTCACGAGTGCATGTTGTCTGACTCAATGTGTTCTTCTTCGCAGATTTTGGTTCCGTCGAGCAGTAGCACCTCTCTGGCAGAAGCCTTCATTGCCCACTGCACTGCAGGTTTGTGCCCCCACACTGAAAATTTGTTGCCACTTTATGACAAATACGTGGATGATATTTTCATCACTTCGAAATAATGACAATCTTATGATAAATTGATTACATTTTCATCGAAGCTCCTATACTTATTGCACGGGCGTGACAACAAGGTCAAGGTCATCAATATCAGTTGATTTGATGACTTGTTGTAAGGAAAATTATCCTTGAAATTGTCATCAAGTGACGACTCCAATCTTCACAGTGCATGCTCACTCGTGCTGTGTTCAACTATTCGACCTGTGACTGAGAGGCCATTTTTTTCCAGGTCCATGGATTAGCAATCACTGATCATTTCTAGCGAGGTCTTGCCAAACAAAACTATGCCCCACAGATGCGTTGTCTGCGACAAGATTTTCTCAAAGTTGAAAGATCTCACCAAGCATTTCCGCTCGCATACCGGGGAGAAACCGTATAAGTGTGAAGAGTGCAAGAAGAACTTCAGTACCAAGGGCGGCCTGCGAGTGCACATCGGCAGCCACACTGGAGAGAAGCCTTTCCGGTGCGCGGTGTGCAACAAGAACTTCAGACTCAAGAGTCACCTGAGATGTCATATTTTCACCCACACTGGGCAGAAGCCTCATAAGTGCTCAGAGTGCGGCAAGGGCTTCAATGTGAAGGCCAACCTGCGAAGACACATCCAGACGCACACCGGGGAGAAACCTTACGAATGCCCCGTGTGCCGTGCAAGGTTCAGTGAACGCGCCTACGTTCGGAAACATCTTCTGACCCACACTGGAGAGGAGCCTTTTAGGTGCGCGGTGTGTGACAAGGGCTTCACTATGAAGGGCAACCTACTAAGACACATCCGGACCCACACTGGGGAGAAACCTTTCGGATGCTCCGTCTGCGGTGCTAGGTTTACTGAACGAGGCTCCGCACGGAATCACCTTCTGATCCACACTGGGGAGAAGCCTTATAGGTGCGCAGTGTGCAGTAAGAGCTTCAACCAGAAGACCCACCTTCGGCGCCATCTTCAGACCCACCTTCGCACCTACACTGGGAGGAAGTTCGAGTGTAAGGTCTGCCATAGGAAGTTCAGCAAGAGAGGCGACCTTGGACACCATGCTCGCAGCCACACTGGAGAGATGTTTGAGTGCACGGTCCGCATCAAGAAGTTGAGTGAATCTGATGTAGCTGCACAAATTGGGAAGTGGACCTACGAGGCCTCCGAGTCTGATGCACCTGAAGATGATAAACCTTCACTAGATGCACCTGAAGATGGAGCACCTTCAGATGACGAACCTTCAGATGATGCATCAGAAAATAATGCACCTGAAGATGATGCCCGTTCAGATGATGCACCTGTAGAACCAAAATATGATGCACCTGAAGATGACGCACCAGAAAATGAGTCACCAAACTATAATGCACCTGAAGAACCAAACTATGATGCACCTGCAGCTAAACGCGTAGGGAAGAAGAGATCCTCGAAGGCGCCTGAAGCCCCTCGACCTGCACGCAAAGCGAAGAAGCGGGTCTCTAATGCTCCACAAGTCGCTCCGACCACCGCTGCTCGAAATCGGAAGAAAGTGGGCTCCAAGGCGTCTAAGGCTGATGCAGCTGCACGGAAGGGGAGGAAGGTGTCCTCCAAGGCGTCTCACACTTCTTCAGCAGCCGCAGGTTCCAGAAGGAGTCGGCAGAAGTGCGCTGAAGAGGACTCCGCCAGAGGAGAACACAGCCAGGATGGGTGAGTTTTACAGCTCTGCGGCCCTGAATGCTGGTTGTTGTGTCGCAGGAGTGATCCTTTGTGGGCCTTTTCTCTTTTTATTGGGTTTTTCATACACCTGCGTCGTAAAGGTCTCAAAGCAAACGCGTTAAGGCGTATAATTATTGGATAGCACATTGCTAATGCTGTTTAGTTCATTCCGAGGGACACACGTGAATTTAAGTAAAAGCAAGCGGTATGTCCACACTAGCACAAAGTTCATTTTTAACCGATATATCAACGAACCCCCACCCCTTCACAGCAGTCGTTTTTCTTTACTTACTGCTGTTGCTTTACTTTTTACCTGCGTTCTAATAGTTTCGGCTCGTTAGCCCACGAACTTTGAACACGGAGGCTAGCCCAACGAAGTTGAGACACATCTGTTTGTATCTGAACGCACACTGCAAGAAAAAGTGTGAATAGTACAGCAAAAGTGCTACAAAAACTGGACAACGTACAATAGGGATTGTAAAAAGTACAACGAGAATTGTACAAACCTCAACGAGGCCTGGACTGCACAGCACTCGTCACGCCGGGTCCATTGTACTTTGTACAACAATTATTGTACTTTGAGAGTGCAATAAATTGCTGATAAAAAATAGCCGGGAGTTTGTGTACTGTTGTTGTGGTTTTTTCTTGCAGTGCACACTGACCTTTGACACGCCCTGTCTGTTCGCCTAGGCCGTCCTTGGCCGTGCTGCCGGACGCCGTGCTGCTGCAGATTCTGTCCTGGCTGCCCGTCGAGGACCTGCTGAGGGCGGCGCGGGTGTGTCGCCGCTGGAGGAAGCTGACGGCGCGTCCCGAGGCGTGGCGGCGCGCGGACGTGGTGGTGACGTCATCGACCTGCAAGAAGCAGGTAGGGTAGGGGGTCATTCCACGCCAAGTCGTCAAGGTTTTGAGGGACGTGTCGGCTGAACCCAGCGGTATTTTCAGGGATTGTTGGCCCTATGGGCCCATTGAAGGCCCGGTACTTTTTTCCCCGGAAAGTCGACAGGGGTCAGAGATATCTCAAACTTCATTTTTGGTAAAAGAAATTACCTATCAACCTAAAAAAATTTATATCTCGGAAAGTATTTGTCCTTTCTCAAAACCGCTTATACCGTTGGAAAGAGGAAGAAAAACTGAAAAAGATAGGATTTTTTCCAAAAATTCTTGGAAACTTTTACTTTTTGCACTTTTATAGTGAAATGTTAAAAATTATGCAACTTTTTTGTACCCTGATCAAAAATGGCGTTCTATGGCTCAAAATGTACCTTGATATGTCCTCTAAACGAAAAGATCAACGCCCCAATGTATTTTGTTTAGTTCCGGAGAACGAGCGGTTCTTGTGGACCACTGCAAGGCTACTTTCCCGCTGGAACGGCTCCCACGCCACGCTCGCCTTCTCTGTGTTAGCGGACGTGATCACCAGGGTTCGGCGACCGTCAGGTAGGATTCCCACCTCACTTTCCAGCCCACAAAGGAAGCGCTGGACCTCAGCGCCTGAAGGGCAAGCAAGGGAGAGACTGGGAAGCACGAAGGGTCACCTACACACACATTTTTAGGGGTTGGCCGCGACTGTGCTCCGCGGTGCGCGTCGCCGCCGGTGGTGGACTGCGGAACTAACGAACTTGGTGGTGTGTGTTGTTTCTGACCATCGCTTGTTTGGATTAGGTGTCAGGCAGAAAGGTTCGGATACTTGCTGAATCACGCCCTGCGTTTGTTCCTGGCAGTTTGGAGGTGAACTATGAAAGTTCTATAGAAAAGGCATATTTGCAATATTTGCAACGCACCAAACGTGGTTGGCACCCATTTGACCTCACCAGTTGGTGCGGTATAGACCACGTCCAGAAACCAAGTGCGTATCCTAACAACTTTAGGGGCTGGCTGCCGGCGCGGGAGAGTGAGTAAATGGGTGGCTCGCAGCCTGCGTGGAACACCGATACTCCCCAGGTACAGCCCTACGGGTCGGCACGGCTCGGCGTGCGCGGACAGCACCAAACGAGTATCGTATGCTTCCATGAACGTTTCTTGAATGTAGATTTTCGTTTCTCTTCCCAACCCAACCAGCTTTTTGTCATCTTTAACTAGTTTTGTCACTGCTGTAAAAATATTGCAAATATGCCTGTTTGTATTACCTATTTGTGCCAAGACTTGAGCCTTGACCCAAAGCCCTAATATCTGGAGGTCCGACATGAGCCCGGATTGAGCCCCGACCTGAGGCTCGAGTCCGGGCTGAGATCGGGGCCGTATCAAGCTCACGCCGGGGCTCAACTCGGTTTGGGGTTGGGATTCAGGTTGGGTTTCTGGTCACAGGGGTACAAGGATCGTGTCCTCTATGCCAAACAAATATCAACTATGAAAAACACACCTTCAGTCAAAGTAAAATATTTGGTGTTCAGTTATTCCCCTGCCCTTATTTTCTCCGCACTGACCCCTCCGAGAACACTGAACAAGTGCATACTTGAAACATTTTGACAACAGTGACAAAACCAGTAAAAGATGACTACAGGTGGTTTGGTTGGAAACGGAAAAATAAAATCAAACTACGGCAGAGAGCCCGTCGTGAATCTGAACCAGCAAACACTGTGGCAAAAAGGTACGGAAAATTCTGTTAATTTTTTTGCCAGGATTCTCCGTAGCCCTCTTATCAATATTCTCCGTAGGCTCTTACAGTAGTCTCCGTAGGGCCGTACAGTATTCTCTGTAAGTCCGCACAGTCTTCTCCGTAGGACCTGGAAGACTGTATAGTCCTACGGAGATCACTGTAAGGTCTTACGGAGAATACTGTGCGGTCCTACGGAAAATACTGTAAGAGACTACGGAGAATATTGATAAGGGGGCTACGGAGAATTACCACAAGCTGTTTACAGAATTTTCTGTAGCTTTTTGCCACAGTGAAGGAATCAGACTTAAACCACGGAAAGATATTCTCCAGTGTAGAAATTATACAGTTCACCTCCAAACTGCCAGGAACAAACGCAGGGCGTGATTCAGCAAGTATCCGAACCTTTCTGCCTGACACCATGAGACTAGGGGTAATGGACTCGCAACGGAGCTGGCCGGAATCTCTGCCTTGCTAATTGTAGTTCACTATTTCTCCGACTAAATGTGCGATTTTTGAGATGGCTCGGGCATTTTCGGAAAGAAGACATCTTAAAGTATGCCCTAAATTCTTAAAAGTTTCAATTTTCCCACCAGGGCTCGAACAGGAGCAGCTTCGCCGTTGCGCTTCTCAAATGCGCAGGGCGACGGCCATGGTGCCAGGGGCGACGCAGGGGGGGCGCCTCTTCAACTTGCGATAGAAGCTTCCGGATGCCGCAAAAGTGATGGGACAAGTGGTGTACCTTGATATATGTCGAAGACAAACTATGTCCCATCACTTTTGCGGCATCCGGAAGCTTCTATCGCAAGTTGAAGAGGCGCCCCCCCTGCGTCGCCCCTGGCACCATGGCCGTCGCCCTGCGCATTTGAGAAGCGCAACGGCGAAGCTGCTCCTGTTCGAGCCCTGGTGGGAAAATTGAAACTTTTAAGAATTTAGGGCATACTTTAAGATGTCTTCTTTCCGAAAATGCCCGAGCCATCTCAAAAATCGCACATTTAGTCGGAGAAATAGTGAACTACAATTAGCAAGGCAGAGATTCCGGCCAGCTCCGTTGCGAGTCCATTACCCCTAGTCTCATGCTGACACCTAATCCAAACAAGCGATGGTCAGAAACAACACACACCACCAAGTTCGTTAGTTCCGCAGTCCGCCACCGGCGGCGACGCGCACCGCGGAGCACAGTCACGGCCAACCCCTAAAAATGTGTGTGTAGGTGACCCTTCGTGCTTCCCAGTCTCTCCCTTGCTTGCCCTTCAGGCGCTGAGGTCCAGCGCTTCCTTTGTGGGCTGGAAAGTGAGGTGGGAATCCTACCTGACGGTCGCCGAACCCTGGTGATCACGTCCGCTAACACAGAGAAGGCGAGCGTGGCGTGGGAGCCGTTCCAGCGGGAAAGTAGCCTTGCAGTGGTCCACAAGAACCGCTCGTTCTCCGGAACTAAACAAAATACATTGGGGCGTTGATCTTTTCGTTTAGAGGACATATCAAGGTACATTTTGAGCCATAGAACGCCATTTTTGATCAGGGTACAAAATAGTTGCATAATTTTTAACATTTCACTATAAAAGTGCAAAAAGTAAAAGTTTCCAAGAATTTTTGGAAAAAATCCTATCTTTTTCAGTTTTTCTTCCTCTTTCCAACGGTATAAGCGGTTTTGAGAAAGGACAAATACTTTCCGAGATATAAATTTTTTAGGTTGATAGGTAATTTCTTTTACCAAAAATGAAGTTTGAGATATCTCTGACCCCTGTCGACTTTCCGGGGAAAAAAGTACCGGGCCTTCAATGGGCCCATAGGGCCAACAATCCCTGAAAATACCGCTGGGTTCGGCCGACACGTCCCTCAAAACCTTGACGACTTGGCGTGGAATGACCCTAGGGTCCTCCCTCACTCGTGTAAATTTTGTCAGAATATCATGTACGTGTCGGAAATCCTGATCAAAATTCGCACACCTCTCCAGAGGTGTGAAAGCTGAAATTCTGAAAACCTATTCCAAAATTGATTGCCTGAGTTCTGCAGAATGTCAGAATGAGTTTCCAGCTTTCAGAGGTGCGCGAATACTCATCAGGTTCCTGACGTTCTGACAAGATTTACACGAGTGGTCCCATCACAGATGGAATCAGTATAATGTGCACGGTTCATATTGCTTTAAGAGTGGACCTGAAGGTTGACACTAGTCATTGGGAACTATTTGTAACATTACGAATTACGTTAATTTAAAAGTACAAAGCGTTTGTGATTGAGCATTTGCAGAAGTTAAGTAACCATTAACAAAAAAATTCTAAGAGTGTGTAATTAGTTTTCTATAATTTTGGCCAAATTTGAATCTTTTTCTTCGTTTCGCATCTCTTCCCGAGCACCCATGTAAATTTTTGTATCTAATCATTTAACGGGTCTGTTGTCAATTTGAAAATCTGTCGAAGTTTTCCTCTATTACACGCTTAACTATCATATAGTTTCTTCGTGCTTTGCCCGGAACTGGGCACGTATTCGTGCAGTAACGCTTCAAGAAGCGCGTTCTCTTACTTTGCCTCACACAAATTTGTGCAATTTCCGAACGTACGCTCCAATCCGTCAAAAGTCATGCTCAAAAGTCTATTTAGTGTGTACGGATGCCAGGTGTTACTATTGGATAGATCCTTGTAGCTTTATCGTCTTTGATTTCCAACGGACAGTGGACCAGAAGACCGGCGGAGGCGGCCAAAATTCTAGACGCGTTTTGAGTTGCGAAACAGGACTTTAACCGAACCTGCGACCCCACCAATGGATTCCTCGTTCGGAGAGCATTCCATTGGTGGGGTCACACCTTCGGTTCGAGTTCCATTTAGCGACTCTGGAGCTCAAAACGCGTCTAGAGTTTTGGCCGCCTGCTCCGGTCCTCGGCCCACTGTGCAACGACATGTCTGTTTCCAGATGTGGCTGCTGGAGCGCGCGCCGCAGCTGCGCCTGCTGGACATGAGCGGCCTGGCCACGGCCGACGACTGGGGCTTCGAGCACGACGAGGCAGTGCGGGACGCGTGGGAGCGCCTCGACTGCATGGACTGCCCGGCCAGGCAGCTCGACATCCGCGTGGAGCGGGACGGCTGTGCCAAGATCGGACTGCTGGCGAGGCAAGTTGTGGTTAATCTGATGGTGCTCCTCTTCATCGTGTACTGGCGATTCGAAATACGTTTAATGTGTACGTGCAATTTTGTACGTGATGATGCCTGATTCTAACCAGGTGTAACGTTTCGCTTGAAATTGCGCTACAATTGGCTAGGGTTGGAAAATTTCTGAAAACTTTCTGAGTTTTGAAAAGTTTTCAAAAAAAAATCTAACAAACGGAAAATTTCCAGAGATTTTTGAAATATAGGAAATATTCCTGAAATAGGCCTGTAACGCGTACCTATGAGGTTTTCTTTCGTGAAAAAAATTCAATGAATTGTTTAATACGTTAGTCCTCAGGAAAATTTGAAGGCAAAAGGCTATTTGTCTTTATTTTTGTCGAAGTGACGTTCATCATTTGTGTTCTTGTAACTGGTTTTTCGAAAGAGGCCAATCCTCTGGGGCAGACATGACTTATAATGCCCATTTCGCCACGTTTGGAGGGTGTGCTTGACCAATAATGTTCCAGGGCGTCTGTAAAATTGTCCCTCCCTCTGATATGCTTGCGGTGATGACAGTGCTCTGAGCCAAGGGGAAATAATTCCAGCCAAATTTGTACACCGAAATTCATCAAACATGTAAAATTCGCAAAAGTTTTGTACACCGAAATTCACAGTGATTTCCCCTTGCTCTGAGCACACTGTTCAGTTTGCAGAGCAGGGAAATAACATTGAAACTCCCGACAGATGGGGCCCGCATTTGAAGAGACTGACGCTGCGCCTGGGCACTGGATTCTGCGAGTTCGGTCGCGAGTACGGGCAGATGCAGCTCGCCATCAAGATCGTCGGCAGCTCGATGGCCCAGCTCACCCACCTGGACCTGACGTACGAGCAGCAGGAGGGGGCGCCTGGCGGCTACGACAAGGAGCTGGGCAAGGGATGCCCCTCCCTGGTGTCCTTCACGTTCCACTTCCCCACTCAGCGGGACTACGGCCACTGGAAGGAGGTGGGTACATCACTGTTAAAAAGTTTGTTGTTACTTAACGACAGATAAATTTTGTCGTCACTTAACAACGCATAAATTTTTTCTTTACTTAAAGACCCCTTAAATTTTGTCGTTACTAAATGACACACAAATTTTGTCGTTACTTGACGACACCTTAACTGCTAGTTTGTTTAGCGGCAAGATTTGTTTTGGAACGAATAGCTTGTTAAACCATAGTCCTATTGCAACTGAAGGATAAACTTCCAATAACATATCAGCAGTCCACCTTCCAAAACAAGTCGTTGACCGAAACCAAATTTTGTAAGTCAGTAGACAAGTATTGTAAATCATAAAAGGTTTTGTAATGTCTGCGATAAATATTGATTGAGTACTTTCGTCACTATCAGTAACTATTTTTCATGGTCCTACTCCTAATATTAATAATAAAAATTGTCTTTGAAAAAATAAAGTTGTCAACAATTCCAAGAAACTTTCAAACACTGTCAATGATCAATCTCAAATTGAAAAAAGGCCAGACCGTGCCAAGATCCCTTCCCATCCTCTTCATATTGAAAGGTTGTTACAGCACATCTTAAGGGTAGTCCAATTTCAGTTAAATATATGTTCAACGCCTTAAAACTATCTAATCATATCAAGCAGACAAACTATTAAGTTTTTAATACTAGTTGTTAAAATATTAAGCTCATGCGCGAAAAAGATAAGACAAGCTTCTTTTTTTTTGTAACATCGAAAATAGTAATTAAGGTTTTTAGAGTGCGCACAAATTCGATGGCTGAACTGCAGGTGTAGTTCATGAAGAAAAGTGAATTTTCTTTTTTTAGATTGCTTAATTTTTAATATCTTTCGCCGTCACGAAACTTCTTCTGGTGCACGTTGGACCTGTTGGACCTTTGGAGCGTGCTCCAGATGCTGATGGTTGGACGGCGTGCTGCAGGTGGTGCTGGACGTGCTGGCCCACAAGAGCGGCCAGCTGACGGAGCTGGCGCTGCTGGCCTCGGACAAGTGCCCCGAGGTGCCCGCCGAGCTGTGGCCTGCCATCGGCCGGTGCACGCAGCTGCGCCGCCTCGCCGTGCCGACGCCGCCGGGCCTGGCCGTGGTCGGGCAACTGCCGCTGCTCCGGGACTTGTCGCTGCAGCCGTCGGAGCACGCTAGCGTCGACGAGGAGACCCGTGAGCTGCTGCTGGCGGGGCACGCTGTGCTTGGGGGACTGCAGCGGCTGGAGCTGCATTTGCCGGCCGCGCCGCCCGCCGCGTCGAGGACCTACGGCCCGGGGCCTATCCGCCGCCCCACGGACCACATGGCTGTGTTACTGGACGACCTGCTCAGCCGTGAGTGCCATATTTCCATTTCCCATCGACCTTGCTCTTTTGTTCATAGGGTTCTACACTGTTATAAATGGTTGTTTTAAAACAACAACACAATTACCAACCTCGACAACGCACTGATAATCCAAGTGTGGGACAGGCATGCACTAGATAAAGTGGGACAAAATGTCCCACGTTTGCAAGCGTGGGACAAACCGTGTTACACGCTTACAAGCGTGGGACAAACCGTGTCCCACACTTACAAGCGTGGGACAAACGGTGTCCCACGTTTGTAAGCGTGGGACAAATCCGTGTCCCACACTTGCAAGCGTGGGACAAACGGTGTCCCACGTTATCTAGTGCATGCCTGTCCCACACTTGGATTTTCAGTGCGCTGTTGTTTGAAAACAAGTTTGCTGGTTTTAAACAACAAATTCGTTGCTAATTATTTTTCTGACTTATGCTGTTTAAAAACAATATTTTGCTGCGTACAAACAACCCGGACAATCTAAGAAGTGATAACTGCGGGTCACTGGAACTTTACTAAGTCTGTGACTTAATCGGCAATCAAAATTGATGCAAATAAGGCTGTCTACTGGTTTACAAACATCGCAAGTCGTTAGTGAACAACTAGAGCCGTTTGTAAACAACTTTGATCATTCAGAAAATAAGCAACATATATACTGCTAAATTACAACATTATTTTGAACAGTGTAAAACAGCTTCTTAAAACAGATCCTAAAACAAATTTTGAAAAACCATGGAAAAATCCTTTTTTTTTTTTTTTGCAAAGAAAAGAAAATGGAAAAAACTTTGTTTGCTAATAGTGGTCTTTTTAACGGTTTGTGCGAAGTTAGGTGTGCATTATGTCAGATTTGAGTCAATATTTATTAATGTTGTTCCCCCATACTAACAATACAACAAAAATAAAATCCTACGGGTGTTTTCTTCATGTATGTACTAGTAAACGGAGACGTTTTAACTGTTTCAAGCTGATGTTGATGAGAAGTTATCGGAAAAAGACCACCCAACCAAGTGACACAAGCTCACAAAGTATGTATGGACACAACAATAGTCCAAACAGGTGAAAAAGCATTTTTTTCCCATAGTTATCCGATATCATTCCTAAAATGAAAAACCGTTAACCCGCAAGAGTTGAGCGTGAAACGTGAATCGCCCAGGGATTCAATCCCTTGGGTTGAAAATTCTAGTAAAATTGTCCTCCTTTCACACTAAATTCTTATGGACTTTTTAAATGCATAAGGACGCATTTTTAATGCATAGTTATGCATGCGCAGAAACGTCCTTAAGGTATGTAAAAATTTATGCATCACTGTGTTCTTTTTATGCGTCTTCCTGCATAAAATGTACACAGTGATGCATAATATTATACATAACATAAGGACGTTTCTGCGCATGCATAACTATGCATAAAAAAGTCCATAAGAATTTAGTGTGTTGTCGGCAGGGATTTGCAGCGAGGTGCGATGCCTGTGCCTGACTGGAGGCTGCTACCCCGCTGCCGTGATGGCCGGTCTTCTGGGGGACGTCACCAGGATGCCCGCCTTGACCGAGCTCCGCCTGCGTGCCGTCCAAGACATGCGGTCGGGCCACCTGCAACAGCTGGCCGCCTCAGGCCGTCTAAAGGTGAGAGGATTTCTCTGTCGCTGGCAGGCGCCGTTTCAGAGAGAGATAGAGAGGGGGGAGGGGGGGAGAGGAGGAGGTGGCGATCCCTCCTGAAAGGTAGTTCACAAGTATCACGTTGCCCCTGTAGGTAGGCAACTTTGGTGACCTCCCCATCCCCCCCCCCCCAAAAAAAAAAAGTCTGGATCTACGTTGGGACAAGAGCTTTGTGCTCTGGGAACCGAGGAACGTGACATCATTACAAAATTACGTGACGTCACTACAAAATTCAAACGTCACTACAAAATTCAAACGTAACTCTGCGATCTTTTGAATAAGTCCCCTCGGTGTTCACTTTTGGTCGGAAAAATGGGTCTTGGTTCAGACAACGGTGTTTCGAACCTTTTGGCGAGCTTGGGGAAAACAAGTGCCTCTACGAAGGCTCTGTTTTTTGTTGGCTGCTGTCACTGACTTTTGCTTTTTATTTTGTTGCAGGTTATTCGCCTTGAAGACGTCTCGGTGAAGCATGACATGCTGGTGTGGAGTGTGGATCTCCCTGGGCTTCAACACCCGACTGAGTAGAGCATACGTGTGGTGTTCCCCTATGACCCTTTCGTTTTTGGTTATTTGTCCAACAAAGTAGCCAACGAGGTCATTTCAGTGATCAGTTTAATTCAGTATTATTTCTTGTAGACTATTTGAAGGCATTATATTTTGCTAAGCGAACTGCTTGTGCCGTTATTATACCATAAATGAAGTTTGAACTGCTGCGTTGAGACCTAATATGTCATCGTCTCTTTTGTTATGTATTTATGTGTGATTTATATCATTGCTGACTATGTGTGATTGACGGTTTTGGTGTGCGATAACACAATGTTGAGTTTCAATAAATGTCTGAACATGAGATGCTCGAAACAAAATTCTGTGAAATGTCGATTTTCTTGTTGCCAGGTGGCAACATCCAGCCAATTTTTAAGCCTTAAAAACACAGATGATAGTAAAATGTTAATTTCGCCTACAACGGGTGCAGGTAACTTTACACCTGTATAACCTCTCGACAATGACTTATTTTTGTTCTGAGCAGCGTTTCCAATGACGTTTCAAATACCGTACGAAAACTGATTTTCGCTTGTAATCAAAATAACCGTTAACACTGCTTCGTACAGTACTACACAGCACAGCACACTGGTACACTGGCTTCTTCAAAGGGCGAAGGTAACAAGCCCGGTTTGAGGGAGAAATGCTCTATTTTCACGTTAATTCTAGTTGCTGAGATATAATTAAGCCGTCTTCCAGGCCCAACAAAAACACGCTACATTATGAACAGCAGAACTTTTAATCTCAATCCCTCTTATCTCTCTCCTTTGAGTTACAAGAGTTTTACTGAAAGGTGGCGAGGAAGCGGAGTAGAGTGCCTGCGCGGGCCTACGTGAGACCTTTCAGTTCGCATTTTAGTGAAAGGTAAAAATAGCGCATGACGAACGCGTCATAGTAGTAGTACACCCTTTATCGCAGTCTTGCGATAAGCACCTTGAGATCTACCGTGCGGTTGAGATTTCAATTGCTTCAACTCGGAAGTCATATCTAGGGTCACTTAATCCAGTAGTAGCTCCTTCACAGAACCCCATTGATGTTAGGGAAAATCGTCGCGTGGAGATAAACTGATAAACCTTCCTGCTAAGATCTTACTCAATGTTACGAAACATTGATTATTTCAAAAGGGTCCACCCATGGCGGAGCAGTATATAACCGTCAGAAGCAAGCCTACGTGCTTGAGAGAGCAACTTTGGACTAAAACGCCGTAAAAGTGAGGTAGGTGAGACACTTTGCACCGTGTTGGGCGAATAGTTCGGTCGAAAAGTTTCTATTCGAAGTCGGATTTGCACAGTTCGATCCCAAATCATGCGAAATTTCGAATCTTTGTTCGTTCGTCGGTTCGTCCTCTGAGACGGACAAAAGTTAAAAAGTCATCAAATGACAAAGTTCGAATGCGCATCGAATTGTTTATTTTGATTCAAATTCTATTCGGCGACTTTCCTGATTCGGTTCTAATCCGATTCCAAAGTAATTGAAGATTCGATTCGTAACGTAAATCCTTGATTCGCACACTACTAGATTCAAACCTTTATAACGTGTACAAAAGCGCGCTCAAGCACAAGAACGTTCACGTTTCACCATAATCTAGGTGATGGTGGTCAACAGACTGTCTACTTCTAAGGGTGAGGTGACTAATCGAAACATTTCAAAACAGGCTCATTTTGGAATGTTTCGCCCCCACTTGGGAGTACCAAACTGTGAATTGGTAGTTTTAATTGCTGCACACTAAATTCTTATGGACTTTTTAAATGCATAAAGACGCAGTTTTTATGCATAGTTATGCATGCTCAGAATCGTCCATATGTTATGTATAAAATTATGCATCACTGTGTACATTTTATGCATCTTCCTGCATAAAATGTACACAGTGATGCATAATATTATGCATAACATATGGACGTTTCTGAGCATGCATAACTATGCATAAAAAAGTCCACAAGAATTTAGTGTGTGGGTACAGCAACCATAAGTTCTACAGCATCAAAAGTTAACTATTTCAGATAAAGTCTCCTGCTTTATCATAAAAATCCTCTACAGTTTGCAAGTCACAATATCCCGCCTCTTTCACTGATTCGGCAATTTTGAAGGGTGACTGGCAAAACCGAGGGGGTAAACACTTGCGTAATACCGTGTACACAAAAGTCGGGTATTACGCCGTAATACGCGTAATAGTAATACATTTTGGGACCAAAAATATCAAAACATGTCATTTTTCAATGAAATCGAGGCGTAATACAAGTGTAATACCCCGTAATAGGGAGTAGTCTGTACAAGGTTCACCGGAGTGTTTACCCCCTCGGTCAAAACACAAGGGGAAATCCCTGTGAATTTCGGTGTACAAATCCGATAAATTTCGATTAATTTCAGTCGAATTTCGATTAATTTCAGTCGAATTTCGATTAATTTCAGTCGAATTTCGATTAATTTCAGTCGAATTTCGACGAATTTCAGTGGAATGTTGATGAATGTTACATGAATGATGAATTTCGGTGTACAAATTTGACTGGAGTTATTTCCTCTTGTCAAAACACACAAGCGAACGTTTCTCTGTCTTGCCGCAAAGTCAGACCTTGTCTTCTCAGAGAAGTCTATGCGAGTCTGACTGACCCCCTCATTTAAGATTGTTCTGTTACAGCGTTTGAGGGAAGACATGTTCAAGCCGGTGATGTTGGCCGCCTTGTTGGCGGGGGTGGCACACTGCCGCTTCATGGAACCCTCCAGCGACCCATACGCACTTCCGGAAGGAATGCTCATCGGGGCGGGCGTGTCCGCCCTTCAAACAGAGGGCGCCTGGAATTTGTCGGGTGAGCGATTCCAACACTTCACCCCTCACCCTACACTCTGTCTCAGGTCGGAACGAGCCTGGCGAGGTTCACTTGCCTCCTCAGCAACTGCAGCAACACCTCTGAAATGAAAAGGGACAGACCCTTCGCAGCGGGGGTTCGGCACAGGCCGCTGCCACCCTCAATAGCAGGTAGCCGCACTACCGCTGCAACAACGCGACCGTCTCCAGGCTCGTTCCGACCTGAGACAGACTGTATATTACAACACTGAAAATCAAATAGTGATACATCTCACTCTCTGAGGGGCGAGACATAACTGTCTCACCGAAAAAGGTTGATACTAAAATGTCTCACCGAAAAAATGGTCGTACACGCATGTATCACCGAAAAAAAAAGGTCGTGCACAAATGTATCACCGAAAAATGGGTCATACCTCTCCAGGAAAACAAGGGCCAATCTCGCTGATGTCTCACCTTTTTTCGGTGATACATTCGTGTAAGACCTTTATTTCGGTGATACATTTTGCATTGCCGAAAATTTGTGAGATGTCTCACCCTTTGAATTACAGCGAACGAAGTCTTTTTTGAGTTGGTGAAGTAAAGCATGAAAGCAGTAGCCTGCCCGAGTCCCCTCAATTTAAGACTGGCAAGCTTAAACAACATTCATGTTGACTCAGCTCTGTGAAAATTTGTTTCCACTTGATGGGAACACCGTGGATGGTATCTTTATCGCTTGAAAATTACACTTTCATCACAAGTCAGTGATATTTTGATCCATGCTCCTATACTTATTGAGTGCGCCGTGACAAAGGCCACAAGCAAGTTTTATAACATTCTTGTAGAGAAAATTAGCCTTTAAACTGTCATCAAGTGACGACTAAACTTTTTACTATGTGTCTGTGTTGGTCTAACACTCTAAATGTCTTACGAAGAAATTTCCCATAATACGAAGGAATATTGCTTCGTATTATGCTTGCGCTGAATTCACTGTATGCAAATAACATGGTACAAATTTCATTGTAAGACATTTAGAGTGAAGTTTGTTTCACGAGTACACGGGGTTTCTTCAGTTAATGAAACCCCGATTTCTAAGGGCTCACGCAGGAAAGGCCGAAAGTGCTGCGGACTACGTTCTGCACCTCGGCAAGTTGAGTTCCCTTGGCTTCGGCGACCCGCACGACCATGACGTGGCGGCCGACTCGTACCACCGGTACAAGGAGGACATCGCCATGGCCGTCAAACTGAAGGCAAGTCCAGCACAGTGGGCCAGAAGACCGGCGCAGGCGGCCAAAACTCAAGACACGTTTAGAGCACCAGAGTCGCCACATAGGACTCTAACCGAACACTGAGAATGAAAGAGTCATGATCATGACTAAAATTTTGGGAGAGGAACTCTTTACCGCCCAAATTTGGGCGAGGAAAGTTTCCTCGCCCAATTTGGGTGAAGAAGGTTTCCTTACCCAAATTAGGGTCATAATACTACGGAGCCATATAGGTAGCTGATACACCCTTCCTCACTCAATTTTGGGCGAGGAAGCGTTCCTCGCCCAAATGTGGGCGAGGAAAAATTCCTCGTCCAACTTTGAGTGATAAAGAATACCTCGCCCAAAATTGGGTATTGATCATATGATCATATGACTTTTTCATTCTCAGAGAACGTGTGACCCCACCAATGGATTTGCTCTCGGAACGAGGAATCGATTGGTGGGGTCACATGTTCGGTTCAAGTCCAATTTATACGGATTCTTAAGCTGGTTCTACAAGGAGAATACAAAGGCTATGAGTAAGACAAATGGTGCGTGCACCGATTGGTGCAATGCTTTTGCATTGCTCCTGAAGTGCAATGCCTTCCCCTGCATTAGCATGGGGCATTTTTCGGGACGCATTGCACGAAAGGTGCAATATGGCTATGGCATTGCACGTGTGGTGCAATATCTCAGTGCATTGCACCATACGTGCTGTACACAAAGCGTTTGTATAGTGTATTGCCGTGGTCAGCGCGGAGCAATCGCATGGAGAACTCATGTCGCTTTAAGCGACTTTTATTAAGAAAGTCCTAACACATCTACCACTCCTCTAAGTCTGTTTCAGATTTTTTAAATTAATTTTTTAAAGATAATTAAAGCAAGAATGATTAGTTCATGCAATCACTCTCATTCCAGGAACGTGACATCACGTTAAAACGAACGTGACAAAATGTCACGTTCGTTTGATTGTGAACAAGCTGATTTTTGGCCAATTCACACCCAAACGAATGTGACACAATGCTCAAACAAACGCGACATTTTGTCACATTTTGTGACATTTTGTCACGTTTGTTTCAACGTGATGTCACGTTCCCGGAATGAGAGTGTTAATAAAGGGTCTCCTGCACGTAAGAACCAAGTGCGTTCACGTTAAAACAAAGTAAATTTAATTGTTACAGCTGACGCTCTATCGATTTTCCATCTCGTGGTCTCGCGTCCTGCCCGACTCCGACCCGTCCAACCCCAACATGGAAGGGGTTCAGTACTACCACGACCTCATCGATGAAATCCTCCGAAACAATTTGACACCCATGGTAAGCATTAATGGTCGACCACCAAGTACATGTACCGCAGCAATTATCATGTCAATGACATGATCATAGTAGGGATGCTAAATTACCGGTAAAATTCAACGTTACGTAAAAAACGGTAATTTACCGTAATTTACCGTAAAATTGGTAATTTTCGGTAAAATTCGAGTTTTTGGCTGATTTATCAAATATTCATGTTTTCCAATGGAATTAAAGTGTAAAAAGGGATTATTTTTATTGATATGACAGTAAATCGACATAATTTACAAATCAGTGGATAGGGTCAATATTTATTAACTGATCAACCAATTTCAATTTTACAAGAAACCCACTGAGATTCCAAACGCTATGAGTATAGCACGTATGGTGCAATGCACAGAGATATCGCACCATACGTGCAATGCCATAGCCATATGCATGGGAATGGGAAGGCAATGCAAAAGCATTGCACAAATTGACGCTATACTTAAAGCGTTTGGATTCTCAGTGCCGTCGTAAACAAAGATCGACTAGCAAAGCAGCGGTGTATTCCCCTTCAGGAGGCACAGCCTTCTTGCTAGCTAGCCAAAGCTCCTATGTGGACTGTTTCACAAGGCCCTGGTGGTGAAGGGCGGTCAGTTTGAATCCGTTACAATGATAATATGTTACACTTTGCTTCTATTTGAGTCCCGAGTTCATTTAATTTACGAAAACAACTATATGGCCAAAAATTGAATTTTACCGTTAATTACCGGATTTTCGACGTCGCGGTAAATTACGGTAAATTACCGTTATTTACCGGTAATTACCGGTAATATTACCGTCCTTCGCATCCCTAGATCATAGCCTACAGCGAAGTCAGCTACAGCCCTACTCTACAAACTGAAGTGTGTACTCAGTGTGCACTTACAGGAGCCTACATGCAAATACACACCTACAAATGCGTACGTGGCTGAGTAAACATCAATAGATGTACACCTGCAGATGCATACTGAGGAGTTCACACTTATAACATGCACCTGTAGGTTTGTTCTCAGACAAGTATTCCAGTCCGGATTGAACCTTATTTGAGCCCCGCAGCAAAAACGTGATGCCGAAAAAGAATAAAATATACGAGGGGGCAACCACATTGGATGTTTGAGGACTCAAGATTTCTTGAAGTTAAAGATTTTGTCGGATTTCGCAAGATTTTAAACAATATTCCGCCCAAAATAAGCTTGTTTTTGGCCTTCCTGGGGACCAGATTTCAGATTTCCCAGAGATTTCTAGCGCTAAGGGGACACAAGATTTCTAGAGCGGTTGCCCCCTCGAAAATATACATGATTTCTTGTCGCTGAGCCTAAATGGGGCTCAGGTTGGGGGCTCTGTCGGGGCTCAGACCGGGGCTCGAGTTGGGGCTCAAGTTGGGGCTCAACACGGCCTCAGGTTGGGGCTCACGCCAAGGCACTTCGTGGTTGAAACGGGACGGGGCTCATGTCCTGTATGCCAGAGAACAGCGTAGATTCGTCTAGTGCGTGGATTGAGTTGATACTATCTTTCTTCACTGACAAAGGTATAACTCAATTGCTTTCAGGCGACTCTCCACCACTTCGACCACCCTCGCATCCTGGAGGACCAGTTCAAAGGCTTTCAAGGAGAGGAGATGGTCGCCAAATTCAAGGAATACGCCCGATTTGCCTTCAACCAATATGCAGGAAAGGTGAGGGAAATCATCTTTTCTGGCCCTTTTCAACGTCTTAAACGAAATGCTTTTTGGGTTAGTTCCTCGGTCAGTTCTCCGAAAATAACGAGGAGTTTCGAATGGTCACGGTGGCGTCTCATGGGAGGGTCAACGATCAACTTGTGCATGACGACAGTTCACAATGAAACGTACCAACCAAACCATAAGACCACACTGAGAATGAAAGAGTCATGATCATGACTAAAATTAGGGGTGAGGAATTCTTTATCACCCAAATTTGGGCGAGAAAAGTTTCCTCGCCCAATTTGGGTGATAAAGGTTTCCTTACCCAAATTTGGAGCCATAAAGGTAGCTTATACACCCTTCTTCACCCAAATTTGGGTGATAAAGAATACCTCGCCCAAAATTGGGTATTGATCATGACTTTTTCATTCTCAGTGCACGGCTCGACATTCGGATGCTGGACTCAGTTAACGTTAATGAAAAAGTCATGATCAATACCCAATTTTGGGCGAGGTATTCTTTATCACCCAAATTTGGGTGAAGAAGGGTGTATCAGCTACCTTCCATTTGATGCTTACTTTCCTAATGAGCTCGATACTTGTTGAGGTGTACGTCACGCTAGGTCATTTGGCTTTGAGTTTCGCTAGGCTTACGTTCTTTGTGACTGCCATGTCCCCGGAGCAAGCAGTAAAGTTTGATTATTAATTCTGTTTCAGGTGAAGCTCTGGGTCACGGTGAACGAGCCCAACATGTACTGCATCTACTTCCCAAATTTGTACAACATCTCTGGTTTGTACACTGACAATGACATGCAGCGGTACGACTGCGTCAGGCACACCATCCTCGCGCACGCCGAGGCGTACCACGTTTTCCACGAGGACAATCACGAAGGTAATTTCAATATGGGACTAAAATATGGACATTTCACCAATTTGATCATTAGAAAGGCAACTCTTTCGTCAAAATCGGTGATTTTTATAAATTTTGAGAGAGCCAAGCCTTTTTTGTGTCCAATTAAATACAAAACATATTTCAAGGCCTTTTAGACCATTTGGAAACTTGGATCAAAATCAATTTTTGGACGTGTTTTTGAAAATTGGTCAATTCTCAACTTCCATTTCGGGGCGTTGTTCTAGTGACTTTCAGCACGAACTATGGGTAGCGCACGCTTAAAACTTTACAAAGTATTTTAAGCATACATAGTCAATTAACTTTGTTGTACGAAGAAATAGTTCGTAAATTAGGAAGTATTTTCTTTGTAAGCCAATGTATGCTCAAAATACTATGTTATAACAAGCTGCTTTTTTTTTGTAAGACCTAAAATAGTTTGTAAGGTTTTCTCAGTGCGAAAATTATTTTCTGAGGCGTGACAAAATTCACCTTCTAACGAATTATATGATGTCACAAGCGTAGAATAACAGTGCTGTAGTTACACTTCAGTTTTCCCATTGCACCTGCTCGGCAAAACAGAAGGCGATACCTGCCACTTGCCGCAGGTCGTGTCGGCTTCACCGCCCTGCTGACCCCCGCCCGGCCGAACAGCACTCGCTCTGAGGACGTCTACACGGCAGCAGCCTACAATGAACTGCAGGCTGGCTTGGCGCTCAACCCAGTGGTGCACGGGGACTGGCCCCAGGTAACGGAAAACTTTACATCAGGAAAAGTAAGCAATGCAATTCAGACACGTTTCCTAGCTTCGAAGCATCGTTGGCAAGCACAGATTTTTCGCGTGCATCATTGATCACGCAGCATGAGAGAAGGGATCCTCTCTCATCATTGCAGAAACAAAACGTTCCGGATCATCTGCATGCTCGTTTGTGTAAAACTTTTATCTGACGGGGGCTCGAGCGTGTGTAATCAAGGAAAAAACATTGCCCTCACTAAAACGAGAAAATTATACGGGAAGGTCCAAATTTATGCATGCTACACTCTTTTGTCTAGAAATTCATGCCACTTCAGCTTCCTTATTAATCTAGCGCTTCCGTTGCGAGGATTTATAGCGCTTAAAGCATACTGCTTTCTCTGTACTGAGTCTCTCTGTCTCTGTCTCCACTCTCATTCCAGGAACGTGACATCACGTTGAAACAAACGTGACAAAATGTCACGCTCGTTTGAGCATTGTGTCACATTCGTTTGAATATGAACTGGCTGAATTTTGACCAATTCACACCCAAATGAGTGTGACGCAATGCTCAAACGAACGTGACATTTTGTTACGTTCGTTTCAACGTGATGTCGCTTTCCTGGAATGAGTGAGTCCGGCAGGTGCAATGGGACCCCAAGCTAGTCAAACGATTTCGTTCAACTGTTGGATGAAGTAACCACACCATCAGTGACTATCTCTCACTTAAACACCATTTCCCCTACAGGATGTCAAGGACCTCGCTGGCAGTAAAGTTCCTGAATTTAGCGAAGCAGAGAAGCAGCGAATCAAGGGTAAGTTGCCCTTTCGCCTAAATCAAAGATGCTTATGGTTCGATCGCTACTCGGTTCGCAACGTTCACTCGTTGCTGCTCTTCCTTTAATCGACATTTTACTAATATTCATTGCCGTTTGTGCGCACTAAGAATTTCGTTCAGAAGATGAAGAGTTTCGTCAAAACGAAATTGATAACAATGTTGTTAAAACAAAACAAAAATGTTGATACGCTTATTAATGCGCACCAACGTCAATACGTTATTCAACAAAAACTTAATACGAGTCTCGAGTCTGAGAGTGCAGATGAACCATCCGGAGTCTTTCTTTAAATTATATTTTCAGACCTGTCAGTTGTCTGGGAAAACATTTGATCCTTTTTAAATCTTGTCAGAACGTCAGAAACCTGTCTGAAAACCTGATCAGAATTAGCGCACCTCTGAAAGCTGAAAACTTATTCTGACATTATGTAGAACTCAGGCCATCAATTCTAGCATAAGGGTAGTACGGACGGTTCCGGCAAATTGTTGACCAGACATGTTCCGTACTTTTTCTGTACTTTTTTGTCGCACTGTAGACTACTTTTTAGAGTGCGTTTTCCTGCTTTGCCAGGGACCGCGGACTTCCTGGGCTTCAACGTGTACTACACGCTGACGGTCGCCTACAAGACGCCCGACAACGCCACCGACGGCGGCAGCATCCGCGGCGGCATGCACTGTTAAAAGAAACTGTAGGAAAACAGCACATTTACCAACGAGTGATTTGCTTTTAAGCAGCACGTGTCATCGGAACTTAAAACAGCACAAATGCTGTTAGGAAACAGCAAGTTTCATCATTGGAGAAAACAACAAATATAGTCGATTTCCAATGCTGGAAAACAGAACATCTTGTTTGTAAAATTAATGATATATGCTGTTTTGGAACGGTATCCTGTCATTTAAAAACAACACCATTCAATTGAAGATTTGCCGGAGCATTTTGCAGCTCACGGCTCAAATCAAACTCCAACTATGTCAAAATAAATTCTGTTGTTTCTGAACAGCATTTGTGTTGTAAAGTTTTTTAGCAACACTTCCAATTTTTAAACAGCGGTGAACTGTCCAAGAACTGCACGAACTGTTACAAAACAAATGTCTTGTTTGAGCCGTCAGGAAACTCCTATTTCCTTTTTGTGAATAACAGAGAGACCGCGTTGAAGAACAGTGCTGTTTGTAAACAGAAAAGAGCGTTTCTGAATGACTGCTAGTATTGGATAAGACTATTAGTACACAGTAAACTTCTTACGGATACATCCTATCTGTATTACGGACATTTTTGTGCAATTGCAATTACGGATAGATTTTGCTTGTAATACGGATGAAATCATCCGTATTACAAAGAGTTTCCGTCCGTAACCTACGGACGAAAATATCCGTATGGTACGGACGTAAAACTCTTTGTAATACGGATGATTTCATCCGTATTACAAGCAAAATCTATCCGTAATTGCAATTGCACAAAAATGTCCGTAATACAGATAGGATGTATCCGTAAGAAGTTTAGTGTGTACCCTCGACATTTTTTTTGTAAATGTATAACAACTTCTTTGTTTGAAAACAGAAAAGTGTTGTTTATGAACAGGTTGGTGCCATTTGGAAATGGTAATTCTGTTACACAACAACTTATTGTCAGAGATCAGATACAGAGAGCCATCATCCCTTTTTACAACACTGCTGTTGAATAACGACTCAGTGTCCAACAATATGCCGTTCTTCTACAACAAGTGTTGCTAAAAAACTTAACAGGATATATGCTGTTAATTAACAGCATCTTTTCTATCAGTGTGGGCAGCGTCACGGCAGACATCCCGTTCGCCCACGTGGCCTTCGACGGCCTCAGGCAGGGCGAATCCAACGACCTGCTGTTTTACAAGGTTGGTCCGGAACACTCGAATCCTTCAATCGACATTTTATCAATATTCATTGATGTTTAATTGACGCATTAATACTCTACAAATCAAAGAGTGTACATGGTATGCTCTAACTGGAGCATGCCTGCAAGCACGCTCTATCTAGCGCCATGTACACTAGGGGCCGTCGACATTTGCGACTTTTCGATTTCGACAACGGAATAGCACTCAAAAGTTGCGTTTTTTAATGCTGATTTCAGATCTGTCCTTGGTTTTGCGATCAGACTAAGCTTTGATGACCCTACCGGCCGTTTTATGCAAAAAAGCGGTGTTTTTCATGTTTTTACTGTGTTAAGGCTCCCGGACAGCCTCCACGTCGTCGGCCAAGGTAGGTGACCGTTGAGTTGTCTTCAGTAGCATAAAAGACGACACTCTGAGCCACGAGGGGTCGTGGGTCACCCCTCTAATGTGCCAAAGACTTGAAAAACTGAATTTTTTTGGTCGAAAATCACTCAATTTTTACCATTTTTTCACCGTTTATCGACCATTACGAGAGCCCACGGGCCCGAGGTCATAACTTACGCAGACCAAAAGGTGTCACTGGGTATAAGAAAGGTCACCCAGCCCCTGCCCGGGCCCGGGGAGGCGCTGGGGCAGCGAGAGATAGGTGGTGTCGAATATGTTAAAAATGACCAAAATCAGCTGATCGGCCGCCTGGGACAGGCTGTGTAGGGGATGGGAGCGTGTCGCCGCGCCGGTCATGACGCTTCGCCCGCTGCCCGCCCAGCCGGCCTGCTAGCCAGCCGGCCTGCCAGCCCGTCGGCGCTGCGTAAGACTGCAAGAGGGACAGAGCGACGGGAGCTGCAGGGCGGGCAGGCTGAAAGCGTTTCCGAAGAATCCATCGCTGCCTCTGTCGCACCCCGGAGGCAGAGCGACGGAGTGCTGCTGGCGCGTGTTGAGTTTGAGTTGCCTAGGCCTAGAGCCCTAGAGTGGAGAGAGACGCCACCGCCAGTGCGTGAGCGCGCGCGCGCGGTCAGTGCTGCGCGTGGTTTGCCATACTTTGCTCTGCTTTGCTGCGAGCCAGTGTCTCCCCGGCTCGGCTCGGCCCGCGCGGCTAAGGGCTCGGCTTGGCTCCGCTCGTACCGACGTTGCCAGATTGCCAGTCGGAAGGGATGGGCAGGCAGCGGGTGGGTCCGAGAGCTAAGTTCTTTTATTGCTTCCAAACCGTTCAAGTTAGGTGGGTACAGTAAGCGAGCCGATTGTAGTTCACAGTTCAGGCTACAATCGGCTCGCTCACTATGCACCTCTAACTTTAACGGTTTAGAAGTTTTGCCAGTAATAAGGTCTTTTGTAGCAGTAGCTAAACCGTCCTATGTTGCCACATTACACCGTTTTTCACCCAACTATGGAAAATTGTGCATCCGGATGTCTGATCGGGGTGGCGTCTCTCTCCACTCTAGGGCTCTACCTAGGCCGAGCCCGACTTGAGCGCCGGCACGAGCACTGACTGAGCTACGATGGCCAGAGCCCCGAACCGAGCCTGGTTTGAGCTTCGACCTGAGTCCCATCTGAGCCCCACGCCGAAAAAAATTCCATTTTTGAATTGTTCTTCGAAGATTTTGGTTCAAATTGAAAAGTTTTAACTTTTTAGGCGCGGGGCTCAAATGAGGATCAAATGAGGCCCAGGTCGGGGTTTTGGACATCGCAGCTCGAGTCGGGCTCGGCCGGGGCTCAGTTCGGGGCTCTGGCCATCGTAGCTCAGTCAGTGCTCGTGTCGGCGCTGAAGTCGGGCTCGGCCGGGGCTCTGGCCGGCCGGGGCTCAGGCCATCGGGGCTCATGTCGACCATGCCAGGCTGGCACGACGCTTGCAACGGTCACCGCCGACACTGACGCCTTGCCTCACTGTGCCTAGGCAACTCAAACTCAACACGCGCCAGCAGCACTCCGTCGCTCTGCCTCCGGGGTGCGACAGAGGCAGCGATGGATTCTTCGGAAACGCTTTCAGCCTGCCCGCCCTGCAGCTCCCGTCGCTCTGTCCCTCTTGCAGTCTTACGCAGCGCCGACGGGCTGGCAGGCCGGCTGGCTAGCAGGCCGGCTGGGCGGGCAGCGGGCGAAGCGTCATGACCGGCGCGGCGACACGCTCCCATCCCCTACACAGCCTGTCCCAGGCGGCCGATCAGCTGATTTTGATCATTTTTAACATATTCGACACCGCCTCTCTCGCTGCCCCAGCGCCTCCCCGGGCCCGGGCAGGGGCTGGGTGACCTTTCTTATACCCAGTGACACCTTTTGGTCTGCGTAAGTTATGACCTCGGGCCCGTGGGCTCTCGTAATAGTCGATAAACGGTGAAAAAATGGTAAAAATTGAGTGATTTTCGACCAAAAAAATTCAGTTTTTCAAGTCTTTGGCACATTAGAGGGGTGACCCCTCGTGGCTCAGAGTGTTGTCTTTTATGCTACTGAAGACAACTCAACGGTCACCTACCTTGGCCGACGACGTGGAGGCTGTCCGGGAGCCTTAACACAGTAAAAACATGAAAAACACCGCTTTTTTGCATAAAACGGCCGGTAGGGTCATCAAAGCTTTGTCTGATCGCAAAACCGAGGACAGATCTGAAATCAGCGTTAAAAAACGCAACTTTAGAGTGCTATTCCGTTGTCAAAATCGAAAAGTCGCAAATGTCGACGGCCCCTAATGTACACGCTAACTGAAGCATACATTTACTGCATAAGGGATAGGGAGTTTTCTGCATCAGGAAGCGTGTACATGGCATGTATGCACTAGTTAGTGCATGCTTGGCAGGCATGCGCTAGCTAGAGCGTGCTTGCAGGCATGCTCCAGTTAGAGCATACTATGTACACTCTTTGATTTGTAGAGTAGGGTTTCGTTAAGAAGCTTTAACAGATTTGGCAGGACGAAACTGATAAAAATGTTGGTAGAACTAATAAAAATGTTATTCACCTCTCTCTCTCTCTCTCTCTCTCATGGAGTAGCGACTGAGCAGATGAGGAAGCTATCAAAGTGTTTCTGAAGGTGATTCATGAAGAAAACATTCAAAACTGACGCTGGACTTGCAGTGGACGCTTCGAAGGCCTGACATTGGTAGCAGTCGTGTGCCATTTGTGGTCCCCTTGAAATCGGCACTTATAAAACTGGACTCGAGCGGGAAAGTGAGGTTAGGGGGGCCCCCAGTGGAGCGGCCCGTGCCGTACTCCCAAACCCTGCCAACAAGAAGACCCAGTGGAGTGATCCTTCCGGCGCTCCCAAACTTTACCATCATGCCACCAAAGCAGCACCAGCAGACAAAAAACTGGCGGTGACAGAAATGAGTGTTGACGATCTCCAATTAATGTAACACAGGCAGTGGGCGCCGCCATGAAACCTCTCCAAGATAGTGTGAATCCCTTGCAACTAAAAATAACCAGCCTGAGGGAGACAGTTGAGAAACTGTCGGAGGAGCTTGCGGACAAAGATCAAAAAATTCAACAGTTGGAGACAGCAGTGAAAGTTGGGTTAGACGAGAGGGAGCGTACAGCAGACGAAATAATGTGAGAATTTTTGGTGTCAAGGAGCAGAGTAATGAGGACACAAACAACTTGGTGATTGTCTGGCTAAAAAAATGGGAGTCCACCTGGAACATTATCACATTGACCGATCTCATCGCATCGGTAAAGTGGAGAAAGGCCGAGACCTATCATTGTGAAATTTGTCAGCTATGCAGAACGTTCGTCCCTGTTCTCTGCGAAGAAGAGATTGAAAGGAACTGGAGTCACAATACGTGAAGATTTAACTAAAATGAGAATGGACCTACTGAAAACTGCTGTGTCACATTATTCAAACAAAGCAGTGTGGACCATCGATGGAGTGATCCTGGTCAAGGTGAACAAGGACAGACCCTTCCGGGTCAGGAGTGACGGGGACCTCAACAAACTTATGAAAAACCACCCACCCAGTGAGCTACAACATTGATCTCTTATACACTTTTGCTGTTCATCTACTTTTTTCTCTCTGTTTTCTTATGCTATTTCCTTTTTAATATGTTGTGTTGTGTTTTACTTTTAGTTCTATTTTTTTTTATTTCACTTTCATTGCTGTTTATCTATTTTTCTCTCTCCGTTTTCTTATGTTCATTTTCTTTTTTAAAATGTTGGTTGTGTTTACTTTTAGTTTTATTTTTTAATTCATTTTATTTTTATCTCCTACTAAGTACAAATGTTTTCTCTTACCAGCTAGTAAAAATATGCTGTTTTATTTTTTTGTTTTGTATCTTTTCTTTATACTTAAAGTGACTTTTTGCTCATTACTTTTAATGTTTTTTTTATTAGCATGTAAGAATTGGCGACTGATAGCTTCCCAACGTGCCCTGCCTAATTATGAGTGGGGAAATGTCTTTATGTTGAGAGATTATGTTTGAAAATCCTGCGGAACAACCAACTAAATTTAAAATTGACAAAAAATGCTCAATCGTTTAAGGGGCACACCAGTGAAATCGTCAAATTTTGGCCTCCTTTTTTTTTTTATCATTTTTTGCTATTTATCCCGAGTCGAAAGCCGCAAAACCCCAAACCCCAAAATTCCAATTACTTTGGCTTGGGCACATTTTTTAAGTTTCCCAAAAGGGTAATTTTTTGCATATTTACCTCAAATTTTCAACGTTCAGGTGTTTCACTTGAAGTCCAATGCCAAAACCCCGGAACATCGAAACGCAGTTGGAGAAAGGAATTTTGGCGCAAACCGAAATCAAAAATGTCAATAATTGCGTCCGTAATAGGAAAATGCGAGTATCCGTAGTTTTACTTCAAACGTCGTTTTCTCGAAACGCCCTTTTTTGGGCCCGGTGCCACGATTGCGGGCGAAAATTGAGATAAATTTAGTGTGGTTTGCGGCAAAATTTTCTTAAACTTGTCGCTATGTGGAACCTCGGATTGGGGCGTAGCATTACAGGGCCGAGCCACAAAACACGGAAAAGTGAAAAAATGGTCAAAAAATGAGTTTCGTTTTTTGCTTCTCAAAAAACATATTTAGGATTTTTTTTCCGACATGTCCGTGGTTCACACGATAGCCCATTTTCCCGATGAGAAATTTTGAAAACCCCTGTTTCAGGCTCAATCGAGGGCTTCACAAAGTTTGGGGAAAGTGGAGCCGTGTACCCAAAAATGAAAATGGCGCCCACCCCCCCTTCCCCTCGCCCCCCCCGTGCCGTGTCTTTTTTGGTTAAATTGACTATTTTAGCTTCAGAATAAAATTTCAACCCCTTTCCTTTGTTACTTACTCAAATAACGTTTTTACGAAGCCTCTGCATTTTCACTGGTGTGCCCCCTTAAGAGATATTTCACATCAATCTGAATTTATTGATACCTTTTCTGACTGTGGCATTGATGTCATAGTGGTGTCTGAGACGTGGTTTAGAAATAATGAAAATGTACTTCAGCTTCCAGGTTACAAAATGTTTGGAGCCAATCGAATAGGAAGAAATGGAGGTGGAGTGGCTGTCTATGTAAAAACGTTATACTCTGTGAAAGTACTGTCTGTTTCAGAAGGAGATTACGAGAAGCCAGATTTTATTCTGCTTGACATTCTGGTGGGTACAAATAAAATTCTGCTGGCAGCTATGTACAGGAAGCCAAAGGGTGGTCACGTGAGTACTTTTATCGAGGAATTCTATAAATTCTCACCAGGATTCAAATACTCTTTTCTTTGTGGGGACCTCAATGCAGGTTTTGGCAGGGGAGGGGATGATGCTCTTGTAGTGCCTGAATTACTTAGTCTTTGTAACTTATATTGTGTTCCTCATCAGGCAACCTACCATGTTAATAATTGTGACTCTATTTTAGACGTTATTTGCAGTAACTGTCCTGACAAACTAGTCACGTGTGGACAAACCTCTGCTTCTGGTTTTTCTTCCCATGATATGATTAGTGCTGTTTTTGATCTGTCCACCCCACGTAATGTTAAGCAAGAGCTAACTTTTAGAAACTTTAGTAGGGTAAACGTGGAGGAACTGTTAAGTGATGTAGAGAACTCAGACTGGAGTCAAGTTTATACGGAGAGTAATATAGACGACAAAGTGGATAAATTTAATTGTATCTTCAACAAACTCATGGATGATCATGCACCTGTAAGTACTAAGACCATAAAGAAAAATTCTGCTCCATGGATGGATAACACAATTCGAGGTCTGATTAAACAGAGAAATAAGCTCAAAAAAATTCATAACAGAACCGACAGTCCGGATGACTTGGATAATTTTAAAAGGGCCCGAAATAGAGTGAAAAGAATGATTCGTAGTGCAAAGATGAAATACTTTTATGAGAAGTTTGAGAATGGAAGGGACTCCAAGTCGATCTGGAATACAATTAGATCTCTAAATGTAGGCAAGTCTAAAGATAAACACCCTGACCCAGTGGTGGGTGCATCTGATCTTAATAAACATTATGCCTCCGTATCATCTGTAAGAAACGAAGAGCTTATACGTGATACTGTATTGAAATATAAGATGAGAACAGGAAAAGATAAGTCGTCTGATATTATGGATAAATTCCATTTTAGGTATGTACTACCTGAGCAAATTGTTAAAGCTGTTTACTCTATAAAGTCAAAGGCTGTTGGGGTGGATGGTATCTCAGTATTGTTCATTAAAATGTGCTTACCAGCTTTGTTACCGGTACTTGATCATCTGTTCAATTTTAGCCTACAAAATGGTTTGTATCCTGATATATGGAAGAGGGCCAATATTATACCAATACCAAAGGTGAAAAATCCCAAAGAGAGTAAGGATTACAGGCCAGTCAGCATACTGTGCGTGCTGGGTAAGATTCTGGAAAAACTAGTGCACTCTCAAGTCACAGAGTTTTTGAATGATAAAAAGCTTTTTGCAGAAAACCAGTCTGGATTTAGAAAGGGTTTTAGTACTGTTACCGCACTGCTAAAAGTCACTGATGATATCAGAGAAGCCATTGACAAGAGACTTCTATCTTTATTGGTGTTGTTAGATCTAAGCAAAGCCTTTGACTGTGTCCATCATGAACTACTATGTACCAAACTGGAGTGCCTAGGTTTCTCAAAGTCCGCTATAAATTGGTTCCGGTCATATCTCACCATGCGCTGTCATAGAGTTGTCGTGGCATCAGATCAAATGTCTGACTGGGCTGAGATCACCACAGGGGTACCACAGGGCAGTGTGCTGGGACCATTGCTGTTCCTTATATATTTATTTGATCTCCCTACTGTTTTAAAGCATTGTAAATACGTGATGTATGCTGATGACATACAGCTATATATTCACTTTCCTTTGAATGCCTTGGATGATAACTTGAACTATCTAAGAAGCGATATGGTGAATATAATAGATTATTGTGAAAAGCACAATTTATTGCTAAATGTATCAAAGACTCAATCCATTATATTAGGATCCCAAAGATTTCTAAATATTTTATCCAGGATGACTGTTACAGAGCTGATTGTCAATGACTGTGTCATTCCATATAAGAGTACTGTTAATAATCTAGGAGTGTTGTTCGATGGATCACTGAGCTGGACCGACCAATGCACTTTGTTAATACAGAAAATATTAGGAACTTTAGCACAGCTGAGGCGGTCGTTCTCTTTTATACCTCCAAATATTAGGAAAATGCTGATCATGACCCTGGTGATGCCTCATCTTGACTATGCCTCTGCACTTTTTACTGATATTACTGACTGTAATAATGCTAGACTGCAAAGAGTGCAAAATGCATGTGTGCGTTTCATAACTGGAGCCTCCAGATTTGAGCACATTACACCCTATTATGACAAGTTACAGTTTCTAAAAATCGAAAATAGAAGGGCTTTGGCTGTTGCTCTGATGGTCTTTAAAATTATTAAGTCAGAAACCCCAGCATACTTATTTGAGAAATACAAATTTATATCTACAAGTAATAGATGCTCCACTAGGTCAAGCAAGTTACAGTTACAAATACCTATTCACAGAACAGAAAAATATCATAATTCATTTCTCCTACAGTCTAGCAAAATGTGGAACGACCTCCACCTTTATGAGCACCTGGGCAGATCTGTTAACTTTGTGAAAAATCTCGTTGAAAAGAGCTTATCCTCCTTATGACCTCATGCGACCATGTCTGTTGTGATGTGATTCTTGTTCATAATGTAACCAAATAGACAAAATATTTTTTATACAAGCTAATTACGTTGTTCCTTTAGTTTATAAGTGATTACGATCGTTTCTTTTAAAACCAAATTAGAGTACAAACTATTTTTGTATAATTAATTATGTTGTTCCATTAGTTTAAGGTGTCCTTTGCGACAAGCATATAAGTGTTTATCTCTATTTTTCGTTTATAACTATTTTTATCATGAATTTGTAATTATTGATTTGGAGGGCGGGCTTGCATGCCAGTGGCACTCTTAAGTGCTTGTTTGTAAGTCCTTAACAATAAATCAAATCAAATCAAATACACTGTTAAAAATAATGTTGTAAATATGTAAGCAGTGTTGCAGTATGTCATAGCAGTAAATATGTCGCTAATTTTCTGAATGATCAAAGTTGTTTGCAAATGACTTCAGTTGTTTACTAACGACTTGCGTTGTTCGTCAACAAGCTGTTTGTAAACCAGAAGACATCCTTATTAGCATCAATTTTGAATGCGATCAAGTCACAGACCCGCAGTTATCTTTTCTTAGATTGTCCGGGTTGTTGGTACGCAGCATAATATTGTTTTGAAACAGCATAAGTCAGAAAAATAATAAGCAACGAATTCGTCGTTTTAAAACAAGCAAACTTGTTTATAAACTACAGCGTTGTCGAGGTTGGTAATTGTGTTGTTGTTTCAAAACAACCATTTTTAACAGTGTATATGCGCTCTGACGTCAATACGTTACTTAACAATAACTCAGTAAGAGTCTGGGAGTGTAACGGTGGCTTGGGAGATGTTTTGAAGCGGTTTTACGCTCCCTTCCCGCAGTGAAAATGTATCGGCATGATTTCGTGCCAGGTCATGCATGCCACCTAAAAAAAAATTGCTAGAAATTATCGTTGATTTGCCGTGGTTTTCTTGTAATTTTGATAGCAGTGTAGCGCTCTGGAAGAGCACGATAGTCCAGAGTGGATGAGAATCACTCTCGTCCTTCAATCGACCTTTTATCAATATTCCATTGACGTTCGTGCGCATTATAGAATTCCGTTAAGAGGCATAACAGATTTTTCAAGACGAAATTAATGACGTTCATGAATCAAATTAAAATTTAACAATGTTCAGAAATTGAAGAATAATGTGAATACTCTTATTAATGCGCATGAATATCAATTACGTTATCAAACAAAAACTCAGTAAGAGTCTAAGAGTGATGAAGTAATGATATTACATTCCGTGTTTTTTTCAGATTGAACCTGATGCACTGCGAATGGCAATCCTGTGGACTTGGCAAAAATACAAGCGTCCTCTCCTCGTGACGGAAAACGGTCTGGGCGACGCCATGCACCTTGGGAAGCATGATGAAATGCGAGCCGCCTATCACAGCGTAAGTTCACTATCAGCCACTGCATTGCACTATCAGCGTCTTATTGACTTTTATCTACAGTGGCCAGGTACTAAAGCCTACAACGACAGTATATTATAAGAAAGTGTTTTCTCCTTAGATACAATTTTCTTCGTGAATTTTTTAAAATAACTTTTTTGTCAATATGAATTAACAAAAATGCAGATGGGTTGGTTCGTCGAGATGTGGGAATTTTGAGGCACGGGATTTCCAAGATTTTAATGTGCGGCTTTTCGGATGAAATTTTGCAGGCTCATTCAAGATGGCTCTAGAATGGTCCCCAAGAAATATCAAAGCTTAATTCGTTCCAGTTTTGTTTCAAATGGCTTGAATGTTGAAAGCGTACTTTGGGTCGACGTTTGTTACATTTGCGTCGACGTTTGTTACATTTGCGTCGACGTTCGTTACATTCAAGTGGTTTGGGTGGAATTTCAAAGCGGACAAAACTGACATCTATTTATAGAAATCGATTCGTCTGATCAGGACGAACAAAAAATCCTAACATATGTAATAGGCTTGGATGCGAAATAAACAAGTATTTAAGCTTCAAAAGTGCAGTAACAGGCGTCGACGCCGGGGTCCTGGCTGATTACATTCGATTACATCATTACACTTTGTAAAACCCATCTATTTCGCAAGGAAATACCAAATTTGCTTGTACGTAACAGACGCTGTATGATGTAAATAGGTCAAATGAAGCGGCAAACATGACTTTGTCCCAGTATTTGAAAATGTTTATGCGGGGGAGGTCGAAGTTACGCGTTGGCGATTACAGGTTTATGATTGCGAGTTACGGCAAAGCGACCTATTATCCTTGTTACTCCTGTAGAAGTATTTCCACCGTTGCAGTTTGGTTTAATATCATTTTCGGAGCCGAATAGGGTTGGCACTTGGTTCGGTGCAGGCACAAAACACGCTTAGAGCCGCGAAATACAAATGCCGGTAGCAAGTGTCGCAATTTGCGGACAAAACTTTTCTTCCACTTTACGAACGAACGAATCGACTCAAGGTTTCGGGACTTAGGTTAAAATGTAGACGAAAGTGTCCACTCTCGAAAACACACAAAACTTTGGGTGTTTTAACGGCGTTATAAGGAATTAGACTTCACATTGTGTTTCAATCGGGGATTCGGACACCGAAAAAACGGCCATTTTTGTACCTTTCCGGCGCCATATGTGGTACAAGAAGTCAAAAATTCTGACTGAAAACATGTACATGCCTTTCTCTGAAGGTGCTTTGTTGTTACATAAGGGGCATTTGCTGATATGAAGTCCGTGCAAGTGGTAATTGAGCTAAACATTTTTGATTTTAAAATTTCCACATTTTGACGAACCAACCCAGATAATAAGGACAAAGGCGAAAAATACATTTAGAGTGTACACCGAAATTCACAGTGATTTCCCCTTGAGTTATGTAAAAGGGTACGGAAAAGAAGTAAAGAAGTTGATAGTTGCCAGGCGCGGACGGTCCAAGGAAATTATTGACCAGACATGTTCCATACTTTCTCTGTTCGTTTTCCTCCCAGTGTAATTGAGGCCTCTATTTCTATGTGAGATTGCAGCAGTCGTGATAACGTCAAAATTAATTGGTGAATTTTTCAGGCCTACTTGCGGACGCTCGTGAAGACAGTGAAGGACTTCAGCGTTGACATTATTGGATATTGCGCGTGGAGTCTCATCGACAGTTTCGAGTGGAGTGCTGGTTACAAGTAAGTACTTTACTTTGAAGACCTTTGAGGCAATGCCCCTTGACGCCATAGTAGACACCGCAGCGACCTCAATTTCGATCGCTCAAGTAAACTTTTGAGGAAGGTCCAACCACTCCAGAAATCTTGTGTCCCTTTGAGCGCTAGAAATCTCAGGAAATCTGAAATCTTGGCCCCAAAAAGGCAACAAGCAAATTTCGGGCGTAATATCGGATAAAATCTTGCCGGATAAAATCCTTAGGAAAACGTGTGTCCCCAAACATCCAATGTGGTTGCCCCCCTCGCAGCTCCTACACTAATTACATGGACGTGTCATCCAATGTTTTTGATGACATCCTTGCAAAGAAAATTAGCCTTGGCATTGTCATCAAGCAGGGATCCTTAACTTAACATTTAACCGAGGGGGTAACCACTCGCGTAATACCCTGTACACAAAAACCGTGTATTACGCGTAATACACGTGATCGTAATACCATTTTTGGGTCAAATGTGCCAAATTTTGGTATTTTACGGCCGTAATACACCCGTAATACAGCGTAATACCGAGTAGTCTGTACACGATTTCTTGAAGTGTTTACCCCCTCGCATTTAACTAGCACTGCTGTCAAAACGTAACATAAGACAATGTTCGCTATAGGTTAAGGGTACGGACTTATGAAAGTACTTGCAAAAGTATATCCACACAAATTAGAGACATAAAAAGATAACTTACCCTTTTGAAAAGATGTTAGAAGTTAAGGGTAATAACTTTAACTCTTATGATAGCGTTATGATGCCCTTATGAGGTAAGTTAAGGATCCCTGTCATCAAGTGGCAACAAAAGTTTTCATAGTGTGCTTATACATTCATTTATTTAGTTGTACACCTGAGACAAGCGGCGAATTCGTATTGAAACTTCCGCGGCCTCCGCTTTTACAGGCGCCCCTTCGGCCTGGTACACGTGGACTACGAGCACGGCACTTTGGATCGGAGCCTGAAAGACTCGTCCAGCTTCTGGATCGAAATGGCGGAGACGGGTGTCGTGCCGCTCGCGAGGGAGCCAACTTCTTCGACGCCATCGTCCAACAGCCCTGCTGCCGCAATTTGGACACTAGCCCTCTCTGTATTTTTGACCCTCTTTCGACATTAAATGATTTCCACTTAAAATTTCGTTCCTATCTTAACTCCAATCCAAGGCACTCTTCAAACTGAACAGTACTCAGTACACTCCAGGGATCCTTTACTTACGTCGAAAGGGCACGTTATCGAAAGCATCTAAGTTGCAGCCCGTAACTCGTGACTTCTTTTGAAAAGGCTACACACTAAACTTCTTACGGATACATCCTATCTGTATTACGGACATTTTTGTGCAATTGCAATTACGGATAGATTTTGCTTGCAATACGGATGAAATCATCCGTATTACAAAGAGTTTTACGTCCGTAACATACAGACGAAAATATCCGTATGGTACGGACGTAAAACTCTTTGTAATACGGATGATTTCATCCGTATTACAAGCAAAATCCATCCGTAATTGCAATTGCACAAAAATGTCCGTAATACAGATAGGATGTATCCGTAAGAAGTTTAGTGTGTACGTAGTTTCACTGCAAAGCCGGTGGTAAGTTTACTTGCGACAAATTTGGGAAGCCATTCTGAATGCCAAAAATTGGCAAGCTTGGCCTGGAAATACTCCCCAGCTTGCCGAAATTTGGCAAGCTTATGAAGAAAGCTTGCCAAATTTTGGCATTCAAAACGGCTTGCCAAATTTGTGGCAAGTAAACCTACCACTGGCTTTGCAGTGTTACCTTGCTTCTCAAATTCGTATTTGGAAGTAGTTGAAACAGTCCATACCCTTCACCTTCACAGAACATTTTCTTATGTTACTTTATGGAACCACACTGATAGAATTTTTTTTAATTTACGAAATATTTTGGCACGAAACATTTCGTAACATATTCTTTTAAAAAGGGGTCTTGAAATTCGGAGATTATTCCGTACTTTGACAGTATAAATCTTGAATTAGCCACAAAACGATATTTATGGAACAAACATTTTTTAGACAAATGAAACAGTTGTGAAATTGACAAAATATGTCGTAGAGATTGCCAAAGCCAGCTGGTCGTCGAACTCCAAATGCCCTTGCAGAGCTGTGGCAGGTAGGCTGCCGGCGGGCCAGAAAGTCCTGGTTAGAAAGTCTCCGACGAACATTTTTTCTCAGCACTATTTGCTGCATGCTAGGGTGCATGTTACTTACAATTATCACAAATAAAACGGAATGTTTTTTTTAGATTTACAAAGTATCTTGTAAATTGATGTTTACGATGAATTTTTGGACTTTACGGCATATTTTATCAACTACGATTAACAAAGCTCTCGTTTATAAAAATTTCCAGTGAAATCTTTGTAAATTTACGAAAAATTTTCGAACAGTGCAGGTCAAATGTTGTGTTAACTTGCGGAACTCAGGTACTCTCTCTTCAGCGCGTGCTCACGAGTACGCGTGTCCTCCGAGGAGCGTGTCACCGTATCGTGAAATCCTACTCAATAGATCTTGTCTCGCCGTTCCCTGGAAAATGATCTTATCTGGTCGTTACCCGGAAAAGAATCTTATCTGGAATGTACGCAAATTTCTCCGAGCTCGGTCATTTGGCACGGATCAGAGAGAAAACGGAAGTCGGTGACGAGTGCACGGTACCTGGCGGCCGATATGGCTCAGACTTTGCAAGGACAGTAGGTATGTCCTTGGCTCGATACACACGAAAGTTGAACACTGTTAAAAGAAACTGTAGGAAAACAGCACATTTACCAACGAGTGATTTGCTTTTAAGCAGCACGTGTCATCGGAACTTAAAACAGCACAAATGCTGTTAGGAAACAGCAAGTTTCATCATTGGAGAAAACAACAAATATAGTCGATTTCCAATGCTGGAAAACAGAACATCTTGTTTGTAAAATTAATGATATATGCTGTTTTGGAACGGTATCCTGTCATTTAAAAACAACACCATTCAATTGAAGATTTGCCGGAGCATTTTGCAGCTCACGGCTCAAATCAAACTCCAACTATGTCAAAATAAATTCTGTTGTTTCTGAACAGCATTTGTGTTGTAAAGTTTTTTAGCAACACTTCCAATTTTTAAACAGCGGTGAACTGTCCAAGAACTGCACGAACTGTTACAAAACAAATGTCTTGTTTGAGCCGTCACGAAACTCCTATTTCCTTTTTGTGAATAACAGAGAGACCGCGTTGAAGAACAGTGCTGTTTGTAAACAGAAAAGAGCGTTTCTGAATGACTGCTAGTATTGGATAAGACTATTAGTACACAGTAAACTTCTTACGGATACATCCTATCTGTATTACGGACATTTTTGTGCAATTGCAATTACGGATAGATTTTGCTTGTAATACGGATGAAATCATCCGTATTACAAAGAGTTTTACGTCCGTACCATACGGATATTTTCGTCCGTAGGTTACGGACGGAAAACTCTTTGTAATACGGATGATTTCATCCGTATTACAAGCAAAATCTATCCGTAATTGCAATTGCACAAAAATGTCCGTAATACAGATAGGATGTATCCGTAAGAAGTTTAGTGTGTACCCTCGACATTTTTTTTGTAAATGTATAACAACTTCTTTGTTTGAAAACAGAAAAGTGTTGTTTATGAACAGGTTGGTGCCATTTGGAAATGGTAATTCTGTTACACAACAACTTATTGTCAGAGATCAGATACAGAGAGCCATCATCCCTTTTTACAACACTGCTGTTGAATAACGACTCAGTGTCCAACAATATGCCGTTCTTCTACAACAAGTGTTGCTAAAAAACTTAACAGGATATATGCTGTTAATTAACAGCATCTTTTCTATCAGTGAACCATCTATCTCAATCCATTTAGTAATTTCTGCCCAAAAACCACTACTAGAAAGCGGCAGAAGAAAGTTATCTTTCAAATAATTTAAGATCTCACACCGAGTTTAATATCATCTCATATGTTTTGGAAAACGTTGATGACGAAAATGAAATCCTTTTCGACCTTTCCGACTCAGGTCCGAATCCAATAGCATGGGGAATAGATGCCAATAGGGCATAGTTTAGCTAGAATTCTTATCCCGAAGCTTGCATTAGTATGTCGTACGTTCTCGAGAATGCTAGCCCGACGATGTCATGCAGTACGACCAGTGACCCGCCACCGCGTGCTTGGGAGGGGGGGGAACTAAGGAACGCCCCCCGTCCCGTGCCGAAGTAGAACGCTAATTCGTGCCGGTTTGTACGCCGAATGTCTGCCAAACTGCCTGGCGCCGCAGGCCAAGGTAGGTGAAACGCCGGGCGTGGATTATCGGAAATGGCGCGAAGCCTGTTACGACCAGCCACGGTCTAGCGTACACCTACCTAGAAGTCTGTAACGCGAGCACATTCTTCGCCTGGTTCTGGTTCTGCCTGTACATGCGCCAGCGGACCTGGAGTGACGTGGCTCAGCACGGCACGATATGTGAGCGATGAAAGTGCTGACAGGGACATTCTTTCTGCTCGACTCAGAAGGGAGAAAGAGGAGGGGGCCTTGACTCAGGTCCGAGACGCTCGCATCTCCCCAAGCCGTAGTTAGTCTTCGGGTCAGTTTCGACGCGACACGCCTCGCTTCACACGTTTCGGGGTTCTTACTTAATTCGACGTTGCCTTTGACAAGTAGGGGCGAGGTAAGGTCCGAGAATGTGATTTCGAAGTGCATCACGGGTGAGTCACAAGCGTGAGCCACGTTTGTCCCACGCTCTCAAGTGTGAGGCGGTAGGCTTGCCTGGGTTTGCTCAACACTTCGAGGGGTCCTATTCGAAGGATCCTATCTGGGCGTTCCCCCGAAGACAATCTTATCTTAAACGCCTGCAGATTTCGCACATTTTGATCAACCAGAATAAATAGGACGACAAGCGAAACACATTTCTACATGCACTTTTGGTTTCTTTGCACTTCCATCTTTAGATTCACGCGATCAAACTCTCAAATTATGTTGATAAGTAGCTGTACCAAATGATCAAACTATGTAAAATCCACATGCGTTTAAGATAAGATTGTCTTCGGGGGAACGCCCAGATAAGATCTTTTGAATAGGACCCCTCGACTTGCTTCCTGTAGTTCCCTGGGGTTCAATGCGACACGACCCACGCTTGCGAGGGATAGGGATAAGTAGAGTGCGGGTGAAGTGCGTGCGCCGCCTTCCCCCTTCACTCGACCGATAGGGAATTTAAACGAATCCCTGGCCCGGAAGTCAAAGAACAAAAGTAAGAATCAAAACCGCTTCTGCGCATGCGCAGACGACCCCCCTCCACTCTCAGGCAGCGTCTGCGCATGCGCAGAAGCGGTTTTTGTTCTTACTTTTGTTCTTTGACTTCCGGGCCACGGATTCGTTAGAATAGCCTATTTCGACCCCCTCCACCGCTCAGCACGGCCGCGCGACGCTCTTTTGTTTCTCCCGTTCTGTGGCTGACTTCCGGTCTAGGTTTCCTCTGAAGTACCCAATTCGCCCATTTGCACTACATCCGGGCCGGAACGCTTCGAATTAAACTTGTACTGAATGTGTTTCCGGTTAAGATTGCGGCTCCTGGCTTCCTGTCCGGACCCTTTTTAAAGTACCGTGTCCAATGGACTCAGGGACAAGATCGGAAGCCACTATCACCTTGATTGAATTCAAGCAACACGAATAGGGTATTTTAACGAATCCCTGGACCGGAAGTCAAAGATCAAAAGGAAGAACCAGTACCGCTTCTGCGCATACGCAGACGCTTCCTCGGAGTGGAGGGGGGACGTCTGCGCATGCGCAGAGCGGTTTTGGTTCTCACTTTTGTTCTTTGACTTCCGGTCCAGGGATTCTTTTCAATGCCCTATGGGTTTTCGTGCATGCAGTATGGAGAGTCATATGATGCTGCGTTGGCTGGAACCTTATAAGCTCTTCAGCCCTGACGTCTCATCTCAATTTCAGAGAGAAAGACTTCTGGGTCATTCCCCGCCGAATCGACGATGGTCTGTTTTTGAGGTCGATGGATTCGGTCCAAACCACTTTTAATCGATGCATTGGGACCCCAAAGGAACCCCTTTAAGAGGATTTTTTTTTAAAATCATTTTTCCCAGAGTTATGGCCAATACCATTTTGGGAAATTTAGTGAAATTTAGTGAAAACAGTACTTTTCATCTTATGCTATGAAAGTGTGATGTGAGACCCCTTTGGCTTCTATTTCCATTTCAACTAGCTTTCTGAAAACCTTCTCCTCTGACTGAAGGTGAAAAATCAAAAAATTTCCATTTTTTACTTAGGAAAATTTATGAAAAAAAGTGAAAAATGAGTATAGTTTTTTTACGTGGTTTGAGAATTTTGACGATACTTTGTCCTAAGATTCACTTTAGGTGACCGCTTAAAACTACAAAATATTTCATCTGGCAATACGTATCTTCACTGAATCGGGTTGATAAAACTTAATTTTGAGCTAAAATTTTACTCGAAACTTATGACGACAAAGCGCATTGACCCTAAAATCAATTTTCAAAGGTCAAAAAGTTACTAATGATACATCTTGAAGTCAGGGCAGATTAAACACCTCAAGAATCCATCCCATTGATGCTCAAAATGTTGATCACTCCTTATTTTAGGTATTTTGCTCTCCATTTAAGCCTATACCCATAAAGTACATGGTGGTCGGTGATATTGGTGATAATGGTGGTCCGTTGTTTCAAACAGTTGATTCTACAGTATCTGCATTGTTTGTAAGTGGTCTGCACTGGTAAAATTAAGGCATAGTATTCTGCCTGTCCTCAAGCGTAAAATCTTACAGTGTACTCCTGCGCTTGACTTCAAGCGTAAGAAGAGCTATGTTTGAAGCCAACCGTAATCAAGCCACATCAGAAATTCTGACCCACTGCTTCAAGTGTAAAGTCAGTACACTCAATTTCAAGCACAGTGAAAACCCATGCTGCATTTTACAAGCACATGAGAATGCGCACATTCATTATGAAAAATCAGCTCAATTTAATTTAAGGGGAGGTTCTGGTGAAAATCTTGCCATTTTCCAAATGGATCCTACAGTCATAATTTGTTCGGAATATAAAATTTTTCATTGGGGAGACTAAAATTTGACTTTTGAAGGCACATGCCAGGCTGTAAACCCAGTCGAAGAGTCTTTTTGAGCCTATTTTGGCTGTATCTTAAAAAATCTCCTTGCGCATACTATTTTGTCGTAAAAGGTTGACCTTGACATTTTTCACTTCTTCGACTCATTTTCAAAAGATTCCGGCATGCATAGCTCAAAACTTCCATTATATTATTAATTATTAGCTTTTTAAGCTGAAAAGTCCCTGAAATTTGTCTATTTTGTACATTTTTGATCAATTTTAGTGAAATGCTTGGTTAGAAAGCTTGCGAATAAAAATGCAATTGACATTTTGAGATGGGCATGCCGGCATTTTTAAAAAATGAATCAAAGAAGTGAAAAATGTCTAAGCCAACCTTTTACGACAAAATAGTATGCGCAAGAAGATTTTTAAAGTTATAGCCTAAATGGGAGAAAAAGGCTCTGCGACTGGATTCAGGGCATAGAATGTGCCTCCCCAATGAAAAATTTTAATAAATACTTGATAAGAAATTAAATTTTTAACAAATTTTCACAGTGGGACCTATTTAGGAGAAAATAGCATTTTCACCAGAACCTCCCCTTAAGATTTAAGACAGCTAAGATAATAGCCAAGATATTACGTTACCTTATGACCCTATGCTGAATGATTGGTTCTTGGGCAACAAACTGAGTCTAAACCTCAAAAAAACAAATTATGTGCTCTTCACTAAACCGTCGGTCTCTGAAAAAAATATGAAAATAAACATTGGTACATACGTCATTGAAAAAGTGAGTGAAGCTAAATACTTAGGTGTTCGATTGGATAACAACCTGAACTTCGAACGCCATATTAACAAACTGATAGTATCCTTGAGAGCCACTGTAAGACTAATGTTTAGAATGAGGAAAACACTTCCCTATAAGCAGCTGAAAATTATATACTTCTCTTATTTCCACTCTCACATGTCCTACATGTCTTCCATTTGGGGTTTAGCCAATCAATTAATGCTCAACAAAGTAAGAGTGCTTCAAAACAGTGCCTTGAAAATACTTTTGCATAAGGAAAAACGATCACCGACCAGGCAACTCTACATTGCTTCTGATATACTTCCTCTCGACATTGTAGTTAAAATCCAACTAGCAAAAATTATTTACAATCATGTACATAAGAAAAAAATTCTTAACTCCAATATCATTATGAATGCAACAATTCACAGCCACAACACTAGAACTGCTTCCAATCTCAAGCTGCCAAATGTAAAATCTACATATTATGGTCTTAAAACATCATACTATAATGCTCTAGTCACTTTTAATAGCATACCAATTCCCATGAGATCGGTTTACAACAGATCCTTCAAAGAAAAAATTAAAAAATACTTTTTCCACCTGTACCAAGCCTAAAGTCTCAACCAATTTCTAGCTCTATCTCAACTAAATTCTCTCTTTTTATTGTAAAAAAAAAAAAAAAAAAAAATGTTGCTACTAATACTGGGCTTTCTCCTTGCTTTCATTATTATGTTTCTTTATTATGTTTATAATCATTATTTAAGTTGTGTTTTGTCACTTAGTGGTCACCGCCGCACCATTGTTATAAATTGTAAAGTCCACAACAGGGCTACATGCTCTATGGACACATACTTTATTTCGAAAAAAAAAAAAAAAAAAAAAAAAGAGAGTTGCACGTAGAGCCCTAGATATAGTCCAATATCGGTCCTACAAGGGTCCATAGGCCTGAATTCTTGGTCTACATGTTGTGACTTCAATTTATTTCATCCATTAACATCAATAGATGCATGGGAATGTAACTAATTGCCTACTGTCCCAAGTTACCCCCGGTCATGGGGTAACTTGGGACACTCTAAGCTTTCGAGACCGCTGGGAAACGACATAATCGAGGCAAATGAACCAGACAGGTATGAAATCATGGGGAAAGGGTCAAACTTTAACATAGTTAGGATCCATTGGTCTGGGTTGAGAATCTTGACTCTGGCGATCAAAAAACGCGAAAAAGTGTCCCAAGTTACCCCCGTTGACGGTACCGGTGTAATGGCCCACTGTGGAACACTGTGGCAAAAAGCTACGGAAAATTCTGACAACAGCTTGTGGTATTTCTCTGTAGCCCCCTTGTCAATATTCTCCATAGGATCTTACAGTATTCTCCGTAGGACCTTACAGAGTTCTCCTTAGGACTTTACAGTCTTCCAGGCCCTACGGAGAAGACTGTGCGGTCCTACGGAGACTACTGTACGGTACGGCCCTACGGGAGAATATTGATAAGAGGGCTACGAAGAACCCTAGCAAAAAAATTAACAGAATTTTCCGTAGCTTTTTGCCACAGTGAATAGGGCACTCATAACATTCTCACAGTGCGCGTCCTAAGACGAGGAAAACGGAGGCATTGTAACTGCTACGAAGAGTTGCTTCGTACTACGAAGCAAAATCCTTCTTTATAAGAAGGAATTCGCCATGCCTTCATTTAAACTCCGTAGACGTTTATGTGTTCTAGGTGCGTCTCGCAGAGAAGTTCGGCTATGTGGGTGAGGCGTATACGGTGCGAACTCCTGACGGCTACATCCTGACGATCCATCGCATCTCAAAAGCAGCGCACCAAAATAACGACCAACTGCACCGGACCCCAGTCCTCTTCGGGCATGCTCTGGGAGGCAACAGTGAAGAGTACGTCGCATATAATCACAGCACCTGTGAGTCAACGGAATGCAAGAACGCACTGGGGAAACAAAGGCGTCAAAATTTCGCCCTTACAGGGCACAGTAAAAACTCTACGAAGATTCGCTTCGCAATACGAAGAAAATGAAAGTATTGTAAAATCTACGAAGAAATGCTTCGTGTTACGAAGCAAAATCCTTCGTAATAGGAAGCATTTCTCCATAATATGAATCAATATGAATCAATCAATATGAACAAATATGAACAAATCAATATGAATCAATTCTGCAATGCCTTAATTTTCTTTGTAGTTAAAGCAAAAGCTTCGTAGGCTTTAAAGAGTGGGCGTTGACGATGAGCGCCCCAATCGTTTAGGCCCTGAAAGGACATAAGTTTAATGCCTTTGTTTCACCAGTGTATTTCGCCCTTGAAGGGCTCGAAAAACTGAAAGCCCCTTGTAGATGTGATGCCTTTGTTGTAACAGTATCGCTTCCCTTCCTGTGAACTGTCATTATTACTGTGTGATAGAACGGGACGGGTTAAAAGAAGTTTCTGTGATTTTCAGCCTACGCACTGGTGGATGCAGGGTTTGATGTGTGGTTGGGAAACTACAGGGGCAGCTTTTACGGTCGAAAGCACGTCAAGTTGAACCCGAAAATGCCCGAATTTTGGGACTTTAGGTGAGTTTTCTAGCAACGGACAAACATACTGTAAACGCATGTGCTCTTAAGAGTATTGATAAAGAACCGCATTGTTTATAAATGAATTTTTTATCTGACAAGCATTATGATCAAAAAGTTATTTGGCCCCATTGAATAAGAGGATTCTCTTTCGGCATCTGTGTCGCTCAATTTCAATGCTATGCACAAAAAAGTACATAGTAAATTAGTGCGCAGAATTTGAATGAAAGCACGGTTTTCGTCAAGAACTCTCGAGACTGAAGAGAGTACACGGCATGGGCATGCTCCCTCAAGGAGTCAACCACAAAGCACGCTTTATCCTGCAGTGTGCTTGCAATCACGTTCCCCGGTGAGAGTATGCTTGCAAGAAAACTGCAGCATGAAGCGCGCTGCTTCGCTGTAACAAAGCCTCATATCAACGAGGAGGCATGCTTTCATCCTAGAGAGCGAGCTAGAGTGTGCTTGTCAAGCATGCTCCTAGGCACTGTATAAATTTGTTGTCACTTTATGTCAAACACGTGGATGATGTTTTCATCACTTTCAAGTGCTGACAATCTCACCAAATTAGCCATGAAATCGTCAAGTGACGACTCTAATTTTTACAGTGGGTATACCCACTGACCCATAGGTCGTGCTTGCAAGCACTCTGCAGAATGAAGCGTGCTTTGTGAGTGACTTACGCACAGTGGGCCAGAAGACCGGTGGTAGCGGACAAAACTCTAGACGCGTTTTGAGCTCCAGAGTCGCTGAATGGGACTCGAACCGAACGTGTGACCCCACCAATGGATTGCTCTCCGAACGAGGAATCCTTTGGTGGGGTCACACGTTCCGTTCGACTCAAGCTACTCTGGAGCTCAAAACGCGTCTAGAGTTTTGGCCGCCTCCTCCGGTCTTCTGACCCACAGTGTGGACCCAGGGAGCATGCCATGCATTCTCTTCAGTTTCTAGAAACGTTTCGGTTGTTTGTTGCAGTTGGCACGAGAACGCGGTTATCGACGAGCCGACTATCATCGACTACGTTCTCCACTTCACGGGAAGGCCGAAACTGTTCCTTATTGGCCATTCGATGGGCGCTACGGCACAGGTAGGCATAATGTTCGACTTAAAACTAAATTTAAAATTTAAAAAAAATTACAGAGGATAATACATTGATAAATTATTTAATTTTAAGGCAGTACTGCTGGCTTCCAGACCAGAATACGCCAAGAAGAAGGTTCTAGGCGCGGTGCTCATGTCACCTCAAACTTACGTTGAAAATCCGGGTAGATACAACATCTTTCAGTTGGTCGTAGGTACTTTGTACAGCTCCATTCCCGTGCTGAAGGTAAGAATTAACTTAAAATACTAATTTTCTTAAACGTGGGGCGTCGTGCACTCTTAGAAATTAGGACCACATGACGGACCTCAAACGGTCGAGTAGTGATGAAGACTGTGCGGGGTGACTTGCGTGCTATCAGAAAGTCATTAAAATAGACGGTGGAGTCTAGGTGCTTGACAAACGGCAATACCGTATCTTTGTCGATCTTTGTTGAACATTAGTTGGGCACTGAGATTCCAAACGCTGTGAGTATAGCACGTATGGTGTGCAATGCACTGAGAAATCGCACCATACGTGCAATGCCACAGCCATATTGCACCTTATGTGCAATGCATCCCGAAAATGCCCTATGCATGGGAAAGGGAAGGCATTGCACTATTCACAGTAAATGTCCTACGGTGAAAGGCTGCACCAACATACATATTATGGTGGAGATTTTCTCCATAATACTCACGAAATTCATCAAAATATAGGTACAGTGAATTCTCAACGGTATGTTACGAAGTCAGCTGCACCACCATAATATGGAACATTTTCACCATAATATGGATCTTCACTGTAGAACATTTAGAGTGTAGTGCTAAAGCATTGCACTAATCGACGCTATATTCTTAGCGTTTGGATTTTCAGTGTGCCATTGTCTCCTTGATTGGCTCGGCAGATCGTTCCAACAGATCTGTGAATTCCATAACACGAATTACGGAATTATATTTTTCAAACTACGGCCTAGCCGTATGTTTCTCGCTCACATCGACCCAATGCTCGTTGCCTTTCCAAGGTTTCCGTCTCACCTCTACCGAGACCGTTCCAAAGCCGTAATCATAACGCTAGCAAGTGGTAAATAATTAGCAGTACCTTAACCGTTTTGAAATCACGATTTTTGTGGCAGTGTGGCTAACTAATAGGGGCACTAAGTGCTTTTGCGGACTCAAAATTCAATGGACAGAATTTTCGCTACTCAAGAGGCTTTACAAAGTCTTGCAGATGGTAGAGCTGACTGGTAGAGCCCAAATTCGGTCAGACCAAAAAGTATTGCTGTCTCTAAGTGGAACGAGCCAAAGACGCCGATTTACATCGCAATTTCTTATCTGTTTCTGACAGTGATATTTCGACGATTTCAGGAATCAATCAAAAGCTACGTGGTGAACGGCCCAATGCCCCTCTATGGTAACTGTGTGGTGACATTCTGCTTTCCCAACAATAGAACTGAATACGCAAACTATTGCCGATTTATGATAGATGCAGTGTTTGGCAAATCGCATAAGCCAATGACCGACGTAAGTGAAATGTTGAACAAGGTATGAGTCGCCACGCAATTTTGAGCGGAATTTCTTTGTGATGATGATCCTATTTGGTCAGATATTTGCGACTAGCGTGGACCTGTGGACAGCTGGTTGGACAATTATGCACTCTGCCCAAGCAAGGACGGGTTAGCTCGTTCAGCATCACTGGGCAAAAAGCTACGGAAAATGCTGTAAACAACTTGTGATAATTCTCTGCAGCCTCCTTGTCAATATTCTACGTAGGACCTAACAGTATTTATCGCAGCGGGCCTCACAGTGTTATCCGTAGGACTATACAGTCTTCCAGAAAACTGTAAGGTCCTACCTACGGAGAAGACTGTACGGGGGAGAATATTGACAAGAGGGCAACGGAGAATCTTGGCAGAAATTAACAGAATTTTCACATCGATTCTTTTTGATTCGGTCTCTACACTGAGAATGAAAAGTCATTATACATCGTCCCAAATTGAGTCTTAATCAAGACTTTTCATCCTCTATGATAACGCGCCCGTGGCGGCGCAAAGTTGATCCGTGATCCAAAATTTTTATTTTTATCAAACCGAGCAGCTGTAGAAAGTCATGGACATGTTTTGATATGCTTTCAGGCTCAAGCTCAGACTTTGTTTGCGCACTTCCCCCAAGGAGCATCTATTCGGCAATTCATGCACTACGCTCAAGCCATGGCATCACGTAAGGAAACTCCTATCCCTTGCTGCCATATAAGGATACTGACAATCAAACTTCAAAACGAAAAGCGCACATTGCATGCGGTACCTGGACAATGCCTGCAAGCACTCAGTAACCATATGAAGCATTCACTCTTTATGGTGTAGACGCTCCCTATTCCTTCAGCACTAGATGCATGCACTAAGGGAGAGTGGGGTAATTCCGGACACTTCGATTTTCACTGGGTTTGAGTGAAGATAACTCAAAAGCCCGCCTAACAGAGGAAGATAATCAGTTAAAAATGATAATTCCAAATCGCCAAGGTAGGAGGTCAAACCGTTTGGCCGTGGTCGCTTCACGAAATTTGAGTACCATCAAAAATAGGCAAAAGCTGCATCTTTTCCTCGTATTTCCATGTACTTATCGTACCTTACCGTCGAGTTCAGTCTCATGACAAAAATTTTATCACATTATATGGTCATTGGACTTTACTTTGGCATTTCGGGAGTGCTCGTATGGCTCGCCGTTTTCTTGCAATTGAACATCAAAGGTTTTCACTACCTGTGGGGTAAATCCGGACAAGAGGGGTTATTTTCTTCAATTTCCCGCATAATGTTAAGGTAGTGGGTTCAAAATTGTGGACATGCATCCCCACCGTTCAGAAGGACAAAGAAAGAACGAAAAATAGCATTGCACCTATGTTTAAGAGCTTTACTCGAGACAGTGTTGTCAATTAAGGGGTTTTGATAGAAACTATTCCTTATAATATGCTTTGAGTAATAATCAAACACCTCAGTTCGCAGCAAATATCCTTTTACGCCTTCTAAAAGCATGCCTCACATCAAAACAAGCGAAAGTAAGCTCGAGTAGTGTCAAATTTTAAGGTCGTCCGGAATTGCCCCATAGGTCGTCCGGAATTACCCCAGGCTGGGGCAATTCCGGACACGTGCAGGGCTTTTGTTAGGCGCCTATATCTCTCTAACCGTTGCTGAGATTTGGCTTTCATGTATATCATTTTGAAGGGAAAGGTCCATACTTTACTCTCCTGTGATAACATTTGACCCAAGAAGCATATTCAAGCTCAAAGACCAAAAAGAAAAAAAAACGTCCGGAATTACCCCACTCTCCCTTACACTCACAGCATTCAGCAAGTCACTGACTTTTTTCTCGTTAAGCACTGGTACTCTGCAAAATCAACAGTGTACTCAGTACACTCTAGTTAGAGTGTGCTCATGAGTACACTCTAACTAGCGTGTACTCGGATGAGTACACTCTAACTAGCGTGTACTCAGATGAGTACACACTTTCAGCTGCATAAATTGCCAGGCGTGCTTAGGTGTGTACTCATCTGAGTACATGCTAGTTAGAGTGTACTCATGAGCGCACTCTAACTAGAGTGTACTGAGTACACTGTTGAGTTTGCAGAGTAGCCGACGAATGTGACGTCATGTTCGTTCGAGTGTGAATTTTGTCACATTCGTTTGAAAGTGGATCAACATTCAAACGAATGTGACATCATATTCAAACGAACGTGACAAAATTCACATTGGAACGAATACGACGTCAGATTCGTTGGCTACCAGTGAGTGCGTATTATTTGAAACAAGGATAAATACTTATTATTTCCTCAGTGAGTGAGGCTCCTGTCCTTTGTAAAATTATTGATGAGAATAAGTTGCAGTGCCCTCCCTATTTAACAATTCCTAAGAAGTTCCCGAAGGAAGAAAAGTGTGTATTATATTCGCTCAAATTACTTGCGTAAGCACTGACATAACACGGTAAAAACGGATCCTGGTTTTCCCAGGAAGCCTATAGTTAAGATATAGGTGATTTCCAGGAAGTTCCTGGGAAAACCAGGAACCGTTTTCACCGTGAATGGAGCAAGAAGTCAGTAATGTGCTGAGAGTGTAGGAAGAGCTCAGTCATTCTCCGACCAATGCGCTTTCTATTTTCTTGACAGTGGTAAGGGGCAAAAAGCTGAGGAAAATTCTGTTAACAGCTTGTGATGATACTCCGTAGCCCTCTTGTCAATATTCTCGGTAGGACTACACAGAAGGCCCTACGGGAAGACGCGGTCCAAGGGAGGATACTCTAAGGTCCTACGGAGAATTAGCCACAGGGCTGCGGAGAATCTTGGCAAAAAAAGTTACTGAATCTTCCGTAGCCTTTTGCCTCAGTGAATTACTTTCTCTCGATGTTTCGACACTCATGGTTTGTTTCATTTGTTCAGATGGAGAGTTTCGTCATTACGACTATGGACCTGTCAAAAATCGACAGCTGTATGGTTCCGCACAGCCTCCGTCCTACAACTTCAGCGCCATCGTCACGCCTACTTACGTAATCTGCGGCAAAACTGACTATTCCCCTGGAATACAGGTACTCCAAAAGTTGTGTTCGAGTTGGGGGGGGGGGGCGTGAAGCCATTCTCGGGCGAGGTGCAGGGGTTGCGGCCTTTTCTTCGATCGGAAAATCTGGGCCATTGTTTGCAAAACGCTTTTCACAGATCAAAAGAGCGTAAAATTCAGGGTGAAATAGACCTGGCAGCCTGTGCGATACTTCCAAGTCAACCTAAAGCAAGGGGGAAAACCTTGCTTCAACATGGCGCGGACGAGGTTTTTCCCACATTATATAACTTTTCTTGTGTTTCAGTATTTTCACTTCAATTTATTTCAAGGTACGGTGAGAGTTACGACAAGGGCCATTAGCCTTATGCACCCTAAAGTTTATGCTCATTTGATCTGTGTAAAGCGTTTTGCAAACAGGGGCTTACATCTTATAATCGAAGAAAAGGCCGTAATCTCTGTACTGATGGCGCGAGCAGGGCTTCACGCTCTCCCTAGGCCGTTGGCACCCCTTCACTGGTTTTCTGAGTGCAATAATGATCTCATTTAAAAAGCAATAACTGTTTTGTTCCATTATTAGCGCCATGAGAAAGTTATTGCATTATGAGTTCAATAAATATTGTACTGCATAACCGTATTTATTACTTCATTAGCGAAATTATTAATTTATCACACCGTATCTGTGACTATCTAGGCCAAAACCTCGGAGACTTATTGCATTTTTAAAGCGATAATATTTTAATGCTGCCACAGATGCGATAATTAAAAGAAATCGCGTTTGCCTTTTTATTGCAACTGATTGTATAAGGCTTATTCCATCAGAAATATGAGTGAAGAACACCGTTAGTTGCCGTAGATCTTAAGCTTTCTAAAAATGAGTGCGAGAGATTTCTCAGCACGGGCTTCAGAAGAGATAGCTTCGCCAGTCAGCGCGGCGCACATTTTGGCCGACTAAGTAACTTTTCATCACTGAAAACCCAAGGGTGGTAAAATTACCACTTTTGAGGGCGGTAATATTGCTACGGGCGGGATCCGTTTTAATCACCTTTCCAAGGGCGGTACAAAAATTACCGCTCTTTGAAGGCAGTAAATTTACTACCTTTCACAGTTTTGAATCGCCATAAATAATCCGTTTGAAGCGAACATTTAAGGCTGTACAGCTGTGAAGGGTGGTAAATTTACCGTCTGTAAAAACGGCGGTAATTGTAACGGTGGTAATTGTACCGGTGGTAATTGTAACGGTGGTAATTGTAACGGTGGTGGTAAAGACGGTAAAAATTGGATTCCGCCTGTAGAGGGCGGTCATTTTTTTTTTACCACCCTTGTATCACCATGTGTACCGCATTTCAATTTTGGATGATGGCTTATTCAAAACCTAAGCCTGGTTCTCTTAGATCAAGGACTTAACCGTTTTTGGGGAGCGGTCCTGAGGCACGCGCACTTGGGAGTAAAGAGTAATTCAACCATACCTCAGCATGTGTATTTCACTGATCTGAGTTAATAACCAATTTATTTCACTATTTTCGGACAAAGGGGTGCAAGTCCATAAAATCGAAAAATTGAGTGAAGTGTATTTTCGGATACATCACTCAAAACCGCACAACTTGGTGTTGTCAGATCGTCAATATGACTGCTGCTTGCGGAGATACCGCACTGTCCCAAAGGACGTAAGTCCACCAATTTTCTGACAAAAGAGCACAAGTCCACCGTTTTCTGAGAAAAACAGCACAAGTCCACGTAAGTCCATACGTTTTCTGACAAAACAGCACAAGTCCATCGGTTTTCTGACAAAACCGCGTAAGTCCAGGGAATCTATGGACTTACGCGGTTTTGTCAGAAAACCGATGGACTTGTGCTGTTTTGACAGAAATGGGGAATACATTCCCAAAGGATAGTGCAGCCTACAAGGATTCTGGTTCTATAGAATCCATTTGCCTGACGCGCTACTTTTGATTGTGAGCAAAAGCTTACTGATTGCAGGCCTTGAATGTGTATCTTTGTCATTGCACCAAACAGCATAAGTCCACCTGTTTTCTGACAAAACCGCGTAAGTCCAGGAAATCTATGGACTTGCGCTGTTTCGTCAGAAAATAGGTGGACTTGTGCTGTTCTGTCAGAAAACGTATGGACTTACGTGGACTTGTGCTGTTTTTCTCAGAAAACGGTGGACATGTGCCCTTTTGTCAGCACAAACATCATGATCAAAACCGCGTAAGTCCATACATTTCCGAAACCGTTGTGACAACTCAATCATGACACATTCAGGCGGATAAGACATGAAAATTCATACTAAAATGTATACGTCTTTTCCTGCAACTCTTAATGGTTCAGATGCAGGAAGGTTTTCATTACATACCCACAAATTTTCATTTGAGGACTTACACCCCTTTGTCCGAAAACCAGTGATTTGTTTCCAGGACTGTCTCAAGTTCGTCAATGCAACCCCGGCAGTGAAGAGACATCTCGAAGTACCATACAATCATGCGGACTTTCTTGTTTCTGACGATGTCGATGAATATTTAAACAAACCAATTATAGATATCTTTATGAAATATATTTGACAAGGAAAAGGGTGGTTTCGCACCTATCTTTGCTCTCCGTCACATGACATGAACATCAGCCGCCACGAAAGACATATCAGCTTGCAAAGTCTTGCGTTGACACGACTGCATTGTAATGTGCAAGTTTATATAGACTTCATTGTAAAAGAAGAAAAAATCAAACAAAGGCCATAAATTAAAAACGAGGAATACATCTCTGTTTTCGGATATGGGCCCACCACTCTTAAAACCTTACGAAGTATTTTGAGCATACATATAACAAACTAAAATACTTTGTTATACGAAGAAATAGTTCGTAAACTACGAAGTATTTTCTTTGTAAGCTTACGTATGCTCAAAATACTTTGTTATACAAACTACTTTTCTTTGTAAGGCCCAAAATAGTTTGTAAGGTTTTCTCAGTGACGGTCACTCAAAGGTAAAGTCGGTGCAGCGGGGAAAAAATGAGCACTACCTGCTCACGTCCTCCGTCACGCAGCGTTACTGTGGCCCACAGCTGCGAGATTGAGTCAGATTGTTTGGGATTCTGTTTGATTATTTTTTTGTCCCTTATACACAGCTTTTTTGGCCCGTCCCGTTCATTTTTTGTAAAAAAAAAATGACGGAGGGACGGGCATATAGTATGATCCCTGCTGTGCGTCCGTTCGTTCGTTCGTTCGTTCGTCCGAGGACTTCCCGTGGTCCGATCTTGACCAAATTTGGTATGCAGCCTCCTTGGGTGACCCTAAGAACCGCCCGGTGGCAGCAAATCCGATCCGAGCCCCGGGGGCGCTGCTGCAGGTGCATCATGGTCTACATGGGGTCGAGGAGGATCTCGGCAACGGATGCAGCTAGAAGGGCATGTAGGAGTATTTTTATAATCGGGGCGACGAGAAAAAACCAATGGTGCCAGTTTCGAGCGAATCGGAGAAGTTCGGACCCGGGTTCAAATCCCAGCGGGGTATTTTTCCCCGGGTGGAAGGATCTATAGTGAAACTGCAGTTTAAACTGTAGTGCCAAAACTACAGTTCCTGAACTGCAGTTTTTGGTAAGAACAAAGTGCAGAATAAGTCCAGTTTCTGTTTGCTCATGGATCTGTAGTTTGCTGTGTATGTAAACTGCTTTCTAGCTGAACTGCTATTTGTTGACCAGGTATCAAGTACTATCTGTAGTTAAAAAGTGAAGTTAAAAGTTTTTTAATACTACTCTACTTTAATAGTCCACTACTGAAGATCCGCCTACACTTCTATCTGCAGCAGGATCTACAAAGAAAATAAAGTTTCTGCTCATACTTTTTTACACAAAGACAAACTAGTTGAATGTTTACTACAATTTGTAGTAATTTTTCGCTTAAGGCATAGTTTAAGATGTCAAGCACTGCAACTTGATATGAAGAAACAAAAACAATAACATGGAGTGATTAAAATAATATAAGGATTGAAAAGGAAATCTCTCTTAGAAGTTTCGGTTATTTCTTTTAAAGGTTTACGTTGAAATACTTGACGTTGGAGACTTTTAGAAGACACAACTAAACTTTCATATGAAAACCTATATGGCTGGATGTAACCAATTCTGTTTCAATATCACCATGTTCACCAATCACCATGTTCACCAATAACTGTTTGCTTATTTTATAATGTTCCATATTGGTCAGGTAGCATATGACAAAGTATCGTGGAAATCAACAAGCCACAAAATTTAGCCAGCTTGTCGCCAAACAAGGTCTAGCTAAGTGGCATCAAATTCATTATGACTGGATGATAAAATGTCAAACACAAATAAAACATGAACGCATTATAATGCAATGCGTCTCAGAAGTTGAAAAGGTAACGACTCCAGTCGTTGAAAATTAAGACCCTGAAGGCTCTCTGAATTAAATCACTCCATGGTGTCTTGGTTTCTGAGGCAAATTCATTATAAATTACATTTTGGACAAGTGGATTTCACTCAAAGTACAGAGTGGCTTACAGTAAAACTGTAGTTTTCTAGCAGTTGAACTATAGTTCCTGAGGAAAGCCGGCCTTCCCATGTGGTCGAGTAGCCAAGCCCCTATCCACAAGGAAGCTCAGTAGTGCAGTGGTCAAGGCCTCTGCCTCACAAGCCATGGGTCCGAGGTTCAACTCCCGGCAACATCCAATCTAAACACACAATTAACACAAAGTCAATCACCTAAGGGGTCAGAGGGAGGGAGAGTCCCCTCCAAACAAGGTTCAAAAATTAAAATTTTTGAATTTTGAACCAAATTTTAAAACTGCAGATTGTCTCCTCTTTTGAACTGACTCTGGCTGTGTAACTAAACTACAGTAAAACTGTACTTTGAACTATAGTCAACTGATCTGAAGACTAGGACAACCTGGGTCAAAAACTATAGTTGTCCGAAATAACTGGTACTTTTTTTGCAGTTTAACTGTAGTTTACTACTCTTCAACTGTAGTTGAACTACACTTTACCTCCAATTATACAATACATTACAGTAATTTTAAGTATAAAAAAAAGTATTTAAAAATTAAGTTTAACATTTCAAAAAATCTATATTTTTCCAATATAGTTTGAACTGCAGATCCTTCCACCCGGGTCGAACATTCCTTTTATTTGAGTTTTTGCATTGTTTCTGATGTTTTTGAGGGTGCTGATGACGAAAACGACATTTATTTTAACCTCAGACTCAGGTTTATTCCCGTCAGGGTCAAACATAGGCGAAATTCGTTACGGGACGGGCCAAAGTTGCCGATGAATATCGCTACTTTTCCTGTTATTTCTTTCTCCACACTCCTACTCAATAACCAAATTGACTTCGTGACTCCTAGGATTTCTGGAAATCGTCTTTTTTTTTCTTTTTGTCTTTAAACACTGCAAATGCAACGGCGATACTAAAGTACATTTTTTGGCGATACAATTGAGTATCGCCAATAAACGGCCTTACGGAAAATTATTGCCTTCAGAACGGCGATACAAAAAAGTATCGCCAAAATTTGGCAATACTTTTCGATATGGCCAAAACCACGGCATTTTACCAAGGTCTTCTCCCCTTGATTTGTTCGACGTTTATTGCCAAATCGTGGCATTGCTCCAAAGTATCGCCAAATTTTGGCGATACTTTTGTGTATCGCCGTTTTGAAGGCAATACTTTTCCGTAAGGCCGTTTATTGGCGATACTCAATTGTATCGCAAAAAAAGGTCATAAAAGTATTGCCTTTGGATTTACAGTGAATGCATTTCTGTACATTTTTGCGGCTAAACTTGGTTGAACGTGCTGACTTGTTCGCCGCCTCGCGGTGTAACTCGCAAAGCGGGCCGCGTTGGAGTGACGTGCTCAAAACAAAACGAAATGCCTCGAACAGAATGAAGAGGCTCTTCGCGATGAGACACAAGTGCGTCTGTGGAGCGCTCGAAGTCAAGCGGTATTCCGTTGCGAGTTTCGAATCGCTCCACTTTTCAATGTACCAGCGGTGGCCTGGACTGGAAGGGGCGGGGGCAATGGCCATTGAGGCGGTTCAGCGATGCGAAATTTATGGACATTCAGCAGGGAGGCCTTTGACCAGTAAGCGACACTGGTAAAACAAAGGCATAAAAATAAAGCCCTTTACGGCATAAATACTCTTTCACGTCCTTCAAGGGCGTAAATCGTTTTATGCCCTTGGAAAGGGCGTGAATGGTATGGGAATTTTAAGCAAAATTTTAATGCCTTCACTCTGAAGCAGAACTGCCACTCTGAAAGTCTTTTGGTGAAGATGCTCCATATTATGGTGAAAATTCTCCGTAATATGGTGGTGCAGCTGACTTCGTAACTTACAGTTCAGAATTCATTGTACCTGACAGATATTTTGTCGAATTCTATTGTACTATGGAAAAAATCTCCACCATAATATGTTGGTGCAGTCTTTAACCAAAAGACATTTACAGTGTTCCATAAGGCATAAGCCTGCACGCCGCTCGCAGGGCGTAAATCGTTTACGCCCTCCTCAGGGCATAAGTTTAATGCCTTTGTTTCACCAGTGTACGCCATGTGTGGCCTTCGTCCACCAGTCACGTGCTGCTCTGTCTCAATGGTTCAGACGTAACAAATGATGCTTAACTCTGAGGTATTGGAGAACTGTTTGTAACAAGAGCGAGTACAGGCGGGTACACAACTACAATAAAAGATAAACAGGAAAATTAAATGTGATTTTTAATGTTGAGATTTTGACAATTTTATAAAAAAAGAAATTTACATAAAAAATGAAATATTACAGCAGTTTACATACTGGTACTGAACAATATTGAAAAAAATATGAGCGCCTTTTTTATTTTCAAAGGAGAGAAACTCTCATAACCCAGTTCTTTGGCGATAACAGGAAAAAACAATGACACGGGAACCACCTTGGGAAAAGACAAATGAGTCCAACAGTATTATGCGATGGCTCGTATCACAATGCAAGAGTTTTCTTTCTCTCGCTCACACTCACTCACACACAAGTGAGAACATAACTAGAACCGCCGTAACGTCAACAATTACAAATGCGCGGTTCCATTGTCAAAAAGTGTCTATAGCACGAACCTGTTACCAGATTATTTTAGAAAGCAACACTACAATATGGCTCGCTTAATAGAGCAGCATATTCAATGGGGTACTCCAATGTATCTTGAAACGGAAGAACAAAAGCAAGCTCTAATAACAGCTTCTGCGGTGCGCATGCGCAGACGTTTTCCCCACGGCCAGGTGCCCATGCGCAGAAGCTGATTTTAGGGCTTACTTTTGTTCTTCATCTTTTGTATCAAGATTCATTGGGGTACCCTATTTCAAGACACCACCAGGCAAGAGTATGACCAAGTTTTCCGGGAGAATGACGTCACATTCAAAGCGTGAGCCGTGTCATTCAATACACTACTGTTCCTCTCGTACACTGTAAACCTAGCTGTCTACCAAGTACACACTTACAAATGCCTGCTTGCAAGTACACACTTACAAACGCATGCTTGGCCAAAAACACATTTACAAATGCATGCTTGCAAGTACACACTTACAAACGCATACTTGACAAGCATGCGTTTGTCAGTGTGTACTTGGCCAAGCATGCGTTTGTAAGTGTGTACTTGCAAGCATGCATTTGTAAGTGTGTACTTAGAAGACAGTTAGGTTTGTAGTGTATCAACATGACTATTGCGCATAGATCGAGACTTCAACGAATTGCACTAGAATGTGAAATATGCGAAATATTACGTCTCACTCCAGCAAAACTAGAGTTCATCAGAGAGACTGGAGTTGATTCCCCACTGCATGGGTTCGTGAATGCCTTCTGAGATTCGATGATTGACTAAACTTTTCCTGACAGACTGCACTCGAACGGGGTCTCCTCTGTATGGGTTCTTAGATGTATTTTAAGATTATCCTCTCGAGTGAATTTCTTCTGACAAATTGTGCACTCGAATGGCTTTTCGCCTGTATGGGTTCGTAAATGGCTTCTCAGATTCGATGTATCATTAAACTTCTTCAAACAGACCGTGCACTCGAATGGCTTCTCGCCTGTATGGGTTCGAAGGTGAGTTTTGAGATGACTTGTGTAACTGAACTTCTTCTGACAGACTGTGCACTCGAATCGCTTCTCGCCTGTATGGGTTCGTAAATGGCTTCTCAGATCCGATGCTTTACTGAACTTCTTCAGACAGACTATGCACTCGAATGGCTTTTCGCCTGTATGGGTCCGTAAATGGCTTCTCAGATTCGATGCTTGACTGAACTTTTCCTGACAGACTGTGCACTCGAATGGCTTCTCGCCTGTATGGGTTCGTAAATGTCTTCTCAGATCCGATGCTTTTGTAAACTTCTTCAGACAGACTGTGCACTCGAATGGCTTCTCGCCTGTATGGGTTCGGAGATGAACTTTGAGATCACATGGGTACCTAAACTTCTTCTGACAGACTGCGCACTCGACTGGCTTCTCCCCGGCACGATTGCGGACGTGCGCGGTCCGACGAGACAGAGTGGGTTGCTGGGCGGCGTCGCCCCGCAGTTTGGAAGCCATGCTCCAACAAAACCTGCAACAGGGTTCAGTCAGTGACTACTTCGCTTCAAGGCGCTTAGGAGAGCGAGCGCGACGGCACTGTGAAGCCGGAGGCAAAATTAAAGATTGGTTGTCCCAAAATTGGCAAGCTTTAGTCTGAAATCCTCGTAAGCTGAACAATATGGTTTTTCGGCCGCCCGACACGTCAAATTTTCTCCCCAAATTTCCCACGGAAGTACTTTACGCACAATATGTCTTTCACTTCAACAGCCAAAGCTCATAGAATCAGAATGAAATAGAAAAACCTAGTTTTAAAAACATAGTGTGACCACCCAAAGCCACTTTGAGCACGAACTTCTAATTTATATCCCTCACCCACGCCTATTACTACTTAAAGAAAGGTACCTGAATTATAAGCATATCTTTTTAAATCGATTATACAGCGTATTTCGACATGCCCTGAACGCATTTCACAGGCGAGAGCAGACATATTGATCAGAAATGTTCAGTCCGAGACTCGTACAATGCACGCCGCCTCAGCGTAACCAATGAGCTGAAAATGAGACTACTGTGGTTCCTGAATGGCTTGCGGAGAACCGAAACGCAAGTTGCAAATTTTCTCACTCGCAGTTGGGCAATATGCACTGCACAATTTCAAATGAGGGCCGAATTTACATTCTCAAAACAGGAAATCTCACATCGCGGTTTGCACCGACGGGCCCAAAACTCGGCTAAGGAGTGTACGCAGGATTACTGTACTCTAAATGTTGTACAGTGAAGATTCTCCATATTATGGTGAAAATGTTCCATATTACGGTAGTGCAGCTGACGTCATAACGTACCACTGAGAATACACTCTAATTACCTTGTAGATATTTTGACGAATTTCGTTGGTATTGTGCGGAGAAAATCTCAACCATAACTGCACACTAGAAAATGCCTGACCATACGATTAAGTGCAAAGCTTATCGCTTTCAGTGTGAAATGGCCAGGGAAAGATTCATGTTGTAAATTGTTTATATTATAAAGGAAAAGAATTGAAAGGTGACTGACTGGGAGTGGAGTGGTACGCAGCAAATGTCTTACAATGAAAGGCTGCACCAACATAGTGCGGCAGAGATTTTCTCCATCCTAAATAAGCTTACGAACGAAATTCGTCAAAATATCTACAAAGTTACAGTAAATTCTCAATGGTATGTTATGAAGTCAGCTGCACTTCCATAATATGGAACATTTTCACCATAATGCGGAGAATCTTCACTGTACAACATTTAGAGTGTATTTAACTTTTTAAATGGAGACTTTTTACTATGGAAGACTTTCAGAGGACTACACTCTAAATGTCTTACGAAGAAATTTCCCATAATACGAAGGAAATGGCGCAAGCATAATACGAAGGTGGTTTTTCTTCGTATTACGAAGGTTTTTCTTTGTATCTTACAATGAAAAAGCTAAAAAGATTCGTATTACGAAGGAATATTGCTTCGTATTATGCTTGCGCCGAATTCACTGTACCATACGAATAACATAGGGCAAATTTCATTGTAAGACATTTAGAGTGTAGTTCCAATTCGACGTTCCACTAACCCGTCGAATGCTGATGCCGTCTCGTCCCAGCGGCGCCGTCCTTAGTGCTGCTCCCTGCGCGTCGACCTCCCGTCCGTCACAGCGTCTCCAATGGCTCTCCTCGTCGGATTGATTCTCTGCGCGACCTTGGGCTTCCCGCCGCGGACGCGTTGGAATTGCTGCGAATCTGCAATCCGAGTAAAAAGGTGGCTGGTTAATCGGATGGACTGGCGCTGCACACTACCGTGGTACGCAAGAACGGTCCCTCATGGTCCCAGATAGCCTACAGTCATGGAACAAGAGACATTCGGGGAAAACTAAGGACCGGCAAAGCGTGGGGCACTGGTGAGTATACACTTCCACCAGAACGCCGAGTGAACAAGAGGAAGAACTGGTACCGGCTTTTTTGTTCCCCTTAAACGCCTTATTAGTAGGTTTTCACGGTTTAAAATCATGAAACTCGTCTTTGACTAATCTTAATCAATTTTTAGAGCTCAAATGGACTCAGAATATGAACAAATGAGCGACTTTTATGGTCTGTTTCCGGCTTTTGTTATTCTTCTTGTTCTTCACTCGGCGCTTGGAAGTGTCTATTGACGCCATTCGTGTATAGGAAGGGAAGGTGGGGTATACAGTGGGACACCGGGTACATTGGGACACCTTCAATATTTCCAACTTCCAATTATGTCAGGTTCTCCGGAAAATTGACCATAAAAGAGCGTTATTTGGTTTACTGTTTTCACAACTAGGGGACAGAACTGGGCGCTTTCAGAATGAGAAACCTGGGTTGGAAGTTCGATTCCACAAGAACGATGAAAAAGTAGCACGATTTTTGAATTTTGTTTTCTTTTTAGCGTCTGAAATGTACACACTAAATGTCTTACGGTGAAAAGGTGCACCAACATAACATGGTGGCGATTTTCTCCATAATACCAACGAAATTCGTCAAAATCTCTATAAGGTACAGTGAATTCTCAATGGTATGTTACGAAGTCAGCTGCACCACCATAATATGGAACATTTTCACCATAATATGGAGAATCTTCACTGTACAACATTTAGAGTGCACGTCGGATGATCGGGATTGGCACTGATAAACTCACCCCGCTTACCCGCGGTCAAAAGCATAGGATTGAGAATTTTCCGACGTGTCACTCTTACAAGATCAATTTAGCTTGTTTCTTTCTGGAACGGGGAAAAACCTATTGATCAGCACTTTTCCTTAAAACAGGGCTAGGTAGCTACTTGAAATCTTACGTAACTATTTCCGCTTTCCAGATTCTTGCAGTTCTTCACTTTAACCAACGACGTCTAAAGAGTCTGGCCTACCACCACTTCAACCGGAAGCAGCCAGGTGTCATGGGGTTTTTCCGCGACTCTTAAAACGGATGGAGGAACACAAGTAAGTGCACGCAGAGTCTCCGTCCCCTCGCCTGAGGAGGTGTTTCTAGGCGAAGCCTTCTTACCCCCTCCTCAGGCGAGGGGCCGTTTCAAGAGTAGGGGAAATACCCCACAGCGAATCTCAATAGGGTACTTTCGTAGATCCTGAACCGGAAGCAAACAGACGCCATGTTGGCGGCAGTAGATCAAAACTTGTCATGGGAAAGAGACGATAGACCAACGCATCGGCCACACTTGAACATTAACAGTCCTTTTGATACTTATTAGCAGTGCGCACATGTGTTTCGCGAGCAGTATTTGTACAGCTCAGCTACAGTTATAGAGAGGTTTCGTTCCGGCCAATATGGCGTCTGCTTGCTTCCGGTTGCGGATCTACGAAAGTACCCTATTAGCTGAGGTTTGGAGGTGCACAATATACCGAAGCTGAAGCTTAGCTCATACCGCAATAGATCGAAGGTTAGTCCAGGCAGGCCAGGGGCGAAAACGATCTTGGTAACAAACACAAGAACCGTACTAAATTCAAATCTGGAAACACAACCATGCCAGTCTGAGGTTTCACTGACCTGTGAACAGTCCTCTCTATTCTACTGCTACCAAAGCCAGCCGCAAGCCGGAAGTAGAGAGTTGTTGAGTAAGAAGCAACTGCACTGCTACGCCAAGACTTGCACCTTGCACTGGCGTTCGCGCAAATCAACTCTTCGGCGGTTGAATGGGCTACATGCGCGCTGCGCACAGTGGGCTGGAATCGCATTCTAGCCGCTTATAATTAATTTCTCTGCCACTCTTGGTCGTAGAGCCTTCAAATTTGGTGTGCAGCATCTAATAATGGCACAAAATAACTCCCTAACAATATTTTACAATTTGATGAACCTGCGACCGAATCCAAAGAACCCGGGTTCAAATCTCGGTAGGGTTTAGTTGGTCAAAAATTTTGGTGTTGAGATTAGCTTCATATCTCATGTTTTTGAGTATGCTGATGCCAAATTTGATATCGAAGTTGACCTCAGACTAAGATTTCAGTCCCTGTGGGCCCAGAAAGGGCCATTTTTCTCCATTTTTGTTTGTTTTGAGGACTTAGTATTGTTTTGAGGGTTATGCTAAAAATACAGTCTGCCTTCTCGTTTTCTACCACTTCTGGGGCCTCCGTTTTGTCCGAGTCATTCCCACCACTGTGGCCCGGGCCAGGGGGCAGTTCTTTTGTGGAATGCGGATAAAGCAGCTCTCATAATTACTGGACTTTGAGACGCAAAGACTTATAAAATCGCTGCCGAGTGAAGAAGAAAAGGATGCACAAAACCGGATGTATAGTGAGTGGAGTGGGTATCAGGCCGCGGTAGGGGATAAATGTTTACGCCCTTAAAGGGCACATTTTTAATGCCTTTGTTTCCTCAGTGCATTCCCCAAAAGAAGAAGCTTGGCGTAACAACTTAAGACCGCGCGTTACTCGCTATGGGCGCGCAGCAGCAGCGTTGATCGTGCGTTTGTGCGCAAGCACGCTCACGGTGCTAACGAGCACACCCGTGACGTCAGCCCACCACTTATTGACAAAATACAATGTTTCGGTGAAAAGTAACATTTTTAGAGGCCTCGCGTTTGCGTTTGCGCAAGTTTGCGCAGCTTTTCTCGAATGATCCTTTATCAAGACATGCCTCACGTCAATTTCTAGTGTACAGACCTGCTTGATTGGGGTTGATTCGGTAGTAGATCTCAAACTTTATAGTTTTTTACTGATATTTGTGGTTAAAAAGGGCGCCGTTCATCCAATTTTGGTTAGAAAAGAAAAACATTAGTGCCATTTGGAAGGGCAGACCTTAAGCTTCAAGAGGAACCCAGCGGAAGTTTGAAACTAGCACTCCAATCGCTCACAAAGTATAAATATATAACAGCTTATTTTTCGCATCAATTTGGAACTTTTACCGAAGGTTGAACTTTGACGGCATGTAGCGGTCAAAGTATTTGTCGCACGTCAATTCCGAGACCAGATTTGGAATCTGCGGAAAATTTCCTATCAAATACATTTGAAATCGGCCCATTTGGACGACTATCGAAAAGTTATTTTTAAGCGGCTAGAATGCGATTCCAGCCCACTGTGCGTCCATCAATCGAATTTGGTACGCCACGATGTTGGTAAGCCAAGATTTTGCTACGCCAGGATGTTGTCAGGCTCCACGTACCGCCACAATAACTTTCGGGTACTGCAAGGATTAAAACGATTGCTGCTACCGAAATCAGAACACTGGTAAAACTAAAGCGTAGTATTATCCTCTGTTTTCAAGCCTAATGAGTTATCGCTTGAAAACGAGGGGTTACCCACTCCGGGAATCGTGTGTACACTCAGTCTGGGAATCGTTCGTAATTTGCTCAAAATTTTATCGAAAATCCTAAAAGTTTCAATGGAGAGGGATATGTAAAAGACACAAAACACTCAAAAGCTAAGAAAAATCTTCAAAAACCTCTCCTTTTATGCAAGATTTGTTCAGGAATCGCGGGAATCCGGAATCGTGTGTACGCCCAAGTACCGAGTGGGTAACCCCTCGCTTGAAAACCAAGCGTAACAGGCTCGTCCGCCAAGATGCCCCCATACAAATGCATGGGGGAATTTCCAGAGTGTGCTTTATTTCAAGCGTAACGTCTCAAAGCGTAACTCTGCTTAATTCGAGCGTAGAGCTACGCTTTAGGTTTACGAGTGAACTGATCAAATGATCCTCCACATCATGACCAACACCGTTAACCGAAGTAATCGCGTATGCTTTCGTGATAAGTCGCACTATCGTGCTAACTACCTGCGTTCAAACCTTGAGGTTGGATCTACAAGTGGAGGGTCCTGTCCACTAGAAGTCCGTGAGGTGCACTGGGTCGCACGATACGCAACATGAAGTCCAACTCTCAAGTCGTCTCGGAATACGGTACTTCGGAGAAGAGACGAACGGCAGTTGAGAAGAAATCAAGAGGTTGTTCAATACCGAAGTGAAGTTTAAAAGTTATAAACCTCTGCGATTTCTTTTTAACGTCGACATTCATTTTGAAAATATTCTTAAGCTTTTTAATGAGACTACCAGGAAGAGGGTACTTTCGTAGATCCTGAACCGGAAGCACACAGACGCCATGTTGGCGGAAGTAGATCATAACTTGACTTGGGAAAGAGACCACAGTCAAACGTATCGGCCATACTTGAACATTAACAGTCGGTTTGTACTTATTTGCAGTGCATATGTTCCGCAAACAACATTTGTATTGTACAGCTCCGCTATAGTTTTAGATCCGAAGAGAGCTTAGTTTCCGGCCAACGTGGCTTCTGCTTTCTTCCGGTTCAGGATCTACGAAAGTACCCAAGTGTAGAGTAGTCCACGTTTTGTTTCATAGTGCCCTTAAGTAACGCGCTTCACTGCAGGAAATAACCACAACAAAAGTACTAAAATTTCTGGCAAATTTTTTATCAGGAATTTAGTGTACTTTTCAAGTACAATAATTATTGTACAAAGTTCAATGGAACCGGCATAAAGAGTGCTGGGCAGTCCAGGGCTGGTTGTGGTTTGTACAATTCTCGTTGTACTTTCTACAATCCCTGTTGTACTTTTATTGTACAGTATCTGTTGTACTTTTGTTGTACTATCTACACTTTTTCTTGCAGTGTTTTTGCCTTCAGTTGAGGTTTGCAGTTTGAGTCGTGTGTTTGTTTCTTGCAGTTGCTTCCTTGCATGCTGATGGCCCAACGGCGTTGATGATGGATGACGATGTCTTCGGTTCGCCGCCTTCTGATGCCGAGCCGACTACAGTCTAAACAGGTAGGCCCTAACTGCCTCATCCTAAATCTCATGTGTTTTATCTGTAATGTCTGAAGCAACTGCCCCAGCGTTAACAAGTTAAAAGACTTACGTTTTTCATTCTGTACCCAATTTATTGATGGAGCTTCATTTGAAACACAAGCATTTTTCCTTCACGGTCAAAGTTAGCATAATTTAGTTGTTTTAAATTTTCATGTACCGTAGAATCCAACTGATAGGTTTGAACTGCGTTTCTTTGTTGTGGTTGCTCTCCCGAACGCTGGTAGCTGAACAGCTTTGATGGTGATGGCTGACGATGTGTTTGGTTCGCCGCCAGACGATGCCGAGCCGACTACAGTTCAAACTGGTAAGTGCCTCCTTCACTCTCAGACTGACATTGACTTTTTGTCATTTGTTTAAGAGTATTTTACACAGCAATAAAAAGTACTATTTCTTCAATATCTATGTAAGATTTCGTTCGTCATATTGACTGTGATAAATAGTCAATAATTGATGACAATTTAGTCTTTATAGTGAACAATATTGTACATGGTTACAAAGGAAACGCCACATACTATTGCTGCTTAAACAAGGTAGGTGTACGCCAGTCAGTGGCTTGTAATACGTCGTGCACATCTCAAATCTGATCATAGTTAAAAGGCTTACGTTTTTCATTGCACCCAATTTCCTGATAGGTCAAGCTCCATTTCGAACGAAAACTTTTTTGAAAATTCACGATTATAGTTACCATAGTTAAGTTGTCGTCCCAAAATTTCACCTACCGTAGAATCTAACTGAAAATATAAGTCGCATAACTCTCAGGAAATTCCAGGATCTAAGTTATTCTCGCGTCGTGAGGAGAATTTGGGAGAAACGATTAAAAGTTTATGGGAACCTCCATAACTCAGAAACTCATTTGAGTTTTGGCCCTCAACTTTGGGAATAAATTCATCAAAAAGTGGTTTAATTTTGACCACAAAATGATCTTCCTGTCACAATTATTTCAAGGACATGCTAGTTTCACTTCACAGTATCCTTAAGCACAATTTTGATACTCGACGGTGTTACAATTGTTTGTCCACCAGGTGATGCAAACTGTCCTATGCCTACTGCCATCTGCTTCTTAATTGGACAATTTGTATCACCTTTGTGGACACAAAATTGTGTCATCGACGGACTTATAATTTTATCGTTCCTAGGTCCCAGCTGGGAACCAAAAAAAAAAGGTTCCAGGACATTTTGAGTGTAGCTTTGAAATTGTCACAGTGAGACTATGTCGAGTCACTCTCCTACACTCAGACAAGGTGGTGCCCTGAAACTGACCGACTAAGTCGCCCGCCCCAGTTTTTAGGGCGACTTGAGTCGCCTACTTTCTGGGCGACACAGTCGCCTAGTTTTAGGGCATCTTGGTCGTTAATACAGAGCTTACTTATGAATGCTGGCCCAAGGCGCCCTCAACCTGAGCACCTTTGGGGTTGGTCCGACCTAATGTAAACCACTGCTGCCCAGATTCGGGGCACCTATTGCGCCTAGATTCGGGGCATCTCTGACGCCACCCAAATGTGAAATCATTGAGTTTATCCATGTGCAGGCAAACTTGTGTGCAATGCCTTGGGCCAGCATAGATAAGTAAGCTCTGTATTTGCGACCAAGATGCCCTAAAACTAGGCGACTGTCTCGCCCAGAAACTAGGCGACTGTGTCGCCCAGAAAGTAGGCGACTAAAGTCGCCCTAAAAACTGGGGCGGGCGACTTAGTCGGTCAGTTTCAGGGCACCACCTTGTCTCAGTGTACTTACTTCCTTGGTCACATTTTGGTTGCAGGCGTGGCCGAGGTCCAGCCCCAGCAGCTCCGCATCGCGGTGACCTTCTCGCTGGCAGGGTTGGCTGGCGACGCGGTCCCGGTGGAGCAGGCCTCGCCCAGGGAGGCGGGCAGAAAGACGCGCCGCGGGTTCAGGTGTGGGGAGTGCGGCGAGTGCTTCGGTGCAGAGGCGGACTTGGATCAGCATCCGGCAAGTCACTCCAAGACGGCACCGCACTCGTGCGAGGTGTGCGGCAAGAAGTTCCGTGACGCTTCGAGTTTCGGGAAGCATAAGAGAATCCACCGCGAGGCGAAGCTCTATGATTCGCTAAAGAAGTACTCTAAATTTGAACCTGTTTCAGTGTACGAAAGTATGCGTTAAGAGTTGTAACATGTGAGGTAACTTCAAGTGCTCAAGTGAACCCATTCCGGGGAGAAGCTCTTCCAGTGCGACGACTCTGGATGGAAACTCTCTGGTGTGACACTAGGAAAGCGCAAGAGGATCGACACCGAGGAGAAGCCCTACTTAAGTGACGAGTGCAGCTAGAAATAAATTCTCTGATACAAGTTATCTCAACGTGCTCGAGAGGAACCCCACGCGATGACTGCTTGCTTGTGAATGTATTGTGTGGTTCCCGAAAGTTACACTCTGAGTGGTTGCTGTCGAACATAAGTGCGACTTAAAGATAATCATTTGAGGCGTGCCTTGTTGTTATCGGTTCCTTGTTTAATTTTCTTTGTCCTTCACTTTGAAGTTTACTGCGATTTACTACTGAAACCTTTGTTGCTACTTTGTGTAATTATTGTCTTCTTCTGAGATGCTCATTTGTGATTGTGAATAATGTCGCTCCACTCCATTTGTTCGCTTTTGTTAATTTTGGTGTTTTGTTATTGTATTTGTACCTTCTTATTTTTTGCCCCTTAATTAATGCAATTCTAAGCACATCCCATCGGTGACACAATTGTGTGTCCACCTGGTGATGATTCAAAGTGCAAAATCGCACTCTCTGGGTATTGTTCACATTTGTTAATTTTGTCGTTTTGTCATTGTATTTGTACCTTCATATTTGTCTGCCCCCTGAGTAATGCAATTCTAAGCACATCCGTGAGTGACAATTTTCTACCTGGTGATTCAAAGTGTCCAATGCCTATTGCGATTTGGTAGTTAATTGAACAAGTTTGTTCACAGCAACAGATGTGCATAAAATTGGAACATTCATGGGACAAAAGAAGAGGGCTCCATGACATACAGTGTGTTGTTATCACTTTACCAATTTTCCCTTAAGGTCTTTTTTCAATTTGATGTTAATTCTCATGTTTCTGTCCCTCTTTCAGATCTTAATCTATGAATCTGTATCGCGCTACCCCTCAATGATTCTCGCTTGTTGTTTCTGGTTTTTTCGCCGCGGTGTGCGGTGAGGTTGTTGTAGTGGGCCTCGTCATCACGAGGTTGTTGGGAGCGGTGTTGTCAGCAGTGGTGGTGCATGCGCAGTGCGATGTGACGTAGACGTTGCTCTTTTGTCTTGATCCTGCCTGAGTGTTTTGTTTTTCGCAGAACTTAATCGTTTCAGTGCGACACACATTTTAAAGCCCTTTGTCGCGGCGTCCTTTTTAAAAGACGTTTCCTTTCTTTCGCTCTTTTCTCGTTAAACCTACTTTCAACGAAAATCGAGCAGAATCTGTTCTCACGGCACTCACATTTTTGTCGGGAAGTCCTGTTTGCTTGGTAATGTGACCTGACCTGATAAAAAACCAACGAGAACATTCCCAAGCTTACAGTCCCTCTCTCCAAATTTGTGGAGAACCGCTTGGGCCGGTGTTGTGTGCACTCTCAGCCGCTTACTATTTCTCATTAGCAGACGTATTTCCATAAGCAACCATAATACTTAGTATTTAGCTCTTAAATACTTAAATATTTCTTTGTAATTTACTAAGAAAACGGTAATATCAGTACAGTAATTAGCAATTGCTAAGTAATACTGACAAAAAATACTAAGTATTATGGTTGCTTACAGAAATGCGTAAGCTAATGAGAAAAAGTCAGTAAAAGGCCGAGAGTGTGTGATGCAACTTCAAGTTGAAAACCCTAAATTCACGTGGATGTGGTTGCGTGCTTTTCCCCGCCTCAACGTTGCCTCTGCTTGCAGGTCTCGCGCGCGTCAAGGCGGAGAGCCTTTCGCCCGGAGGACTGGACTTGCGAGGCGGCGGCGCGGGGAGCGAGGAACCGGGTGAGTTGACGCCGCCAGTTCGTCAGTAAATATTTATGTTCGCGCATCTTTAATGTCCATAAGTGATCCATGAAGCGGAAGAACACACTAAATTACTATGTAGGTTTTTCTGCGCGCTAATGCACGAAATAGTACATGCACTTCGTAACGCACGAATTTGTGCGCGATAATGCACGATTTCGTGCGCAAGTATGCAGGAAATCGTGCATTGCACTCTAAAAAAAATTGTGGTAGAAATCCTATAAAAGTATCGGACGCATTTAACCTATTCGGTATAGGAATTTTCCCACATAGGACATTTTAATTTTACCATCTGCCGATATGGCAAAAATCCTATACGTGTTGTTCGGTTTCTACTGTATTAGGGTGTGGGAAAACTACTATACCGTGTATGGTAAAAGTCCCATACGAGTTGTGGGATATTTTCGTTACGTGATGTGGTGATAATCCTATACCCTCATAGGAAGGCTTACTTTGAGAAATAGTGAACACATTCCGAGAGAACATGGCGCCAGCACCACTACCATTCGGAAGGCATATTAAAAATTAAAGTCACAATCTCTCTCTTATAGACAGCTTCTTCCACCTAAGAGGCAGCCCAGTCCATTCCCGGACTCTGTACCACAAGGCGGATCTTGCTTGCACCCAACCGAATGGCCGACCGCAGTCGCCAGCGAGTGGCAACATGGAAAAGCGTTTTTCTCGACTATAGTGTCATATTTTGTATAAAACTGAAAGCCAACGGCTAGGGCTGACACTTACTTAGGCAACAGATGATATATTTATCAAAAATTATTTACTTTCGTAACATAAATCGGAAATACTTATTGGTGAACGGGCACGGCGCTCCAAGCGCCACCTAGCGGCAGGTTTGTGCAACCTGACGGCAGGCGGCTGACAGTGGGCCATACCCTTACCCACAGCTCACCTTTTACAAGGTAACTTAACAATAGGCGATGTCAAAATGCTTTGGAGCGCTACGTTTATTTTCAGCTTCATAATAATATAACTTTAAATTTCGCAAGGATTCAAAACCATGGCTCATCTACATAAGTAGTTCTGAGTTGCCGCGATTTTCAGAGACAAACCCATTTCAAGTTTCAATGAAGAAGTCAAAATTATCTAAAACCAGATGTGATAATGGGCCAGAACAAGATACAAAATAAGTTTAAACCGGTTTTAACGAATCTCGTCTAGTGCCAATTTCTATTAACGGTTTGACGTCACATGAGCTTTTCTTTACTTTTCTCTGAGCAGCTTTGCCGCCTTAGTCATTGTGCCGTTAGCCTGTTATTAATATTAAACGTCTGTTTTGGTCCCCTCTCTCCTGAAAAAATATTTCAGAAATGTTTGTGATTCTTACTAATGGGTTGTAGGAAAAGCAGTATACAATGGCCAGAAGTAATAGGATTTCTACCAAAAAGTGTGGGAAAAAACCGAACACGAGTATAGGAAATCAGATTCCTATACTAGGTTCGGTTTTTTACTACACCGCATTGGCAATTGAACGAAAAGCATAGGAATTTTCCAAATCACGTATAGGATTGTCGTTTCCCATACCGAAGTTGGTACTTTTACCATACGACGGTGTAGTAGAAATGCCATTATTTTTTAGAGTGTGTCGCGCACAAATTCGTGCGTTAGGAAGTGCATGTACAATTTCGTACATTAGCGCGCAGAAAAACCTACATAGTAATTTAGTGTGAAGGGAATAACTCAATTTTCATCACTTTTCAGGAGGAACGAAAAGTTGTTTGCAGGGTAAACTTAATCCAGTCAGATGAATGATGCAATTGCGTTTTTGTCAAGAAGGCCTAAGAAATAATTGTGGAAATTTTCAAAAGTGCAGCATTCCTCTGTAGACGTTTTCCGTGATATAATTCTTTACGTTGCGATGGAGTACCGAACCATGTCTAGAATAGGGAAAACGCATCCTTTTTTTATGTGTGTACTCACTGAGTACACACTTTTAAGTGCATACTCACTCAAGTACACACTTCTAGGTGCGTGCTTAGAAGCATGCACTTTGAGGTGTATACTTGCCTAAGCACGCACCTAGAAGTGTGTACTTGAATGAGTATGCACTTAAAAGTGTGTACTCAGTGAGTACACACATAAAACAAGCTAGGGCCCGCCCTTCCGTCGAACCGAGTTGCCAGCTGCGCTGGCAACTCGGTTCGACAGGGGGCCGGCCCAGCTTGGCCTGCCGGCGGCCTTTTCTCGGGCCTTCGGCCCTCGCATCAGACCCAACTTGGCCAGTCGAAGGCCCGGGCCTTCGGCCCGCTCGCATCACACACACCGTGAGCGGGTAAAGCAAAGTTATCGATGTACCATCGTGACTTAGGCCCGCCCTTCTATTCACAATATGCAATAGTCCTTACACTTTTTACTCCAACTGTCCTTAGAATATGCCCATTTCATTTGTCTCTTCGCCCTCATTCCGAAAATACCCATATTTGCCATGCTACTGCAACTCCTTGCAATAGAGGCACAGCAGGAGCGCAAAACGAGTCCGTCGCACTTTTTCCCATAACTCATGAAGGCGGGCTCCTGGACCCCCCTTCCGACCCCTCGTTGAAGAGGTCTTGCCAAGACCTATCCAAAACTTAAGTAAAAATTTTCAGTCGGTCGACCCCCTTTTTTCAATATCCTGATGTGACTAATAGACGAAGTCGGGCTCCTGGACCGCCTTTCCGACCCCTCGTTGAAAAGGTCTTGCTGAGACCAATCGAAATCTGCAATAAATTTTTTTAGTCGGTCGACCCCCTTTTTTGAAGATCCTGATCTGGCCAACTTGTAAAAGCGGCCGATGGGGTCGGGACCAGGTCCATTTATCTTGTCTCGTCGCCCCGATTCCAAAAATACCCCTATGTGCCCTGCTAGCACCAATAATGGCGGAAATCCCCCTCCCGCTCATGTAAACCATGATGCACCTGCAGCAGCCCTTGTGCGACCCGGACGGGATTTGCACCACCGGATTATTTGTTTGGACGGTACTCCTGAAGTACTCTCCAAATCTGATTACTCTAGCTCAACTCCTTCCTTGTACACAGACGCCAACAACAACAACAACACACAGACACAAAGGCAAATGCATAGGCCCTCCCCCTATTTTTTGAATAGAAGGGCGGGCCAAAAAGGATGCGTTTTCCCTATGCCGCGCATGCACCTCGCAAGTGTGTACTCACTGATTCCCCTTTTTTAAGTGCATACTCACTGATTCCCATTTTTTAAGTGCATACTCATTCAAGTACACACTTCTAGGTGCGTGCTTAGGCAAGTACACACCTCGAAGTGCACGCTTGTAAGCACGCACCTAGAAGTGTGTACTGAGTACACACATAGATTTTGTGTGTATTATTGACTTTTTGTCTTTTGTTGAAGAGTATAGGGTGAGTTTTCTCGATGTGTCAATAATTTGCAGGTAGCTTGGGCACCCCGAGGGGATCATTTTTTACAAATAAACTACACTGCAAGGAAAAGTGTGAATAGTACAACAAATGCACAACAAAAACTGTACAATAAAAGTACAACAGGGTTTGTAGAAAGTACAACGAGAATTGTACAAACCACAACGAGGCATGCCGGTTTCATTGTACTTTGTACAATTATTGTTGTACTACGAAAGTACAACAAAAACCTCATAAAAAATTTGCCAGAAATTTGAGTACTTTTGTTGTGGTTATTTCCTGCAGTGTAGTGGGCGCAAACGTCTAGTTTCTAAGATAATTAGTGTTTTGTAATTTACTTTCGCGCCTACGAGGTAGGCAACTGCTGCCACCGAGGGTGGCGGGACCTCATGAAAGGGTGTCAAGGGACTCGCAGTACTCGCGGGAGTGCCACTGATGTCGCAGAAGTACCCGTGGAGTCCTGCTACCCTCGCGAACACAGCCGCGAGGTCCACTGTTACGCAGGCCGCCAAGACAGCCACTTGCGACCCTCAGCAACCACCCGAAAGGGCAAGTGCAAGGTCTGCCGCTCCCCCGCGAGTCTCGAAGCATCCCTTCATGACCCGCGACACCCTCTCTTGAGGTCCTGCGACCCTCAGTGGCAGCAAGTGCCTATCTTGCAAATGCGAACGCCTTTTACAAAACACCAATTATCTCCGTACCTAGACGTTTGCGCCCACTAGTTCATTGGTGAAATATGAAATATGAAATATCTTGGGGTGCCCAAGCTATCTACAAATTATTGACACATCGAGAAAGCTCACCCTGTATTTCACACAGCAGTGAAAAGTACTATTTCCTCAATATCTATGTAATATTTCGTTCGTAGCATTGACTTAGAGTCAATTTGCTATTGACGAAGAGTCAGTACGCAATTGACTTGAAACATAGTCAATATTTGATGACAATTTAGTCTTTCTAGTGAACGATATTGTACATGGTTACGAAGGAAATACTACATACTGTTGCTGCTTAAACCACGTAAGCTAAGGACCAAAAGTCAATAATGAAAAGAAAAAAGTCAAAACCAATCTGAGAGAGTGGAGCTGACGTCTGCTAAGAGTCTGTATTTCTGCGGTACATTTTTGGAGTTTCCCCCGGCATCCTGTAATTTCCAAGAAAGTGATGTCCTCTGACGGAATACTGCAGTATACTTGTTCTCTATTGTTTATCAACTTTTTATTTCTTGGAGTGTGTGCGCTGATTTTGATGTAAACCCAGTAACTGCAATAATTTTTAACTGAAATTTTAAAAGGCTTCCGAGCCTAATAGCTTTCGTCACATTTTGGTTTGCAGGTGTGGCTGCGAGCGAGGTCCAGCCCCAGCAGCTCCGCATCGCGGCGACCTTCTCGCTGGCAGGGTTGGCTGGCGACGCGGTCCCGGTGGAGCAGGCCTCGCCCAGGGAGGAGGCAGGCAGGGAGACGCGCCGCGGGTTCAGGTGTGGAGAGTGCGGCGAGTGCTTCGGTGCAGAGGCGGACTTGAGGAAGCATCTGGCTGGTCACTCCAAGAGGGCACCGCACTCGTGCGAGGTTTGCGGAAAGAAGTTCCGTGATGCTTCGAATCTCAGGAAGCACATGGGAACCCACACCGGGGAGAAGCCCTACGAATGTGACGAGTGCGGAAAGAAGTTCACTCAATCAGCTAGCCTTGTCAGGCACAAGATGCTGCACACCGGAGAGAAGCCCTACAAATGTGACGAGTGCGGAAAGAAGTTCAGCCGATCAAGTCACCTCATCAGGCACAAGATGCTGCACACCGGGGAGAAGCCCTACGAATGTGACGAGTGCGGAAAGAAGTTCTCTCAATCAAGTAATCTCTACACTCACACGAAGAAGGCCCACACAGTGAGGAAGCCTGACAAGCGTAATGACTGAGGAAAGAACTTCACTCATTTAGTTGACACAGCACGAGAAGATGCACTTTGGACAAAAGGCACAACGAATGTCGCGAGTGCTCAAAGAAGTTCAATCTTTTGTCTTTTCAGACTCCAAAGGGTCCTCGCTGAAGAGAATTCTCTTTTGTTCGACGTGTGCGGAATTGTGCGTGCTCTTTAGGTGGTGTTGAGATTCGCAAAAGACACTTGATTCTTATTTAATGACGTGATTAGTGAAATTTGTAAATTTTCATTTGACGGGAACCTCTGTTGTGGTGTTGGGGTGTGATGTATATAAATGTTATTTCAATCTTTTCTTTATCAGGTTACTGTGCTTTTAAGATAGCACATCATGCTCTTTCTTGTTTAGCTTCTTTGCTGTCTGCAAACAAGAACGAGTCGCATACAAAGCCCCCCCTAGAATTGTACACGTTTTTTTCTCAGGGTTTTCGATATTGTATCTTGCTTTAACTTTGATTACCGATAAATAAGATAAAAGAGTAAAAGCAATACTCTAAAGTGTGTGCTAAGGATTTTTCTTCATATTACTCGACAACAGTCTGCACGAGTCTTGCATCACGTGACTTTCGTTTTCATTAGAAAACTCGGTGCAGTTGTGTTAAAGTAAAACAACTTGTGTGACCCCACCAAAGAATTCCTCGTTTGGAGAGCTGAGTTTTGTCTCCCCTGTAATTGGTGTCCTTTCTGTTGCAGGTTCTTGCATATCAGACGAATTTCAATTAGAGCCACCACGAGTCGATTGGGCACTGTAGCCGATTTATACCGTCGCTGCCACGCACTGAGAGGACGACCGGCGTTAAATTCGTTCCGACATCAGACTACAGTTCAACTCACCCAGCGCCACTGAAGACTGATCACATAAAACTTTTGCCCTCTTTTAACTGGTGTCCTCCTTGTTTCAGGTTCTTGCATCTCACAGGATTGTCCGTGGCACCCACAACGAGTCGACTGGATGTAGAAGTCGATTCGTTCCGTCGCATGCGCTGCGCAGTGGTCCAGAAGACCGGTGGAGGCGGTCGAAACTCCAGACGCGTTTTAACCTCCAGACTCGCTAAATGGCACTCGTGCCGAACGTTCGACCCTTCCAATGGATTTCTGTCCATACTACGTACCCTAGGAGTACTTTTTAGCGACTCAGAAGCTAAACACGCGTTAGAGTTCCGGCCGCCTTCACCGGTCTTCGGACCCACTGTGCGATTTACTTGGGTTTTCTGATTCCTGTGCTTACCTTGACGGGCTGGTCACTGCCTTCTTGTGACGTCTGCATGCGTCATGGTGTGCGCGTTGGATCAATTTGTCGATCCGTGCATGCGTGTCACGTCGACGCACTTGGAGGCGTTTGACTCCAAAGTTTGGAACTTAAACACAATCCGATGTGCCCTACGTACAGTGCAGTTACATTCTTTCACGGCGAATGTGCTTCGTAGTTCCTCTGACCTCCTTCATAAACCCTACCAACGCGGCTTTGTAAGATTTACGAAGGATTTCATTGTACCTACGAGGCGACTTCGTCGTATGGCATTTTTCAAAAGCTTGGTGCCTGAGACTGCTTAGCTTTTTTATTAGGTTTTGCTGCCGACGTAGTCTTTACTTGCATGGGTTGAGCATGTTCGCTTTGCGAGTAGTAGAAGTTGTTGGTTCGCATGTCGGGAACGGTACCCAAGAGAACAGAAGGTCATGTGGCCAAGTGAGCTCAAATTGATTGCATAAAGTCTCGCTTGACTCAAACCAAATCGTCATGTTCTTTCAAAAGATACCAATAGACATGCAGTTGACAGAAAATAAGCTGACCATCCGGATGATTCTCATCTTGACATCCATGATACGCCATCACACACTCTCAGACCTAAATGGACATTTTTCTCTCTTGCTTATGACGTTTTTCAGGCTAACGTAAAATGTACTATTTTCTCTGTAACCATTCACAATTTTGATCTTCATACAGATAAAATTGCCAATTGATCATGTAGTCATTGAAAAGTACATTACAAATGACAAAAAGTCAGGTTTCGTGAACTAAATACATAATACAATGAGCAAAATAGTGCATAGGTAAATAGAAAATAGTACATATTACATTTGCACTTAAAACTTGTATGGCAAAAGAGTCGATACGAGAGTCGCAAGTCAATACGAGACTTAGAGTGCGGTGACCTTTTTCTGTTCCTTTGGGTGGCGCTCCGTCTGAGTTCTATCGCCCTGCAGACTGATTCTAAGATCCGTTCCGTCGCTCTGTCTCTCTCACTGATGAAACAAAGGCATAAAAATTATGCCCTTTAAGGGCACAAACGATTTACGCCCTTAAAGGGCATAAATCGTTAATGCCTTTGGGAAGGGCATTAAAATTTTGCTTGAAATTCCTATTCCATTTACGCCCTACCCAAGGGCATAAAACGATTTATGCCCTTGGAAGGGCGTAAAAGGGTATTTATGCCCTTAAGGGCGTAATTTTTATGCCTTTGTTTTACCAGTGCTCCCATCCACACGGGACGCCCCATGAAAGTGAGATGGACAGCGCGACGGAAACGATTCTCGGAATCTGTCTCCTGATGCCGCCGTTGCGTTGTTGACGCTGCAGGTGTCGCCGCAAAGCCCCGCCTCGCCGTCCAAAGAATATTCCACATGGACTACTTCGGGGCGCGCGTGCCCCTGCTGCTGCGCCTGCCGCCGAGTCAGGCCGCCGACGAGGTGGAGGACGCCGCCGCCGACGAGGTAGAGGACGCCGCCGCCGACGAGGTGGAGGACGCCGCCGCCGACGAGGTAGAGGACGCCGCCGCCGACGAGGTGGAGGACGCCGCCGCCGACGAGGTGGAGGACGCCGCCACCGACGAGGTAGAGGACGCCGCCGCCGACGAGGTGGAGGACGCCGCCGCCGACGAGGTGGAGGACGCCGACGACGAGGTGGAGGACACCGCCGCCGTCGAGGTGGAGGACGCCGTCGAGGTGGTGGAGGACGCCGCCGACGACGAGGTGGAGGACGCCGACGACGAGGTGGAGGACACCGCCGCCGTCGAGGTGGAGGACGCCGACGAGGTGGTGGAGGACGCCGCCACCGACGAGGTGGTGGAGGACGCCGCCACCGACGAGTTGGAGGACGCCGCCGACGAGGTGGAGGACGCCGCCGACGACGAGGTGGAGGACGCCGCCGCCGACGAGGTGGAGGACGCCGCCACCGACGAGGTGGAGGACGCCTTCGCCGACGAGGTGGAGGCCTTGTCCGAGGCACCGTCTGCAGCAGCCACTGGCCTCAATGAGCGACCAACCTCCAATGCGGCCCCTTCCAAGCCGCGAAACGTCAACCACTCGCGCTGGAAGGCACTCACAAAGAAGCGCCGCGCGTCTACTGTGCTTACGTGTAACTTCTGCGGCAAGAAGTTTTCTCGTCCTGCCCAACTAAGTAGCCACAGACGGGTGCACTCTAAGTCTTACGAGTGTGACGAGTGCGGAAAGAAGTTCTCTCAATTAAGTAACCTGAAGGTGCACAAGATGCTGCACACCGGGGAGAAGCCCTACGAATGTGACGAGTGCGGAAAGAAGTTCACTCAATCAGGTGGCCTCATCAGGCACAAGATGGTGCACACCGGAGAGAAGCCCCACGAATGTGACGAGTGCGAAAAGAAGTTCGCTACATTAGATAACCTTAGGAAGCACACGAGAGTCCACACCGGGGAGAAGCCCCACGAATGTAACGAGTGCGGAAAGAAGTTCACTACATCAGTAAACCTGAAGGTGCACAGGAGAGTCCACACCGGGGAGAAGCCTTACGAGTGTGACGAGTGCGGAAAGAAGTTCACTGAATTAAGGAACCTGAAGGTGCACAAGAGAGTCCACACCGGAGAGAAGCCTTACAAGCGCAATGAATGAGGAAAGAAGTCCGATTTCTTCATCAAGAGACAGTTAGGTTTGTAGTGGCAATAGTGGAAACAAAGATATTTTGAAAACTTACTTTTTGTAGCTTTTGCAACTTGCTTTTTATGATAATGAAGGGTATATATAATTTCATATCAAACACTATTTTCGTTTTATTTATTCATTTTTACCTAAGTGAAAGTAGTACCTCTTGGCACATTTCCTCCCCTTCAACGGCGTGTTTGGTTCCTTAATCCATTGAATGGAAAAAAAAAATCCGAAAAACTCCACTTTTATTCCAGGAAGGTGACATCACGTTGAAACAAATGTGACAAAATGTCACGTTCCTTTGAGCATTGTGTCACGTTCGTTTAGGTGTGAACAGCCATAAATGAGCTTATTCACATTCAAACGAATGTGACACGACGCCCAAAAGAAGGTGACATTTTGACACATTCGTGTAAACGTGATGTCACGTTCCTGAAATGAGAGTGTGTCTGCTTGTCGCTCTCGTGGCACCATATTCGAACTTTGAATATTTCGGCTTGCAGATGTTTTTCGCCAGAATGCTGTTAGAGTAAGGCGTTCAACAATGCAGATATGCTGTTTCTCTCGCTTGCCTCATAGCTTAAACTCTGGAAAACTTATTTAATTCGTCGAAAAATAACAGAAAATGCGATCATCCTGGGTGAAGCGTGTAGCGCAGTCACTTCGTGGAGGGCCTTTACGAAGTCTCAGGAACAATTGTCTCAAACTTGGGAATACTTCGAAGTGTCGGAAAGTTTCGGGGTAGTCTTTCACTTTTGTCAGCAAAGTGTGGCGAGAGGCGCAGCTCAATGTCCACCCATGAAAAATAACACCGATTAGATTAAGATAAGGGATTGACTCACTCATAGAACGCGTTCGCATTTAGCTATTTTTTTAAGGGGGAACATCACTCCAAAATGATCAAAAATTGCAACTTTTTTTATTAGTTTATATTATAGACCATTCCTTTCTGCGTCGAATGATGAAAACCGCATTCCGGAATTCAAAAAATTGCAGTTTTAGTACGTTGTGCGCCGCAAACATGCATTGGGGAAAAGCCCAGTTTCCCCAACTTTGATCGCGTTTTTCTCGGAACATGAAATTGCAAACGGTTGCAGGCCTCTAGGGCGCAGTTTTTGAGCTACAGCGAGGAGATTTAGCATGAAAGCTCCTACGATATGCCGCTATGGTGGGTAGCAAAATAATTTGCATTGGTCAATTTTTATTATTTTTTAACGTTTAAAATTAAACAATTTTGACCAAAAAAATTGAACAATATTTTTTGGTATGTAACAAACCCAACTTAAAATGATTTTTGAAATGTGATTGAGGTACCCACCATAGCCAGACATCTCAGGAAGGCTGTCACCAAATTTCAATGTTCTAGGTCAAACCGTTTGGCGTCCAGCGCTGCAACAGTGCGAAATGGTCTAACCTAACACGCAAAAATGTGTTTTCAACGAAAGCGCTGTACCGCCCTGGCGGATTGACTTTGTGTTGTTTTATACTTTATCTGTTAAAATATGAACAATTTTTCTCTTTCCGTTTGGTTTTTATGACGTTTTTACAAAAGCAATGTTTTTGGAGTGATGTCCCCCCTTAAGGTTGAATCAATTGTGTAAAATATTCCTTGCAACAGAATTGTGATGACGAAATGTCAGACGACTGCGGAAACGAAGGCACACCTTCGCGGTAAGAACGATTCCTGGTTTTCCCAAGAAGCCTATGGTCCTCAATGGCGATTTCCATGGAGTTCCTGGGAACCACGAACCGTTTTTACCGTGTTGTGATCGGAGAGCACAGTAGTACCACAGATTAAATACCGTCGGTTTCGATTCCATCCAAGGGAATTTCCGAGCCAAGGCGGACAGGGATGTTGACAAAAAACATGAAGAACAAAAGCGAAACGTTGTATGAGAATGCTAAAGAGCTCTGCGGAAGTGACAGAAAGGCGATGCAGAGTTGATTCTCTTTCGTGTTTCCCATACTTAGTTTTTTTGTTTTTTTTTCTCAACTTCTATTTATGGTCCTTGCTGAAATTCCCCATAGAGTGTACGTAGCTCTATGCACTGCAAGTGTCAGAATAACCTTGGCTATACGATACTCCTCGCATTCTTTGGCATTAAGGTGAAGTGTGGGTGAAATGGAAACTTCTGTACCAATCCTCTGAGCTGGTCGGAACTTAGAGGCGTTTTAGTGAGGTAGGAAACTATTCCACACCAAGTTTCATCCAAATCTGCCCACCCATTTAGCATCTAGACCCCTATACTTCAATGTAACAGAGAGATGTTCGAATTTTAGTGTTTTAAGTGCAGCAAACTTAACAATTTTTAAATGGAAAAAGTTAGCTTTTTCTCCATCCTTCACCACTTTGAGTTAAACGATTTGAGAAAATGGCCAGCTATTTGAAATATCTCTGTTACATTGTTACATAGACCCGAGGGGTGAATCAGTCTGCGTTCACTGTTAAAAAAATTTACTGAAAATTCATAATTTTTTGTCAGAAGTCGATTTACTTACATCCAGTCTGAATTTTCATACTAATACATTCATACTTAGAGGTCTGAAAAATTCTGACTCCCATCAGTCTTAATTTTCAGAGCAACAGGTTGTATGAAAATTCATACTTCATGGTCCAGCTAATCAGACTCAGTAATTATAAAATATCAGCGACAACCAGTCATAAAAGTATTACTGAGGGTATGAAATACCAGTCATGTTCTTATTAATAATCAGTGTATCCAAATGTGAAAATTCTTTTAAGATCGTAATAAAAATCAGTGATGCTGGCCTGATATTTTATACTCCATTGTGTGGAACATCTGACATCAAATTATTAAATATAAAACTTTAAAGATCTTAAAATGTATCCATTTGCATAAATTTTTGTACTGGGCTATATGTTTTTTCAATTGTCCAAATGGTTCAAGGCATGGAAATATTAAGACAGGTTGAACACATGTATGTAATATTTATTACACATTATCTCATTGGGAATGCATGAAATAAGTTCATTAACGACAAAGAACAAGAAAAATACATAATAGGCATCGCCAAAACAAAACACTTTTGAGACATGGATCCCTCACACTAACACACTAACTAACCCGAATCTGCAATTCTTCTCACTCTACTGGCCTCGTAATCACCCAGCAACCCAGTGAGGGTAGCTACAGCGGGATTTACCATCCCATTTCCTCTTCCTTTCTTCTTTCCTTTCCCTGCTTCCCTGCTTTGAGGATTAACCAAGAGGATAAACCTGAAACAAAAAGAACAAAATTAAGATACAGGAAATTGGACACTGCTGACACTGAGAAATTCATGTATGTTACTTGCCTTTGAAGAAATTCTAGAGAACGTTGTACCTCTCTTGGGTAACAGATGTTAAAACTGAAGTAGGCAAGGATCACCACCAAAAGAGCTTGAGAAAAATCTTTAGCCTTGAGTAGAAAGTTTCCCCGAACAGCAACAGACACTTGAGACTGGAGGTCGAAAACAGATGAACCTGTTGACACAAAAAAAGGTGTCAGGAACTCAACAATATGTAAATGCTCGGTATGAATACAAATCTAAAAACGTACCTCTAACTATGAGCAGAGGGCATTGAGAAACTTGGCTGGACTGCCTCAACACCTCCTCATCACTTAGCTGGGCCTGATGGACAAGAGAGAGAGAGAGAGAGATGCAGAGATTTAACGCACAACACACTATTAGTAATGTTTACATGTAGAAACTATATGACCCACCTCCATAACCAAAAAGAGGTTGCTCTCCTTTTCTCCAAAGTACCTGATGAGGAGTGAAACAGCCCCAATCAAGGAGGGCACTCTGCTTGAGTAGGCATCAGAAGCCTCAGTTGCTTTATTGACCAAATCTTTCATGGCTCGTTCCTTGTTCGAAAGATTCACCTTTGCCATAATGACGGACGAAAAATAATCAGTCACTGTGTGGAGTGCGCTCAATTCTGAGTTCCAGACCTGAACATTATTTTTCCCCATAAGGAGGTCGGCATGTGCCATGAAAAATGGGAACCTCTGTAATAGAGGCCACGAGGCGAACACCTCCCTCCAGTGGTCCGCTGTCACAGCTCGGTTAATAAGACGCCTTTGCAGTGCAAAGGACTTCTTAACCATAGCCATAACATGGCAATCATCTTCCGCACTAGGAATGTTCTGATAACCAAGAAGAGTTGTTCTCATAGTTTCAAATTGAAATGCATCCTCATCAGATAAGGCTGGCTCCCACATGCCATCTGCACAACCATTAGAGTCCAGACACAAGTTTGGCACCTGAAAGAAATAAGGTGATGATTAGCAGAGATGGACGTAACTTAATCGAAAGATACAGGAAGCCATTACTTATTGAAACTTGAGAACGGTATAAGTTCACATGGTAATCGATTTTAAGATAAGCAGAACTCAGGCCACTACTAGGACATGAACACTAAAATTCTCAAATTTCAATAAGCCACAAAGCCCTGAACACTATGAAATGGTAAATACATACCTCTTCAGGGTCATCAACATCTTCTTCACTTGAGACTCTCTTGCGACGTTTCCTTGGAGTGATGCCTTCAGTCTCCCTGGCATAGCCAAGGGCACTATACATAGCTCGTAAAAAGGAAGCCAAGCAAGATGACACAGAACCATCCTTCATTTGCACAAGGAAGGCTTCAGAGCACATTGAATTAATCTTTGAACAAACTTCTCTCAGAGTACCACACTGAACTGTCTTGTTCTTCAATTTTTCTGTGACAGACTTAACAACTGCTCTTCTAGCTCTTGTTAATGCCATGTGACGTACTGTTGGAGCAGATGCCAGGGCTGCTCGAAGTTGGGCTGAGTAATCCTGATACGGCAGTACTGGTAAACCAATAGACACAGAACCAGAAGACCTTGATCTCAAGGGTGTGCAAGGTGTAGCAGGACCTGGAAAATGAAAGCAGATATAATCTTGGACAATCCACGATAATTAGGTGTGAGAACACAATAAAAATAAAGACACTTACCTGAAACATCAGCTTCAGACTCCAAGACATTCTCTCTCAAGTCAACTCTTTCAAGAGAGTTCTGAATCACTGGAGGTGTGCTTGCAACAGGTTTCCAGGTCTCACCAATTGAAAGAACGATAACAGAAAGGTGTTCACCTTTCGATGCGAAAAACTCAGAGAGAGCCAACAAACATTCATCGTCATCAAGGAGAGAACCATCAGAGTCATCAAACACCTGCAATCAATTCTAAGTTACTTGACAAGAACCTTTAATTGCAGCTAAAAGTCACCACACTTAAACTCACTTGATACGTAGTGTCTTGAGACAAAGACAACTTTCGCTGACAGGTGGAGAGCAGTTGAGCCAGAGAAGAGGCGCAAACTGTCACCTTACTGGAGCGCTTGCTATCTTGCACCTTGAAGAGTGGCATGGTTCAGGATCTGAAAAAAGTGAAGAACATGCAACAATAGGTTCAACAGTTCAGTTGAACAAAGATAAAAGATGGGAAAGCAGACAGAGATGAAATGTCTCTGCATGACAAGAACACAAGTTAGGCTGTGGAAGTTAGGCCGAAATCAATCGACACTCTGAACATGGAACCAAACGTGGTTACCTAAAGAGCAAAAGCGTGGCTTGGTTCGTAACTTTTCTTACGTTTCCAGAGCAAGTCCAAGATATAATTAAAGACTATTCAAGAAAATCCTTCAAAATGCATGTGGTGGCTAGAAGGTTATGTTCACGTTCGGTGCGAACAGACTCAAACCTCAGACGTTGCTTATTAGTAGGTACTCACCAGGCGGTTCCAAACCGACGTCGTCTAGAGTCCGGACCAAGTAGAAATTCTGAAAGGGCTGCATTTCTTTTTATAAGAAAGAAATTGCGTTCAAAGTGATTTTAGGTGGGGAAGGGGTGCACTTGTTGAACGAAAGCCAGCCAAGCCAGAGGGCGCTGGATAATGGCGACGGCGTCATGGCTGCCAACACCCGAGCGCCAGTCATAAGAGAAAGGAGGCTGAATTTATTGCCTAAACCTGGCCCAAAATGGTGCAAAGAACCAAATAAATTTTAGAAAAGCTAGAATTGAATGCGACAGAACAGTAAAATGGCCATGTGGGCTTTTCTCGCTCTACCTTTTTAGCTGTCGGATGTTGTTGTTCTTCAAGCAGAAGACAGGCAGTTCTTTTTGAATTGGTTGGTTTGGAATAGTTTTGGTTGCAATCACAGTAGTTTTTATTATTATGATACTTAAAATAATTATAAAAATGTTTTTTTTAACTGTTAGAAGGTCGAGGAACTGACCAAATTATATACTTGTACCTCAGATTGCACATTCAGACGAAAATGTGCACAGCTTAGTCTGTTTGGGAGTTATGTTGAAGTGTCAGGCACTGAAAACATGTATTTATTTTGTGTATTTGCTTTAGGAATTGTAAAAAGATAGATAAAATATAAAAGTCTTCATTTATTTTCAAATTTTATTTCAAGTTATCAATGTTTTACATGTCAAGTTTTGAAATGAGCAGAAGTAAAAGCACGAACTTAAAAGTCCAAAATCTGGCTGACTACGGCATGCCTCAGACAAACATATGTTTCTGTGTCTCTTATGTAAGTACAGTGAGGATAATAACTTAGCATGAGATCATTTTGCTTTACACACTCAAAGTCAGTTAATTTCTTAATTTTGAAAGCTCCATACTTGTAGACGAGAGCAGCTTCTGCTTGCTGGACAAGAAACAATACATTTCCATGCGAGTCAACAAAAATTAAGTGTATAATTCCAACATGAAATAAGTCTCCAAAATTGGATAATTGTCTGAGGATTAAAACATTTCCCTTTTTATACAAAGTTCCCTTCACTGTCACAGAAGCACATTCATCTAAGCTCACTGGTTGAGAAAGTTGAGAAACAGCTTTCTGGATAGCATCTGAATATAAAGACTTGTTAAAATGAGTACATTCTCCAACTTCTACTTCACTTCTGTAGCCCCCACCACTTCTGATCCAGCTTTGGAAGTACTCATGTTTGAAAGCTAGGGTTTGCAGAATATTTATGCTGTTATTGCTTGATTTCCAAGAGCGTTTAAAAAATGTGTGCTTGCTCTCAAATCGCAAAGTCCACACTTTAATTAAAGGCCCGTAGAGATATTTCAAAGTGCTGTAGTGTCCCATGTAGTGGTGCTTCGGTCTCAAAGGCACTGATGGAAACAGTTCTCTTCTGGACACCAAGTATTCATCAATAAGACACTGAAATGATGCTAAATGTGAAACGTGAATTTCAGGGGAAACAGTAATTTCAGTAATTTCTTGCAATTGCAAAAGAAGCTTCCAAACTGGATCTTTAGCATCCTTAACATGACCATAAATTATCAGAGGGAAAAGGCGAAGTAGAATGTAAATCTGCCATGCACTTCCCGCAAGTTTTGATTTCTCAAGCTTCTTGATGATTGGAGGCCGATCCTTCCTATCCTCCAGGCCATATGGAAATTTTTTGATCATATCATTTAGTTCTTCAATTTTAAACCATCCTTTTCTAACAAAATACTGTATGAACAGTTTTAAATCATGGGCTATTACACCTTCCATTAAATCGTGCCCCAAGCATGGTGGCAAGCCCGTGCAGACATGGAAACCAGGAATCGCATTGAAAGGAGAATCAAACTTAACACCTTCAAAGCTTTTTATCTTTCCTGATGGATCAACTTTAGCTTTCCGTGCAGCATTGTTGTATTGTTCAACAGTTCTTGTTGCAAACACTCTGGTTTCTCCTCCTCTTCTATAATATAGTTTTCGTTGTACTAGACAATAACGGCAAAAGTATGTGGACCTACTAAAGTTTTCAACCAACCCTGCCAGTCCATGGCTCCCTAAATTGTCACCAGCAACAAAAGCAAGTCCAGCTTTAACATTGCCCACATTTGGAATGTCTGTTCCAGACTCTTGAAGTTTGATGATATCTTCAGTGATCTGAGCATAAACTTCTTTGCGACTAAATTCATTCTTCTTGCACAGTGCAATTAGCTGTATTGAATCCTTTTCAAAACGAATTTTGGAAGGTAAATTACCGAAGGCCATATAGATACCTTCCAACTGATGTTCCAAATGTTTTGCTGGTCCAATGGGATTGCTTAGCTCAAATCCATCTTGATAAATAATCAAAGGGATGGCATCAGGATTCTCTTGAAAAAAAGTATTCTGCTTAAAGGCTTCTCCATCAGTAAAATCTTTAAGTAATCCATTTTCATTTGGTTTTGGACATTTGTATGAGGCAAAATCCCAGTTTTTGTTTTTAAAAGCAGCCTGAAGAGTCTGCTCAATTGGAACATAGTAGAAAAATGACCCATTTTCTTGAGGAACTTGTTCAGGTAAAACAAAATGAAAACGGTCCTTATAAAACTTCTTCCTTAGGTAAGATGAGCGCAAAGCATTGCAGGTGCCCGCCAGATCATCCTTTTCAACAACACTGGAGAGAATATCAGAAATTTGGCCAGGTGGTAGCTTTTCACTTTCTAAGACAGCTGTAACATTATTTAAAAATGTTCTATTCACATCATTCAGTAAATATCTCAGTTCTGATGATATATACTGGGTCACTGAAGCAGGCACCATGTGCTTGTATTCCAGCTTCTGGTAAAATTGTGCAAGGCCGATGAGGGTCTCTTCTTTGGAAGATGGTCTAGCAACATCAATATCATTGAAGTTTTCTTCCACGTCAATTGGTAGTTCTTGTACAAAATTATAAAGCTCAACTGGTTCAGTTCTCACACTCTGACCTGTACCCTGTTCCTGACAAGCCTTCTTATGTTTCTTGGAGATATGCCCAGATAAGGAGTGAGAAGAAGTGAATGTTTTACCACAATTCTTAAAAGGACAAGGAATCTGTAAATCACTATCCAAGTGATCTGTCCGAAGATGACTCATCAATTTTCTATGGTCAAAGAATTCGGTGCGACAATGCTGAACTCCACAGACAAACTTTCCATGTTGATCTGAAGGGATCGGGGCATTGGGGGTTCTTCGGTTGCTACAGTAAACCTTGTGGTTCCTAATAACATGGCTTCGAAAGCAGCTCTCTGTCCGGAAGGAGCGGAGACAGTGACCTAGTCCACAATAGATAAATTTAGAAAGGTTGCGATGGCATCTGATGTGGTGCAAATGGCTAGTCACACTCCGGGCTTTATGCTCACAAAATTTACAATAAAATATCAGGTTTATATCTGCAACAGAAGTTCTAATTAGAAAAAGTATTGTTGACTTTCATTAATCCTACTGCTATTGTCAGTCATTTCTTACCCATGTTGAATAAGCAGTGTGAGCTGCAGAATAATCCAAGGACAGTCAAAGATGTATGAAAGGAAAGAATGGAGACAGTGATCCAATCCACAATAGAAAAGGTTGCGATGCCATCTGATGTGGTGCAAATGGCTAGTTACACTCCGGGCTTCATGGTGACAAAATTCACAATAAAATATCAGGATTTATATCTGCAACAGAAGTTGTAGTTAGAAATAGTATTATGACTAATGTCCATTCATCCTACTGCTTTTGCTTGCCATTTCTTACCTGTGTTGAAGATGCAGTGCCAGCTATGTCATCACAAAGTAAAATAAAAGCTAAAAATTATTCATCTGCAACAATTGAGTCCCGGTTTGAATCAGTCAAACATTCAATCAATCTATCTTCATTCATTGCACTGTTTTTCGTAATCATTTTTTACCCATGTTGAGAAGGCAGTGTCAGCTGCAGAATAATCCCAGGACACAGTCAAAGATGTGTGAAGGAAGGGAACGGAGACAGTGACCCGATCCACAATAGATAAATTTAGAAAGGTTGTGATGGGGTTCATGGCCACAAAATTCACAATAAAATATCAGGTTTACATCTGCAACAGAAGTTCTAATAAGAAAAAGTATTGTTGACTTTCATTAATCCTACTGCTATTGCCAGTCATTTCTTACCCATGTTGAATAAGCAGTGTGAGCTGCAGAATAATCCAAGGACAGTCAAAGATGTATGAAAGGAAGGAACGGAGACAGTGATCCAATCCACAATAGAAAAGGTTGCGATGCCATCTGATGTGGTGCAAATGACTAGTTACACTCCGGGCTTCATGGTGACAAAATGTACAATAAAATATCGGGGTTTATATCTGCAACAGAAGTTGTAGTTAGATATAGTATTGTTGACTATTGTCCATTAATCCTACTGCTTTTGCAAGTCATTTCTTACCCATGTTAAATAAACTGTGTCAGCTGCAGAATAATCCTAGGACAGTCATAGATGCTTGAAAGAAAGGAATGGAGACTGATCCAATATCTTTGGTATCAAGATTGATACCTATGTTGAAGATGCAGTGCCAGCTTTGTCATTACAAAGTAAAATAAAAGTTAAAAATTATTCATCTGCAAAAATAGAGTCTCGGTTAGAATTAGTCAAACATTTAATCAATCAATCGTCATTCAAGGTGCTACCACAATGGAGACAGGTAAATTGTGTAATGGCACTGAGTAAGCGAAAAGGTAAAACAGTAAATAAGCCTGTGAGTAAAAGAATTGCACCTGAGGTACTTTAAATCGAGTGTTATGATGGAATAAAAAGAGCTTCTTTCAATCCGTTTAGTACTGAGAGCAGCGTAAGATTTAAAGAAGCAAAGACGCAAAGGTAAAAGTCATTCGGTATAACAGAGTGAAGCTAAGTTGTCACGGTGGGGAAGCTAAATTTGTAAAGACAGCCGAAACAAATATACTCCACACTGATAACACTGAACACCTCCACCTTTGATTCGTAGCTTCTATCCTGCTCCCTAACCTTAACAGATTTAAACAAGCTCTTTCTATTCCTTCATAACACTCAATCTAAAGTACCTCAGGTGCAAATTATAACTTGCAGACTTATTAACTATTTTATATTTTAACTCAATACCATTACAAAAATTAACTGTTTCAACCAGTTGAGCAATAACATGTCCATTGTGGTAGCAAACTGCTTGTCAATCTCAGAATAATATCTAACCTTAGTTCCATTAACAGGGCTCTTTCCAAACTAAGCTGTTTGCACAAATGGCATACAGGAGAACGAGAAACGAAAACTTTGGATAACTCTTACTCCTAACCAACCAACCCACACCACACCACTGCTTTCTTTTTCTTTAATTTCTTCTTTACTTTTGGCCTCCCTCCCCTACTTCTTCTTCTTATTCTTCTTCTTCTCCCCCTTCTCGCGCTTCGTTTTCTTTTCGCCCACCTGTTGTGAAGTTAGAGGTTATGAATAGAAAACCAAAACCACTTCAGTAGCCATCAATCAGCTGATTCCGCCGCCATCAGTCGTCCAGTTTCTTCCGTCGTTTGTGTTGCACCGACTTCTCAATGGCAACCCAATTTTCCGTGGACCCCAATATCAGCTGTGTTGTTTTGACAGTTATCTTTTTGGAGGATGGCTGGATAGCTAATGTAGAGGACTTCGATGCTGACACACGTGTGTATGTTGGGGGCGACATACTCACTTTGGAACGAGAGACGCAACAAAAGCAGCTTGCTGTAGTACTGGGTGTTGGTGGTAAGTCAAATTTGAATTAACTCTCTGCCCTTTGATGGATATGTGACACCAACCATATCTCAGACAATAATGCCACTAAATTTGCTCTTGAGTCTAGTTCATTCGGATTCCAAACTTGGATCAATGTTTATTAATTCTGTTCGTGCCTTGCAGGGACTGAAGCTGAAGCCGAAGAGCAAGCAAGGACCTATGTGAGGCGCCTGTGTAAGTGGCACGGACAACCAGAGGACCACATGCTAATTTTTGGCTACGATGTAACCCAGAGCCAGCTGTTTCAAGAGAGTGACTCGAATGAATAGATAATTCAGAATCATTTGACCCTTTTTAATAAGTACTTGACTACGTGGTTCTCATGCATACCATGATATATTCTGTGATAAAGCTAATTTGGCTCGGCATGTATTTCCATTGCTTTAGTGATTCATTGTGATTTTAAGTTTTAGTATACAAATACCTATAGTATTGCACTGCAGAAGCTTCCTTACTTTGTTCTTTTATTTTAATATAAGTCTCATGCTGTATCATGACTGATCTCAAATTAATACTGTTAATCTATGTTATTAAATGTTGACTACTTGTTCTAGTATTATTTTATAAAGATGTTCTGAAAGTGTTGATTGTACATTAGTGTCTTAATAACATATTCAAGAAAATGAAATTGATTCGTTACCCTTTTTTGCCTTTTCCCCTGTTGTGAAAACCTGACTTAACTTCAAGCAAATCTTTAATGGGAGATAAGAGTTCATCAAACTTACTGAAACGTGCCATCTCAATGCATGGATACAAACAAATGTAGATCAAAATTAAACTTTGAAATTTAGTGGACTGGAAAAGTTATCAACTTACATATAAATCAAACAACTGTGGCTCACTCTGAATGCACTCCGCAAAATAAAGTGCAGATGGTACAACAGAAGCACAACAAAAGTAGAACAAGGACTATAAAGTACAACAAGAATTGTGAGAAACACAACACCACCAAGTGGATACCGTACTTCAGTTATAATTTTAAGGGGCTTGAGTTTAAGTGAATTTTCAAAGTTGCCAACATTTTCATCACTTTCCGGACATTGAACCAAAAATGTCAACACATATCATACGATAGAATGGATCATTTTGGCCATTTGAGCGCTCTTAAAATTCAATAAACTTTTCATTTCCCATCGAAACCTTGTTGAGATGAATCCATTAATGGATGTCAAGTAATGTCAATATGGGACATTTTAAAAATTCAATAAAATAGTAAAACAGTATAGTCCTACAGGAACATCAAAGATATTTCCACGCAGGCAGTGGCCATACTGCAACACTCCGGTAGCCCCCACCATGGCCCCCGGCAAGGCAGGCCACCGCCTCTACACCGGTGTGTTGGAGGATGGGCTGGTGGCCTACCCCACGGCCCACAGGCGCTGAAGGGCGGCCACAGAAAGGGCGGTACCGCTGGTTTTCGTACTTTCCAGTACGATTTTAGGTTTCGGACGGCAAAGTACAATATTTCGGTCAACCGGTACAAAACTTAACAGTCGTCACTAGAAATTTTCAGACCTGCCGGTCTGAACTCAAATTTCAGACAACAAGTCACACTTTTCTGACAGTTAGTCTGAATATTCGTACCAAAGTATGAATTTTCGATTCAGACCACCAAGTAAGACGAAAACGGTCTGAATTTTCATATTTTTTTTAACAGTGTTCTGGTGTACGCATGAGTACGGGTGAGTACGCCCTGCTTTACTCATAAATTTCACATTTGAACACATTTTGAAGCTTTCAGCGTTTTAAACGGCATTCAACGGCAAATCGGTCAAAAAAGTAGTGAATTTCACCCTTTGTAACGTGTGAGTATTGAGTACGGGCAACTTTGTACACACGAGTACACTTCTGGTTCATCCCTCGCATAGACCACAATGACGCATAGACCTATGACGTCACACACTGCGAGAAAAAGTGTGGATAGTACAACAAAAGTACAACAAAAAATGTACAATAAAAGTACAACAGGGATTGTTCACAGTACAACGAAAATTGTACAAACCACAACGAGGCCTGGACTGCACAGCACTCGTCATGCCGATTCCATTGTACTTTGTACAACAATTGTTGTACTTCAGAAGTACAATAAATACCTGATAAAAAATTTGCCAGAAATTTGTGTACTTTTGTTGTGGTTATTTCTAGCAGTGCATTCGTTGGACATGGTGACCGTCGTCACCCTCTGTTCTGCACGCGCACCAGGAAGCCGTTGACGGGCCTCGGGAAGAAGGCCTTGGTGTCGACGGCGGGGCTGGCCTCGAACCTGGGGCCGCGCGCGAACTCGAAGTCGCGCACCAGCATGACGAGGGCGAGCTTCATCTCGAGCAGCGCGAACCGCTCGGCGAGGCAGACGCGCGGGCCCTCGCCGAAGGGGATGAAGGCGTACGGGTGGCGCTGCTGCCTGGCCTCGGCAGTGTGTCGCTCCGGGTCGAAGCGCTCGGGGTCCGGGAAGATGGCGGGGTTCTTGTGCATGCAGTGGGACACGATCATGACGTTGGTGTCCTTCTCCACGAGCACGTCGCCCACCTAGGCCGGTGAAATGGTGTTTTGACGCGTACCAAATTCCGAACAGTACCAATCTTTTGGGAATCGTTAGAGGTAGCCTGAAGGCACACACAAATCTTATGTGTGTGCTCAGCACTCCTCAAGTCGCGTGCTTACAAGCATACACTTCGAGGCGTGTACTTGCCTAAGCAAGCAGGCGCCTCGGAGTGTGTACTTGAATGAGTACAATGTGTACAAAACTAAATAGTCAATACATTTTTTAAGATTTTCGAAGTAGTTCTTTGAAAAAGGAAAAGTACGTATTATAGTTGCACAAATTGACAAAATGATCAAAAAGTCAGTAACGTGCTGAGAGTGAACGGAGAATAACACTGCGCTTTAGTTTCACCAGTGTATAGGCCTACAGTAAAAAATTTATCACCGTGTGATTTTTTTATTTTGATGAGAGGCATCCTTTGACAGCTACACTCTAAATATGGGGTGCCTAGAAACTGGGCGCCTTTGTCGCCCGCCCCCCTTTTTAGAGTGCCAAATGTCGCCCAGTTCCTGGGCACCTTTGTCACCCAGTCTCGGGGTGGACAAACCATTAAGAAACCTGCCTTCACTCGCCTTCACCCATGGCACAGCAGCGACTGAGGTGCCGAAGGTGCCCAGAATCTAGTCACCTTAGTCGCCCAGGATCTAGACACCCGAGCATGCTCTACCATGGGAGAGGGCCGGTTATGATTTGTCCACCCCGAGACTGGGCGACAAAGGTGCCCAGAAACTGGGCGACATTTGGCACCCTAAAAAGTGGGGCGGGCGACAAAGGCGCCCAGTTGCTGGGCACCCCATATTTAGAGTGTATCCCTAACGATTCCCAAAGTTTGGTATGGTTCGGGATTTTCCCCGGGTTAGGGGGTCATCACTTTGCGCCGTTTATGACTGGACTAACCATGGTCGTCTTGTTGCACTTGCGCATGGCGAGGCCGCCGGGCGACCAAAGACGCAAGCCCTCCTGCAGCACGCGGTCCACCAGGTCCATCTCCTTGAGGCCCTCGTACGTCACCTCGCCGGCGTGCTTGTTGATGACGGCCAGCACCTCGTCCGCCACGCGCTGCTGCAGCGCCGGGTCCTGCGCCATGCGGTGGACGACGTAGGCCACCGTGTTGGACACGTTGTCCAGGCCCGCCACAAAGAAGATGAAGCCCTGCGCGGCCATCACCTCCGTCGTGAGCGCGATGTTGTTGTCCGGGTCGCCATGGTCCTTGTCGCGCGCCTATGCATTCCAGGGGAAATAACTTTGGATTTCAATGTACAGATTTTCGAATTTCGGATGAATTTCTACGAATTGTAGCCAAATTTCCACGAATATAGCAACAACTTGAAGAATTTCTTTCAGTTGACTAAATTTCATGGTTTTTGAGGCGTCGTGAGCGCGATGTTGTTGTCCGGGTCACCCTGGTCCTTGTCGCGCGCCTGCATCCCAGGGGAAATAACTTTGGATTTCAATGTACAGATTTTCGAATTTCGGATAAATTTCTACGAATTGTAGCCAAATTTCCACGAATTTAGCAACAACTTGAAGAATTTCTTTCAGTTGACTAAATTTCATGGTTTTTGAGGCGTCGTGAGCGCGATGTTGTTGTCCGGGTCGCCCTGGTCCTTGTCGCGCGCCTGCATCCCAGGGGAAATAACTTTGGATTTCAATGTACAGATTTTCGAATTTCGGATAAATTTCCACGAATTGTAGCCAAATTTCCACGAATTGTAGCCAAATTTCCACGAATTTAGCAACAACTTGAAGAATTTCTTTCAGTTGACTAAATTTCATGGTTTTTGAGGCGTCGTGAGCGCGATGTTGTTGTCCGGGTCGCCCTGGTCCTTGTCGCGCGCCTGCATCCCAGGGGAAATAACTTTGGATTTCAATGTACAGATTTTCGAATTTTGGATAAATTTCTATGAATTTTAGTGAAATTTCCACGAATTTAGCAACAACTTGAAGAATTTTTTCAGTTGACTAAATTTCATGGTTTTTGAGGAAGTTTGATTAAAGTTTACGACTGTTCATGAATTTCACTCCGAAGATCCTACTGAGCTTTTTCTTCATACACTCTAAACGCCTCACGAAGAAATTTTACCGAATACGAAGGAAATGGCGCAAGTATATGGGTTTTCCTTCGTGTTACGAATGTTTTTCTTTGTATCTTACAATGAAAATGCCAAGAAGATTCGTTCTATGAAGAAATATTGCTTCGTTTTATGCTTTTGCCGAATGCAATGTAACATAGCTCAGATTTCATTGCAAGACATTTAGAGTGTAATACGAACAAAGAGTTAAGTATTAGCGCAGCGAAGCTGGTAACCTATGGTGAAGAGTTCTCAGCTTAACCAATTTCCTCATATTACGAGCAAAAGTCTCTGCATTAGGATAGATTTGTGTCGCAAAGTACGGAAAATTAGCATGGTATCATAACTGCACGGCATTTCTCTGTAGAAATTTAGGAGTGTGAGGTGTTCTTTTTGTTGTTGTTCCCCTTGCCTGCATCATGATGTCCACGAAGTCGTTGCGCACCACCTCGTGCTTCTCGCGGTGCTCCACGGTGCTGCGCATCAGGTCCAGGAAGAAGCGGTGCACCTTGCTGAAGACGAGCTTGAAGGGCAGCAGGCTACCCAGCTTGGGGTGGATGGCCATGAGCATGAAGCGGAGGAACTGCGCGGGCGTGGTGGTGAACACGCCGCGAGACATGGCGAGGAACTCGGCGTTCTCGTCCACCAGGCAGTTGCAGTTGATGCCGAAGGCGATGGAGCCGATCATGTCGACGGTGTAGCGGTGCAGCAGCGCGGAGAGGTCTACCTCCCCGTCAGCCTTCTGGGCCTCCTTCACACACAAAAGTCACTACTACACTGCAAGAAAAAGCCACAGCAAACGTACACAAGGTCCTGGCAATTTTTTTTTTATCAGGAATTTATTGTGCTTTCAAAGTAAAAAAATTGTTGTTCAAAGTACAATGGAACCGGCATGACGAGTGCTGGTCAGTCTAGGCCTCGTTGTGGTTTGTACAATTCTCGTTGAACTTTGTACAATCCGTAATGTACAGTAAGCCCTCGTTGTTTGTCCCTGAGTCGTCCCCCCGGCCAGGCGCCGCCGGCCAGACGCCGCCCGGCGCTGACACTTTTCAGGTAGGGATTACGGCGGGAAATGACCACCGTCCCTCGACGTTTGTCCGCTGGAACTCCTGACTCCAGGACAAGCAATGAGGGCTCACTGTACTTTTGGGTGATTCCGCCCGTAGAGGGCGTTTTCGTGTCCACACCCTCCCCAGAGCGAACTTATTTGAGTGCAGTCCATTTATACATGTGAGAATCTTGTTTGGCTATAGAATAGCTTGTTCCCTTTGTATTCGGACCTTAAAAGCTAACATGTGACGCGGGAGAGGGGCCAAAAGGGTCGATTTTGTAAGTTCCGTCATGTCCTTTCGCACCTTACACCAACTTTGCGGCTCTATAACTCTTCGTTCCATTCAAATCTTCGAATTCCACACACACCCATCAAATCTCTAACTAATAGTGACTATCTTGCTTGAATTTAAAGATCGTATATTGACTGGAACTGTACTTTCAGAACGCGTACTAAATGTCCACCGTACTCCGAATTTTACCTTAGCGGTTTCAAAGTAAGCACCAAAAAAACTACTAGGAGTGCTCCCTGCTCAAAACCACCGCCCTATTTTGAATCAGCACGGTCTGTTTACCATGTGAACGAGTTTCGGTGGCGAAAGAGTGAGAGGGGTGAGTGTGCGAGTGGAAGTTGTGTGTAAAATCGGTGGGTTGTAACAATTGGTGTAATTTCCGTATGCCCCTCTCGCTCCTCGTCTATTGGGTTTTGAAAGACATCCTACGCGTGAAAAGATGTGTCTTGACGTCGAACTAGTGTGCCAAACTTATGGCATATTTCTGTGGCGATATGCAGTTGCAAAGAGCCAGAAACACCTGTTTGTAATTTCCGTCAAGCGTAATTTCCGTCATATTTTCAGTAAATTTCGCCATATTTTATAGGGGGAGAAAACGAAAGTCAACTTTTAGCTCGCTCACGCTCAGAGTGTCTTCCTGGAGTTCAATTGATGCCATCTAGACCAAATTCCGGCTGAACAAGCAAGATTGATTACTTGACTTTTTAAGGTGGCTAAAACGGCCCCTACGCACGGAATCACCCTTTTATTCACTGCTAATCCAAGTGTGTCCACGCTAGGAAACGTGGACCACGAATTGTCCACACTTGGAAGTGTGATTGGCCTATGAGAAGTTCAACGCTGTGAAGCGTGGACCACAGCACCTCGGTCCACGTTTCCTAGCGTGGACTTGGTCCACACTTGGATTAGCAGTGTACATTTGTTGTTGTACTTTTGCGTACTTTTGAGTGCACCACCTCCCCGCCGGCCTTGTGGGCCTCCTTCGCCATCGTGGCGTTGAGCTGGTCGCCCACGTCGCGCATCAGGGGGAACATGAGCTTGAGCTTGCCGGACGTGAAAGTCGGAGACAGGCGGTTGCGCAAGTTTCGCCACTTGGAACCACTCAGACTGATGAGGTGCTGGCTCAGGGGGTCGCTGTCCGAGGTCGGGAAGCCGCGGTCGTGGAAGCTGCCAAAGTCCTTGCAGAGGATCTGCTTGGCCATCTCCGGGTCGAAGACGAGCAGCGTGCGCTGGACCCCGGAGTACATACCTAAAGGAGCAAATTTTCCAAAAACTTTCAAAAAGTTCAAAAATTTTGCGTTTTGTTACGCCTTTACTTTTACTGGCAGCCCTGCGGTCACAACTGCAACCTCACAAAACGTACGGGAAGGACATGGTATAAATGAGTGCTCATCTGACACAACAACGTAGGCTATGTTTGGGAATCCCATAGTCGAGGGGGACATCACTCGCGTAATAGTCGGGTCACCAATTCCTTGTATTACGCGTAATAGTAATAGCGTAATAGCCAAATTTTCTGAATTTTCCGTTAAAAGGGTCTGATTTTTGCTTAAATCTCGATATTTGCAAACGTAATAAGACTTCTGTAATAGCGTAAACGCGTAATAGAACGTAATAGGGAGTAGTCGGGTCACAATTTTTGAGTGATTTCCCCCTCGCCCATAGTAGAGACGCTGTTATATCCGACAGCTACAGAAATAATATGGGTGACTGAGACTCATCGTCCCGTAGCGATGAACGTATGCAATTTGACTACTTATAGGCGAAAAGTCAGGCTTTTTGCCAACTTTGCAAGCTGAATCTTTCCAATTTTTCCCAAGCCAAGAATAAATCGAAAAGAAAAAGTTAATTTATGTTTCTATTTGTACGTTTAGCTGTGTACGAACATACACTGAGAATGAAAGAGTCATGATCGTGAATAAAATTTTGGGTGAGGAATTCCTTATCACCCAAATTTGGGTCATAATACTCTGGAGGTAGCTGATACAACCTTCTTCGCCCAAATTTAGGTAATAAAGAAAACCTCGTTGGGTATTGATAATGTCTTTTTCATTCTCAGTGTAAATGTACCTTCTGCTAAAACACTGTTTATTTCCAATGTTTCGGGAAACTTTCCGGGCATTTTCATCTCTACACTCTAAATGTCTTACGAAGAAATTTCCCATATTACGAAGGAAATGGCGTAAGCATAATACGAAGGTGGTTTTTCTTCGTATTATGGAGGTTTTTCTTTGTATCTTACAATGAAAAAGCTAAAAAGATTCGTATTACGAAGGAATATTGCTTCGTATTATGCTTGCGCCGAATTCACTGTAACACGCGAATAACATAGGTCGAATTTCATTGTAAGACATTTATAGTGTAAAACATACCGCAGTACCCGTGCTCGCGGAAATGGTCCGCGATGTCGTACAGGTGCTGCGCGAAGCTCTTCCTGCCGGTCATGACGGGCCAGATGCTCCCCACGAAGGGCAGGCTGGGCGGCGTGGGCACGCCGCGCTCGCTCCAGTAGCTTTGCCGTCGCCGCGACCACCACAAGGCCCCCATAGTGGGCCCGTTAGTGCACGATATCATAGCAAACCTTGCATTTTTTCCTGACGGGTTGAGCTTTTGTATTTTGGTAGTACATGTCCTAAGGTAACTTTTAAGAAGTGTTGCCACGGTGGCAACACTGGCAAAGGGCGTGGGAGGGGTGGTTGCCTACCTGTCGGGGGCAGACTCCGCAATTCTACATAAATCGGCCTATAGAAGGAGAACGAGTTGTCGGACGATGATGCGGGGGGTCTCATTCGATTCAGCACACTTGAAAACATAGGATTGCGTTATTTGTCCCCCTCCCACCCACCCACCCACACTGTTAAAAATTGTTGTTTTAAAACAACAACACAATTACCAACCTCGACAATGCTGTTGTTTGTGAACAAGTTTGCTTGTTTTAAAACGACGAATTCGTTGCTAATTATTTTTATGACTTATGCTGTTTCAAAACAATATTTTGCTGCGTACAAACAACCCGGACAATCAAGAAGTGGTTACTGCGGGGTAACCGGGACTCTACTAGGTCTGTGACCTAATCGGCAATAAAAATTGATGCAAATAAGGCTGTCTACTACCGGTTTACAAACATCTTGTGGACGAACGACGCAACTCGTTAGTAAACAACGAAAGTCATTTGAAAACAACTTTGATCGCTAAGAAAATTAGCAACATATTTACTGCTAAATTACAACATAATTTTTTACTGTGCATGCGTGTGTGTATGACAGAGAGAAGCAGTCCTGGGAAGCGAGCGTTTCGGGAAATTCGGCAATCGTCTGTGCGCATGTCTGTGTATGTGGAAGTGTGTTGGTTTAGGTGTGTGTGTGTGTGTGTGTGTGTGTGTGTGTGTGTGTGTGTGTGTGGTGGTTGTGGGGAGGGGGGGGGGCACGCCTTGAGAAGGGTGGGCTAGCCGTGCCTGCGAGCTTTGCATCAGCCGCGCTGTGCTACGGCGGCACGCCTCACCCACAGCAGGCAAAACCCATTTGGTGAACTCATTTAAATGAGCACTTTTCATGCACCCACACTGGTAGCCAAGGAATGTGACGTCACGATTCTATTCACGTGAAAACGGCGATGTTAGTTTGAGCGTGACCAATGGTGAAAATTTACAGTCAAACGAATGTGACACACCGCACCGCTTTGTCACATTACTTCGGGTGTGACACGCAATCAGCTATCGAACTGTCACATAAAAAAAATGTGACACATGGTATCCAAGTACACATGTCGTGTCACATCCAAACGAATGTGACACCCATGTACTGTCACGTTCGTTTGAATGTGACATGCCCATTTTGACACATTAAAACGAACGTGACACTCCTTAATCTAACAATCATGGCGTGTCACATTCAAACAAACGTGAAAAAGTGGGCATGTCACATTCAAACGAATGTGACAGTAGATGGATGTCACATTCGTTTGGATGTGACACGACTGTGTACTTGGGTACTATGTGTCACAAGTTCGACAGCTGATTGTGTGTCACCCCAAGTAATGTGACAAAGCGGTGCGGTGTGTCACATTCGTTTGAATGTAAATTTTCACCGTTTCACGCTTTAACTTACATCGCCATTTTCACGTGAAAACGAACGTGACGTCACATTCCTTGGCTACCAGTGCATTTAATTGGGTCCAACCCATTCTTGTGGATCCAACCCGCGTAATGGGTGAATGAAAAGTACCCATTTAAATGGGTTGCACCCATAATTGGTCTGACCCCTCACTAAGTGTCCAAACTCAGACTAGACTTCTTGTTATTTTAACATTACCAAAGAAGGTTAGTCCTTCCTCGATGGACGTCATAAACCAAAGTTTCGACGCTGAACACAATGGTGGTGTCGGATTTGGCCTAGTTTACAAGTTACTCTCAGAAGGTGTGTAGCGCGTTTGCCTACCTAATTTCACCACATTTTTGCCTACCTCGCAGGCGACCCTTGACCGAACCCTGAGTCTCAATGTCCTAACCCCTATCTCCAATGAGTCGTAACCTATTGGAAATGGGTCTGGACCCATCTCCTATGGGTCACGACCCACTCGCAATGGGTCTCAACCCATTCCCAATGGGTCTCAACCCGTTCCAATCGAGTCTTAGCCCATTCCCAACGGATCACAGCCCATTCCGAATGGGTTTCAACCCTTCTAAATGGGTTATAACCCATTCCGAATGGGTTTTGTCTGCTATGGGCTGCGTCGCCAAGTCTTGAAGTAAGGTCTTAAGTACAGTTAAGCATGTAATTATTTCTGCAAAAAAATTGTTTGCATTTTTAAAAAATGTTATAAATATAGTTTATGCTAAGTTTTACGTAACAAAAAAATATATAAACGTCTGAAATTTAACCGTGATATAAAGGCTTTTATGGTTCATGCATTTACGATTAATGTTGTTTTCCAGTAGAACAGTCATAGCGTCGACGGCGTCGAGAACGGTATTTACTAGACAAATTGGCCCTCTCACACACTCAACCCCCCCCCCACACACACACGCACGCCCCCCCTCCCACACACACACACACACACACATACGCGCACGTACACACATGCGCGCACAGACAATTGCCGACTTTTCCAAAACGCCCGCTTGCCAGGACTGTTTCTCTCTCACACACACACGCACGCGCTCGGGTGGGGGTTAGGGGATGTAAAAATTATGTAATCCTACGTTTTCAAGTGTGCTGAATCGAATGAGACCCCCCGCATCATCGTCCGACAACTCGTTCTCCTTCCATAGGCCGATTTATGTATGATTGCGGAGTCTGCCCCTGATAGGTACGCAACCACCCATTCCACGCCCTTTGCCAGTGTTGCCAACATGGCAACACTTCTTAAAAGTTACCTTAGGACATGTACTACCAAAATACAGAAGCTCAACCCGTCAGGAAAAAATGCAAGGTTGGTTTCACTAACGGGCCCACTACCAGCAGCGCGGCCAGCACGGCCGCCAGCACGCCGGTCGCGTCCAACACAGCCATGGTGCTTGTGTCAGTCACAGAGCGACACCCGCGACTGAACTTTCAAGGCCAAAGCCACGGCTAGAAACAGTTCGAGCTGGGAGATAAGAAGCCGTGTGTGTGTGTGTGTGAGAGAGAGAGAGAGAGAGAGAGAGATGTGAGGGGGCAGCTATCTCCTCCATCTGAGCCGCTGAATATGTACGTACGTGTATGACTCACTTTCAGACAAAGAAGGGACACTTAAGACAACATTCGTGATAGATATCAACCAGGGCTGGGACAGATACTTTATATTTTTACCTAGGTACAGATACAGATACTGGATCAAAAAAGTACCTAGGTACAGTTACAGGTACTTGATCGAGCTCAGTACCTAGGTACAGTTACAGGTAGGTACTTTTCAGGTACTTTCAGTTATTTTGATATTTCAACACATCCGCCCAACGCAACCAAAACAAACCTCGCGCGACTTTTTCGTCCCTTTAAACTTTCTTGCGTCAGTGACCCTTGTCATGCCAACGTGTGTGCTGTTTACAACCCCGATTCGTCACGCCGCAACGCCGGCAGCTCCAGGGAACAGCCTTGACCTCGCTCCTATAATGGGATGGTTCCGGTAACGCATTTTAGGGACAAACCCTATGATCCCTGCTGAGATGTGTCCATTGTTTCATAGTGCAAGTCCTCTGCGTTCACCTTAGCAGTGCGTACGGTGACCAGACCTGTCCCATGGAGCACGGAGGAGGCACATAAAAAGGTGAGGGGGCCGAATATCTGTTTCTTCCTCGAAAACAGGCAGTCCTCTGAGTGTCTTTCTTTATCCCCGCACTGTTTTGAGCGCATCTCATTACCAGTCTTTCGCTACATTCGCGCTTAAAAGTACCTGTTAAAGTACCTGCAGTTCTAGGTAAAGTTACTGCCCAAAATGTACCTAGGTACAGGTACAGTTACAATTGTGACTTGAGTACCTAGGTACAGTTATAGGTACCAAAAAAGTACCTAGGTACAGTCAGTACCTAGGTACTTTTTAGCTAGGTATTTCCCAGCCCTGATATCAACCACCCGCACCGAAAGAGAACCAACAGAGTAGCAAACTAATCAATCTCGGAGGAGAAAGATCTCTCAAGTTCTCAGCGCTATGCCGATATTTGATATTGAGTATTGGATTCCCGACTTTATTGAGGTATACGAATACCAGTATTTAACAATTGTTTCTAAATACACTGTGGCAAAAGGCTACGGAAAATTCTGTTTACAGCCTGCCGTAGTTCTCCGTAGCCCCCTTATCAATTGTCAGTATTCTCCGTAGGACCTTACATTATACTCCGTACGACCGTACACTTTAGCTGGATGGCGACGGGCTATCCCATTATCTACAGTAACTGGCACGAAGTAGAACCTAATCGCTATAAAGATTCTGGAAATGGCAGTGAGGACCACTGTGTACAAATAATGGCACAAAACTTACAATGGAACGATCATCCTTGCACTGAGGAGCATTACTTTATCTGCGAAAAATGAGTGAATGTTTAATCTTTATCAGTGCTGATAAAGGTATAAAAAAAAATCAAAAAGGTGAAATGGAACTGACAGTTGCTTCTTTCTTTTGACCATCACCCCGTCTCTCAGCAAATGTTTTCCACTCAATGGATGGTGATACACCATGTCTTTTAGCACTTACAGCTGTGCGTTTTTCCTCGTGTTTGCATTTTTGAGTTGGGTTACTTTAATTCTGGGCTACGGCTTTTATGATGAATTATAGCACTCACACGGTGAAAACGAATCCTAGTTTTCCTGGATCATCCTTTCCCCGGCAGCTCCAGTCTTAAGCATGTTGGTATGTGAAAATTCAACTTTTATGGGCGCCACACATGTAAAAATATCAATCTCAACATTTCAATAAATTTTATTATAAAAATCAATATAACCAGGCAGCAACGGCGAGTTGACAGCTGAACAAAAACAATTAAGTATACAAAGGAAATGACATTTAAAATCACCCGCATCTGTTACATCATAATTTATACAAATAAAGAGTTCACATCTCGCCGAGTAACCTACTTTCCAGAGCAACAATTCGATTAATAATTAGAGAAGGAATTCACATAAACAAATATATCTAGCCCTGAGTCTCGATAATACAAATGATAGACTAACTGTAAAAGTAATTTCTAACCCGTTGAACACATCCATAATCATTTGTCCCACTATTTGATCCGTCCAATTCAAATTCAATTTTTGAAAATACGCACGGTTCAGCATTATGCTTGCCAGCGCGTCTATGACTTGACCCACTTCCACGATGTTTGTACCAATAACACCTTATGGTTATGACAGTTGTCCACTGTCTCAAATAGTAGGCTGTCCTGCTCTTCTACAAACTCTCTTAACACCGGGTTTCGTCACGCTTGCTCCGCGATGATCGCAAAAAGTGTGCTAGAGAAGTGAGGGCGCGACCTGCACCCCACCTGCTAAACTTGACAAAAAGCTACGTAACATTTTGTAAATAACTGGTGATGATTCTCCGTAACACTCTTTTGAATATTCTCTGTAGGACCTTCCAGTAATTCTCCGCAAGAGCTCACAGTATTATCCGTAGGACTATACACTCTTCCAGAAAAACTGTAAGCTCCACGGAGAAGACTGTACGGTCCTACGGAAAAGACTGTTGCACAGTGGGCCAGAAGACCGGCGAAGGCGGCCAAAATTCCAGACGCGTTTTGAGCTCCAGAGTCGCTAAATGGGACTCAAACCAAACGTGTGACCCGTCCAATAGATTAATCGTTCGGAGAGCAATCCATTGGTGGGGTCACGGTCACATGTTCAGTTCGAGTCCAATTTAGAGACTTAAGCTCAAAACGCGTCTAGAATTTTGGCCGCCCCCACCTGGCCGCGGCATCGCGCTGCTACCTTGCACCCTACAGCGCCGTACGGGGTAGGCAACCCAACCATCACCAGGTCAAAAGGGCTGCCTACCTCCCAGGCGCCCTATGGTGGTCTGAAAATTCAGAACGTGTAGATGGTCCGAATATTCAGAGATGGAAAGTCATATATTTTAGAGTTTGTTGTCTGAAAATCCCGACCTGCAGAAACGTCTTGATATAGCCCCACAGCCTGTTCACCCCGTACTTAGACACCCTAATAAGGGCCGAAAACACTTCACCCCTTTTTAACCCCGTGCGTTGCTAGGAACATTCACTCATCGGAAGGCACTGAATTCACCTACGTACCTTGTCACGCGTTCACGCGTGCCCTATTTCCTACAAAGCTATGCACAAAAAACTAATTAGTGCCTAAGTGCGAACCTGAATTAACTTTGGTTGCGGCTTCAGGCGGCTTTGGCACTTCTTCGGCGGAACCTCACTCGCGTCCCGCCCACGAGGTGGGACGAAATGTCGAAGGTCATGTTGTCGATGAGGCTCTGCAGGTCCTTGTGGTCGCCGACGGGCAGCACCTCCAAGTCCCTGAGCGCGGTGGCGAGGAAGGTGGTCATGTTCATCATGGCGTACCTGCCGCCGATGCACTTCCTGGGCCCCATGCTGAAGGGCATGTAGGCGCAGGGGTGGCGGTCCTTGCTGCGCTCGGGCAGGAAGCGGTCCGGGTCGAACTGCTCGGGCCTGTCCCAGTGCCTGGGGTCGCGGTGCGCCGAGAAGATGCTTATGCCGATGATGGTGTTCGCTGGGATGGTGTGGCCGCACAGTGTGGTCTCCTTGTGGCAGTGACGGGCGACGAAGGGGATGGTCGGGAACATGCGCATCACTTCCTTGATCACGCGATTGAGGTACTGCAGCCTGAAAAGAAAAAGAAGGTCAAGGTTACAGGGTCATCTGTTCTAAATTTGCATACAGTTACACCGACCCCTAGGGCCCTGTAAAAAATTCCGTACTTTTGTACGGAAATGGTACAGAAAAATATAGTACGGAGGTATGGAGAAAAGTACCGTACGCACCGTACTTGCTCCATGAACCCATGTAAATGGGTACGGAAAAAGTACGAAACGTTCCGTAGTTGGCAAGTACGGACGTTCCAGGCAAATTATTGACCAAACATGTGCCGTACTTTTTCCGTACTTTTTTCTCACAATGGGATTTGCTTCATATTGTGAGCAAATGTTGCCCGCCACATATATTTTCCTAAAATTTGAAGTGAAATCGTCTGGGAACCGATTTGTGGGGACAGTTTTAGCCTCACAAAAATCGGCATGGTCGCAAATGCTCAATTTGTTGCTCAACGCTTACGCCCTTGGCTGAACATTTATCGAGAATCTACTTTCGACTTATAATTTTGGTCGAAAATTAACCAGAGAAGAACTCCCAAAATTTGTGAACAGTTTCAAATTACTGTTTTAAAACTGAACATAATTTACCATTCGCCAGTCACCATTCACTTTCGTAAACTTCGCAGCTTCCTTCAAACTGCTACTTCCATTCATTGATTAGAACACACTGGTTTTTTTTGGAAGCCAGAGGACATCAACTATCAACATTCAACTAAATCTCTAAAAGCTAAAATTTGAAACCACTTATCTTAAGTAATCTTTGGCGTTCAGTGTTTTGTTTTAAATTGTTTTCAAAATGAATCCTAAGTTATTAGAAAATAGGTGCTTAAAACAAAACATGGAATTCCGGAAAATGGATTGTTAGCCCTTTAAGACACATGACAGTTAAGGTGTCGATGCCTCCTTATGTTTATCATGTACTTCAACGTTAGCTTTTTTTGTCAGCACTTACTCAGACAGGTCCTCGACGGAGACGCTTCTGTCGCTGTCCCCGAACACCGAGTCCAGTTCGGCGTGCACTCGTTGCTGCACGTCGGGCAGCAGCGACAGCACCTTGAGCGTCCAGCTGAGCGTCGAGACCGTCGTGTCGACGTTGGCGCCACTGAATGTTATGAACTCGTCAGTGATGGCGTCCTCCTCCATGAGCTTCTGCGACCCAGTGTCGGGGTCCAGCATGATGTCCATGAGCGTCTTGCGCCCTCGCCCGAAGCCAGCGTCGTTCTTGTGGTTTTCGATTTCAGCGCGCTTCCTCGTGATGAAAATGCTGCAGTAGTCGTCGATGACCTTCTTGGTGGCGCTCACTCTCCTGCCCAGTGGCGTCAGTTTGAATACTCGATCGGACCACAGGACCGGGTTGAAGGCGCGCTTGTTGACGGAGCGCAGGAACACCTCGACGAACTGGAAGGCGTCCATGGCCCTGTCTTCGAAGTCGGAGGTGTCCGCCGCCATGGAGGTGCGGAGGACGTTCCGCACGTTGACCTTCATCAGCGTCTTGACAACGTCCACGTCCTCGCCTACCTAGGGATTTAAAAATACTGGTGATAAAAAAAAAACCTTACCGTAAGATACGGTAAGATTGGTATTATACCGTATTATTACGCGGTATTTTTGGTAATATTGAAAAAGGCTTAGTTTTTAGGGGAAGCTTTGGTATAAACCATCTTAGAGCTCAATTTACTTGATATTCTGCTACTTTGACTTGAAAGAGGTTTTGCAATGATCTATGATGGAGAAAATGTACGAAAACCAGAATAAGCGTTGTCACAGAGCTGGTCATGTCGTGCCCTTGCCTCGTGAAGTCATTTTGACAGAAGGTAGTCAGAAGCTTCAACCAGCTCAAATCGTTCAAAAAACCTTTGCGGGATATTAGTAGGTCTAACTTGAGCATCATTATTGAAGAAACTCGACGTTTTTGATCGAAATTACTAGTTTTAAGTGCATTTTGCTATGTTTTTATTACCCAAAATTACCGGAATTTTTGCCTTTGGGTACCTTACGGTAAGTTACAATATTACTTACCAATATTACGGGTAATATTACGAGGCTTTAAATCCCTACGCCTACCTCGATGCGGTCCACGTAGCCCTTGGCCTCCTCGCTGAAGATGTCCACGAAGCGGTTCAGCACCTGCACGTTGAAGCCCGGCTCCAGCCACCGGCGGTGCGCCTTCCACTCGGGGCCGTTGAGCTGCACCAGGCCCTTCTTGGCGACGATGTGGAGGAAGCTGTAGAAGAAGCTGGGCTTGTCGTCGAACTTCTTGCAGCGCACCACCTCGTCGATCTGCTCGGGCTCTTGCACCGCCACGATCAGGTTGTTCAAAATGGAGAAGCGACTCATCTCCGTCCGGCCGGCGAGCTTCCGCAGCACGGTCTGCATCACGTTGTCGGGGGTCACGGAGACGAAGTCCAGCGCGTTGCCGAGGAGGAACAGCGACGGCGGCCCGGGGATGGCCATCTCCAGCTTCCTGAAGTGCAGGTAGCTGCCGAGGAAGCGCGCCAGCAGCACCACGACGACGCACACCGCGGCCAGAGCCGCCGCCTCGGCCAGCGCGGCCATGTCTGCTCTCTTCAGCCGCGCGTCGGAGACTGAGGTCAACCGGTATCGCCTCTTCGGGGGCCACGTGCTGCGGCCGCCGGCCTTGGAGGAGGAGGAGGAGGGGGGAGGGGGGGTGACCTTTTTGTCTACGCCCGGGCCGGGCCGCTGGGCAGGCTCTAGGCAGTGTATGGGAACTCAAGGCTGGGCCTAGGCTTTATAAAAAGGCCTATTATTGTGTCGGGATCATTGATTGTTCGGCTGCTCAAGCACGTGCGGGCCGGAAGACCGGTGGAGGCGGCCGAAACTCCGGACGCGTTTTGAGCTCCAGAGTCGCTAAATGGGACTCGAACCGAACGTGTGACCCCACCAATGGATTCCTCGTTCGGAGGGCAATCCATTGGTGGGGTCACACGTGCGGTTCGAGTCCCATTGTGCTACTCCGGAGTTCAAAACGCGTCTGGGCTTCCGCCTCCACCGGTCTTCTGGCCCACTTGTGCACTGTTTTAAATGTGTACGTCTGTTCACTGAGGTAAGAGTATGCTCTCCTCGTCAAGGTGTCAGAATCGGTGCGCGGTCCGGCAGAGTGACGGGCTGCAGAGCAGGTGATGGAATGACCCCGAGGCGACGCGAGGGCGCGGCGGGCGTGTTTAGACTGCCTCGGGCACCGGGGCGCGAGGGGATGCCGCAGAGATGTTTATCACAGTAGTGCCACGCAGCAGGCTGATTCCGAGCACTGCTTTCGTCGCTCTGTCTCTCTCGCACTCACGGGGCGTGCCGTACAGGTGCGAGAGAGACAGAGCGACGAGTCAGCCGTGCCACCCGGCGGCCGGATGCTCTTCCGAGAAGATACTACCTCTCGGGGCGCGGCTCTCACGCTGCGGCTCGACGATTGCATTCTCCAAAACAACGGAAACGCACTGCAGCCCGCGCGGGCCCGCGGAGCAGTGGGCCAGAAGACCGGTGGAGGCGGCGAAAATTAGACGCGTTTTGAGCTCCAGAGTCGCTAAATGGGACTCGAAACGAACGTGTGACCCCGCCAATGGATTCCTCCCCGATCGAGGAATCTATTGAGCTGTTCGTCCAAGAGAAGCGAGCTTATCGCCCATCTCTCTCGCTCTCACTGACATTTCTGGGTCAAGCACAGATGCCAGCGGGCGACGCACTGGCGGCACCGAACTAGCTCTCTGCTGCATCGGCCCACCGCGGCCGCGACACCTCTCTCTCTCTCTCTCTCTCTCTCTCTCTCTCTCTCTCTCTCTCTCTCTCTCTCCCTCTCCCCTTTTCCATGCAACCACGGGAGAGAGAAGAGAGAGAGAGAGAGGGGGGGGGGGGGGGGGAAGAGCCTCACTGCTGGTCGCTTGACGCTTTTGACAGCAAAGAGACGAGCGAGCCGGTCGGCGCCTGGATTTGTGTTTCTAGCTTATCTTTCCCATTGCGTCCCGGTCTGATAGATAACGTCCGACTCTTGTAAGTGTGGGACAAACCGTACATGTGAGTGTCCCACCGACATTGTGAACATTTTAATACAATGTCACCATTCAGATGTCTGAAAGTTTTACTCAAATTAAGATACTTGTGTGTTATTTCAAATTATAGTCAGACCAGCCTAAGGTCCCACTTTTTGTGACCGTTAAAACTGCCCCCTCCACAGGGCCGGGGGGAGCGCGGGGGCTGGTGCGGGAGGACTTTCGCGGTGGAGGGGGCAGATTTAACGGTCACAAAAAGTGGGACCTTAGGCTGGTCTCACTGTAAACGACACCATGTCTTATTTATCTTCAGTAGAGTCTTACCAGTATTCATCGTGGAATAAAATCACACCGCCATACATTCAAATAAACATTCTCATAAGTATCATCTGCTTTCACGGTAGCGTTAGCGTTCAGGGTTTTTTTTGCCACAGTGCGGTCAACGCCTGCGAACTGCAAGGTAGGCACTCCCGCCAAGCATATCGTTGTGGCTGGCTGCCTACCAGCCTTGCTTGCAGGCGCTTCCGCGACCTTCCACTCGCAAAATGCCCATGGACTTTTTGTCCGTAACTCTTGCCATATTTGTACATGTGTAAGAAGTTGTGTACAAATTTGATCCAGGAAGCGGAAGAAGGTAATAACTCAATTTTGGCCATTTTTCAGGAGAAACAAAAAACTGTTAGCAGGGAAAACTAAAACGAAACAAATGAATGTTGGACATGTTAATAATTTCAAAAAGCATTAGTAAAATTTTTGGAAAAAAAATCAAAAGTGTAAGGTCACTCCGTAGAGGATTTCTGCGACTTATCACTTTCCGTTGAAATGGAAAACAGAGTCAGCTCACCTTATATTTCCTAAACAAAGAGGAATTTGGAGACAAGTCAAGTGGAACAATAGTCTGCATAAAGTGTATGTTACTCTGGTGTATTTTTTGGACTTAGCTCTTTTTTCCAAATTGAAATTTAAAATTTAGGGGGGGTTAAGTTGAGTTGATTCTTTTTTCACTAGATTCATAAAAACACAAGTTGAGTTATATCCTTTTGCCAATTTGTCAAACGGACTCATGTAGACCAAGGTTGAGTTATCTCCATTTTCCAATGAAATTTGGACTGTAAAAGGGGTTAAATTGAGTTATACCCTTTTTCCAAGTGGATTTTCTCCTAAACTGCTTGGAATTCAGTCAAATAATTTGGTGTAATGATGTAAACCATTCTAAGGCACAATAATAAAATAAAAACTCAATTTGGGGATAAGTCAAGTTATTCCCTTCTTCCGCTTCCTGGATCATTTGTTCATTACCCCGAAAATGTATCGTCGTGACTTCGTGCCACTGTAACGGCATGGATCGCGCAAGGATAAAGTGTCACGCCAAAAAATTGGCATGACAGAAAGTCACTCCTTGGCGTGACTCAGAAGCCTCACTAATTTTTCCGCGTGACCACACTCTAAATTGGCATACCCTGAAACTTTTCTGTTTTCTTCTGTAGTTTTTTTTTTACAGTGTACCGGTAGTTTTAGTGTAAATAAGACAGAAACACTGTTAAAAGCATCCATCTTTATTTCAAGAAACTTTCCTATGAAGCAGTTAACATATACTTTCCAGTTGAAAAAGTAATTAAATTTTTCTTCTGCAAAGTTAAAACCAAATTTGACAAGTGATAATTTATGAGTTTCAACGTCCTTAACATTTCATTAAAATGAAGAGGGTTTAGGTGCATTTAATTTAAGGTTTTATTTTAAGAGTACAGTTCTCAGACCGAAGCACACACGGGCAGAGACACGCACACTGGTAAAACTAAAGCGTAGTATTACCCTCTGTATTCAAGCGTAATCAGTTACGCTTGAGATCAAGCGTAATTGGCTCATCCACCAAGATTCCCCTAATGCATGGGGGAATTTCAAGACTACGCTTCATTTCAAGCGTAACGTCTTCAAGCGTAACTTTATGCTTGAGTGAAGCATAGAGTTACGCTTTAGTTTTACCAGTGCACACACACAGCTTCGATCGGATCCCTAAATGTGCCCGTTCTTCGCAACTCACCGCATTAAACTACTGGGCGGACCATGAAGTGATTTCCCCGGGTATCATGAAACCGTTTTGCCCCGACAGCAGCCGCCCGCGTTCCCACAGGTGGGGCCCCAGCCGCCTCCAGTTTTCACTGGTTTGTGGCGCAGCGGTGGACATTAAAGCGCACGTGAGGCGGCACGTGCCCAAGCGGGTCGAGGAGGGGCTGGACATGACACACACACACACACACACCTACACACACACACACACTCTCTCTCTCTCTCACACTCACACACACTGACCCATGCAGCGGCGCTTGTTGACCGATATATCAAATTTGCCTTAAAAAAGGAAAAAGGAAATACACGACGGAAGTTTCCCTGGCCACAATATTGACCCACTGGTCTCGGACACTCTAAAGAACTATTTCGATGGGACGGTAGAGTACACGTATGTATGTCAGTGGTGATTTAAATTTAAAGAAAGGAAAAAAAACCTGCTGAGTAGACCTGAGACCTGCTGCACTGTGGCAAAAAGCTACGGAAAATTCTGTAAACAGCTTGTGGTAATTCTCCGTAGGCCCCTTATCAATATTCTCCGTAGGCTCTTACAGTATTTTCTGTAGGACCGCACAGTCTTCTCCGTAGGACCTTACAGTGATCTCCGTAGGACTATTCAGTCTTCGAGGTCCTACGGAGAAGACTGTGAGGACTTACAGAGAATACTGTAGGGCCCTACGGAGAATACTGTAAGAGCCTACGGAGAATATTGATAAGAGGGCTACGGAGAATACTGGCAAAAAAATTAACAGGATTTTCCGTACCTTTTTGCCACAGTGTGCAACATGTTAACACTGACTACTGATGGTAAAGGGTGAGGTGTGCACACGACACTACCAAGAAAGTGTTTTATGCATAGCTTTGCACGAAATCGCGTTTCGAAATGCACGAATTTGAGCGCAGTCTCTCTCTCTCTCTCTCTCTCTCTCTCTCTCTGAGGTGGACTCCACAGGTGGGCCACACGGCAAGGACAATTGCCACTCCCTGGACCCCTAGATAGCAGGCAAAAAGCAACACTTTGCCCCTGTAAGTAGGCAAAAATACAACTTTGACCCCCCTCCCAGGGCGTCTGTGGATCCGCCACTGCCTGCAGTGCGATTGAATGCGTTTATTTGTACATGACGGCTCCATGACGGGGTCGATGGGTGGCGGGCCGGGGCACAGTGGGCCAGAAGACCGGAGCAGGCGGCCAAAACTCTAGACGCGTGTTGAGCTGCAAAGTCGCTAAACAGGGCTCGAACCGAACGTGTGACCCTACCGATGGATTCCTCGTTCGGAGAGCAATCCATTGGTGGGGTCACACGTTCGGTTCGAGTCCCATTTAGCGACGCTGGAGCTCAAAACGAGTCTAGAGTTTGGGCCACCTCCGCCGGTCTTCTGGCACACTGTGCGGGGCGGAAGCGGCCGGCACTCGGCAGCGGCCACTAGTCCAAGGTCACGCGATCGCCACCCGCACCCCGCAGTGGAGGCGGTGCACTGGGCGCCCCCGACCTTCAGTCGCTCCAGGGGTAGCCCGTGCCACCCCGGCCGTGCACCTGCAGCTAGGTGACGACGCGCACTGAATTGTTACGGAGTGTTTTTTTTTGTGGATTGAGTTGCGCGAAACTCACAAGGGAACCTATTCAGGGGGTACACTCAGATTTCGACCAAACTTTTTTTTTCGTAAGAATAACATATAAGATTAAGAATGCACCTCAAAGCTGGTGCCAAGATATACAGTCTTCATCGGCAAAGAGTCGACCGGCAAAGAGTCGACTTTGTGCGACGGTCCCCGCTTATGCGGCGGGGGCAAGCTCGAGCCACAATGGTCTTATGCCCCCCCCCCCCCCCCCCCCCCCAGCTCGGAGCACTACCGGATCTTTTGTCTACCAACATGTGCTGTTCGGTTTTCGTGTCGGCAAAGAGTCGAAGTCCGGTCCCGATCCGTCGACTCTTTGCCGATGAAGACTGTATATCTACACCCTTTACCAATTTTTTAAAACCTAAAAAAGGGGTAAAATAAGCCTTTTTGCATTGTATGGGTCATTTTCGGACATCGAATCGGAAAATTTGAAGTCGAGTTTTTTGTCATTTCCTTCAATGTTTGGTCCCCTTGTGACGAAAATGAGAGAAAATTTTGGTCTGTTTCATATATTATCATATTTTGCACAAATTTGGTGCGACTGCCCAATTACGACCGAAAATCTGCTCGTTGCACGTAAAATCATGGGCCATTTTACCCCTTTTTTCCGTTAAAAATAGTCAGGAGGGGTGTGGATATGTATCTTGGCACCAACTTTGGGGTGCATTCTTAATCTTATATGTTATTCTTACGAAAAAAAAAGTTTGGTCGAAATCTGAGTGTACCCCCTGAATAGGTTCCCTTGTCAGCGAAGTGAAAACTTAAGTGTGTACTTACTGAATACCCACACGGATTACTGAAGTTTGTACTGAGTACAAAACGTAGAGCAGCACTTAAGGGTGCACTGACCAGGGGATCCTTAACTTACCCCATAAAGGCATCATAACGCTCTCATTCTAGGAACGTAACATCACGTTAAAACTAAAGTGACGAAATGTCACGTTCGTTTGAGCATTGTGTCACGTTCGTCGATGTGGACCGGTCATAAATTAGCTTATTCACATTCATATGAATGTGACACAATGCTCCAACGAACGTGACATTTTGTCTTTTACGTGCTTGGCTACGCCCAAATCCTTGCTGCTACCAAACTTAACAACAAAAGTGTTGTTACATTTCAACAGTTTTGTTTGACAGTGTGCCATGGTGGCTTTGCCACTGCAGAGTGCTGTGCGACAAACGATCGGCGAGTTTTCCGAAAACAGTTCCATCCACGGGGTGCGCTACATCGGTGAGCATGGTCGGCGTTGGATCGAGAGGTTAGTGGACCCTACATGCTAAAGCCTTCACTCTCAGAGCCAAATTGATTTTTTGTTCATAGCACCAGCACAATATTTCCTAAGCAGCATATGAATTTTTTTACGCAACAATAATACTTAGAAATTTGTCCATATACCACGAATAAGAAGCTTTCATAAGTTTCATGGTAGCACGATTTCATTGACAATATTTTTGGTTCTATCAGTTTTAACACTTTTGTCTTAGTCCCAGAAGATCTCAAATATTGTCAATTGGGGCCTCCGTGCTTCTTTTAAATAATAACTACACTGGTAGCCAAGGAATGTGACGTCACGTTCGTTTTCACGTGAAAACGGCGATGTTAGTTTGAGCGTGACAAACGGTGAAAATTTACTGTCAAACGAATGTGACAGACCGCACCGCTTTGTCACATTACTTCGGGTGTGACACGCAATCAGCTGTCGAACTGTCACATTAAAACGAATGTGACACATGGTACCCAAGTACACATGTCGTGTCACATCCAAACGAATGTGACACCCATGTACTGTCACATTCGTTTGAATGCGACATCCCACTTTGTCACATTGAAACGAACGTGACACCCCTTAAGGGGAGGTTCTACTGAAAATATTGCATTTTTCAAATTGAGACCCAGTGTAAAAATTTGTTGCAGATGTATAGTAATACATAGTTTATAGTCAAACATGAAATTTAGAGCCCAATACCTCCCTCCAAATCCAGTCGAAGAGGTTTTTTCAGCCTATTGTAGCAATATCTTAAAAAATTCTCCTACGCAAAGTATTTCAACGTAAACTGATGTTCTGGACATTTTTCACTTCTTTGGCTCATATGCAATAAAGCGTGGCATCACCAAGACATGGGACCCAACAAATTTATTTTGGCGTTGCTTTTCAGAAAAAAAGTCACTAAAATATCAGAAATTTTAACATTTTCTTGAAATTTTATTGACATGCTGTCTTAAAAACACAGCTTATGGTTTTGTAATGGTCCCAGTATCTTACTAATGCCACGGTTTATCAATTATGAACCAAAGAAGTGAAAAATGCCCAGAACATCAGTTTACGTTAAAAAACTTTGCGTAGGAGAATTTTTTAAGTTACGACTGGAAATAGCAGAAAATTCCTCTTCGACTGGGTTGGGGGCTAGGTATTGCTCTCCAAACTTCAAATTTAACTATTTACTATGAAATACTTTAAATTTAAAATGAATATTGATAATGGGACTCAATTTGAAGAAAGTAAGATTTTCAGTAGAACCTCCCCTTAATCTGACAATCATGGCGTGTCACATTCAAACAAATGTGACAAAGTGGGCATGTCACATTCAAACGAATGTGACAGTACAACGATGTCACATTGGTTTGGATATGACACGACATGTGTACTTGGGTACCATGTGTCACATTCGTTTTAATGTGGCAGTTCGACAGCTGATTGCGTGTCACACCAGAATTAATGTGACAAAGCGGTGCGTCACATTTGTTTGACTGTAAATTTTCACCGTTTGTCACGCTCAAACTAACATCGCCGTTTTCACGTGAAAACAAACGTGACGTCACATTCCTTGGCACCAGTGTAGTGACAGATTTTTGTTGGTAAGGCTAAGATACAAAATGTCAATACGTTATAAACAGATTTTTATCAGTAAGATATCTAAAAAATTGTTCATAAATGACATGGGAATAATTTTTGGGTAAAAGTACCGACAAAAATGTCAGTATAGCTTCGAGAGTGTTCTACATAGCATACATGTACTGTATCAAGGTCTCATTTGTCATGCTGACACTAACCATGTACTGCGTACTCATTGCGTATGGGTTGAGAGTATTGGAAATTGTCAATTTTCTTTGAATGTTCTGGTCTTTTCCGCAACACGCCGTTCCAACTTTGTAACATTTTTCTGCGAATTGTGCTGCAGGCTCTTGTGGATAGTGACGGAGGTCGTCTGCTTGGCGGGAGCCGTGTACATGATGCTGTACCTGCTGTACAAGTTCCAAGGCAACCCCACCATGACGCGGGTGGAGTCTGCTTTCTACGAAGTGGCAAACGTCCCCTTCCCCGCAGTCACCGTCTGCAACGCCAACCGCATATTTCACTCCAAGGCGCGCAGACTGGTGGACAGAATGTAACTACATCCACCCCACAGTGGGCCAGAAGACCGGTGGAGGCGGCAAAAATTCCACATGCGTTTTGAGCTGCAGAGTCGCTAATTTCGACTCAAGAGCGTTTCTCACGTTTCGGGGTAGTTTTGGCGTCTCTGATTTGCCGAAAGTGAGAAATATCCAATTAAGTTTTTCTGATTATTGGGGTCCAGGATGATACTAGAGTTATGGCAATGGTATTTATAGTAAAGACCTTGTACTACCTTCCTAAAAACATGAGCCATAAGGTATCCCCATACGTTTTAGTGGGTGTTTTGATCACGGAAATTACGTTATCACGGAAGTTACAAAGTGTGAAAATCGGCTTTAACGACTGACTCGGGCTTGCTGTGGCTTAAAAGTTGTTCCAGGGTCAAATGATACTCTAAGCCCGACATTTAAGCGGAAAATTTTTTCACCTAGTGCTGCTGCAACATTGGGTAAAGGGTGCCACGGAAGTTACAGGTAATTGTTGATACACGCCATTTTATAATGCTCTAGCCCGCTTTGAGACCGTGTACAGCATCTTAGATTTCCGCGACCCATGCAATTATATCCCAGGGACTCCACTTTGATGGCTTGTGTCATGGAAAGTTAAAAGTTTGGCTTGGGGAGAAGTCCAGAGCTGCCTTTTCGAAATTAGTGTAGTGAAATTGACTATACGGAGGACATTTTTCGTTGCAGCATAAGTACCTTTGAAAGAAGTCTGGCGTATTGGTCTTCGGTTGAAATTAGCTCGAGACATGCCAAGCTTCGAATCCCCATCGACAGTTGGCAGCATTTTCGAACCCCACCGCCACACTGGGGGCGGGAAGTTCGAGTATGTTCTCTTTGGACAATCACGGAAGTTACATTTGGGGTATTCCAAACGCTACGTAGACCAATCCAACGAACGTGAACTATTCGAAATGTGTGCGTTTAGTGGGCAATGGCCCTCCCTAACATCAGAAACAAACCCCATGTCGATATCTGCGCTCGTTTGGGCACAGGAGTCAGAAGAAACGAAACTACCCCGAAACGTGAGAATCGCTCTCAAACTGAACGTGTGACCCCCACCAACGGGTTCCTCGTTCGGAGAGCAATCCATTGGTGGTCACACGTTCGGTTCGAGTCCCATTTAGCGACTCCGGAGCTCAAAACGCGTCTGGAATTTATGCCGCCTGCACCGATCTTTTGGCCCACTGTGCACCCCAAAGTTTGACTGAACCTTGGAGATCCCCTTGATCGAAGTATTCGAACTTCACTATTGCAGTAAGATCCCGGAGTCGCTCATGATGTCACAGCACGACGTTATGCGACTCCTGCCCTTGCTCGGGCAGTTGCTGTCTTCAGCCGAGTTGGGGAAGAATATTGCGGGCCGAGCGCGCCTGGACACCATCCTCAAGTACAACAACCTGACACCAGAAGCAGTGCTCAAGGAGGTTTGTCAGAATTTCTCAGGGATCCTTAACTTACCTTAAAAGGGCATCATCGTAAGCGTCAAAGTTATAACCCGTAACTTCTGATTTCTTTTGAAAAGGATGAGGTATTATTCTGTCTTCTTGTATTTGTATTTGGAAGTGGTTGTGACAGTCTATACCCTTAACCTTTATCGAACACCGTCGTATGTTAAGCAGGGTATGTTAAATGTTATGTAAAGTTAAAAATCCCTGGAATTTCTAGTCACCAGATGACCAAATAGCATAACATTTTTAGCACTTTCACGGTAAAAGCAGTTCCTGAGATTCCCAGACCCACCCTGGATAAAGGGGTCTGTAGTTGCTAGGAGCCGCCTGAAAATCCCTGGCTCTGCTTTTGCTGTGTTCAAATTGCTCAAATTCTCACTGGGTATTAACGTGAGGGAGGAAACCTTTACGAGATTTTTCCTGCATATGATGCGTGTTTTTCGGTGTTTTCACTTAACTTAATTTTTAGGTAAGGTGGGAGTTTTGAGAAGGGCAATCATCCTAATGCACCCTAAACTTTAAGCTCTTTCCATCTGTGCAAAAAGCGTTTTGAAAAAGACAGTCCAGTTTTCATAATCTCGAAGAAGTGCGCAACCTCTGTCTGCACTGACGGCGCGAGCATCGCTTCACGCTCTCCCTAGGCAGTTGCCACCCCCTGTTCGTGACCTGGCGTGGGGTTTGTGGGACCGACTTTTGAACGTTATGTAGCAAATGGAATGAAACGGCAGTGCATGGCTGTTCAGGTGGGGCAGACGTGCTCTGAGCTGCTCGAGCGGTGCAGCTGGGAGGGCCATGCGGTGGAGTGCGCGACCATCTTCTCCACGACCATGACCTTTCTGGGCTTCTGCTGCTCCTTCAACTCGGATGTGGACTTCTCGTAAGTGCGCTCAAAATGTATTTGTACATGTTTGTGCGTAGTTTCACAGTTTTACACCGTTCAAAATTGTTCTACCGAAACAACGGGGAAAAGAAACTCTTTCTCACCCAAATTTGGGCGGTAAAGAATTCCCCACCTAAAGTTTTAGTCCTGATCATTACTCTTTCATTCTCAAAGTTGGATAGGTGGTAGAGGAGGCAACCCTGTAACCGACCGACCTCTTGTTTCGTCATTTCCAGCCTAGCTGTGCAGCCATCAAAGCCCAAAAGTTCTCCTTTGAAGACTCCTTTCTTCGGATACCCTCTTGGGCTGACTGTGCTGTTGCACGCAAACACGGAAGACTACTACTGGGGCCCGTTCGCCTCTGGAGGCGTGCTGGTGAGAACACTGTTAAAAATCCTCCGTTCTCAAACAGAGCGGTTCAGCCGTAAGCAGCCAAAATACTTTTGCTTGTTGCCGGGAAACGAGGAATATTTGGTCTAACCTGAGAGTGTCATATGATATACAACATGTCGGATGACCATTTCGAATTGTAATGCCGTCAGTAACTGAAACCAGTTCGGTGAAAATCACGAGCAAAGGCAGGAATGACTTGCACCATTTTCAAACGGAAAAAGTAACGCAAATTTTTAAAACAATGCCTACCGTTAATGGAAATAACAGAAAAGGGCGTTGTGCGAATGATGTTTTTTCGTTTGTGAACACGTAATTTCTGTTTCCAAACAGATTTTTGTTTTGGAAGCGCATTTTTTATTACCAAATGGTAAAATTTTGTTCTAGAATTATTGTTTTTTGTTTTAAAACAGAGATTTGTCGTTTGAGAACATCAGTAGTCGTTTTTAAACTTTGCACGAATTTTCCGTTCTAAAACGGCTGGATTTCTAACAGTGAACCGTTTTGCCTGCGAAGTACACACTGCAGGGGAATCGGGGAATGTGACGTCAAGTTCGCCTAAACGTGAATCGTGTCACGTTCGTTTGAATACCCAGTAACATTCGTTTGAACGCGAATCAGCTGGGCCCGGATCTGGATGCGGCCGGATTCACGTTCAAACGAATGAGGCACAGTACTTATTCAAACGAACGTGACACGATTCACGTTCAAACGAACGTGACGTCATATTCCCCGATTCCCAGTGCAGCTCCACTCTCATTCCAGCATATGTGTCCCCTTTGCAGTGTGCTGTGCACGACAGCGGCGAGATGACGACGGAGCGCACCCCGCAGTCCATGATCTCCATCGGCAGGGAGTCCATGGTGCAGGTCAAGGAGAAATAACGCCAGCCAAATTTTTACACCAAAATTCATCAACCTTGTGAAATTCGTTGAAATTCATCAAAATGTGTTAAATTCATCGAAATTCTTCTCGAAATTCAGTAGTTTTTGCCTGAAATTAATTGGAATTCAACTGAAGTCCATCCGATTTGTACACTGAAATTCACAGTGATTTCCCCTTGGTGCAGGTGGTGCCCTCGACGCGCAACGCGTCGCCCTCGCTGCGTGACGTCACGCCGCAGCGACGCCGCTGCCTGTTCGAAGACGAGAACCCCGTGTCGGACTCGGAGCCCTACAGCTACGACACGTGCGCCACGGAGTGCGAGGCCAACAGGGTGTGGAAGGCCTGCCGGTGCCGGCCGCTCAACTTCCCGCGCATGGCGGGGCCTCGAGGTGAGTGCACACTAAATGTTATGTACAATTTTGTACGAGACATCACAGTTTTTTGTGCCCACGAAATTTTCTTACCTTTCGTACGAAAAACTGCACATTTTTCGCCATTTTTGTACAAAATTGTATCAAATTTTGTACAAATTTGGACACAAAATGTGTACAAAAATATTTAGTGTGTGTTGCCCCATAAAGCAGTCACTGCACAGTTGGCCAGAGGGTAGAGACGGCCAAAATTCTTGGTGCGTTTTGAGCTCCAGAGTCGCTAAATGAGACTCGAACCGAACGTGCGAACCCACCAATGGACTGCTCTCCGAATGAGGAATCCATTGGTGGGTTCACACGTTCGGTTCGAGTTCCATTTAGCTACTCTGGAGCTCATAACGCGTCTAGAATTTTGGCCGCCTCCACCGGTCTTTGTGGCCCACTGTGTACTGGTTTCCACGATGCACCAGTGTCGTAAAAGTGTCTCAGCCTAACCTAAGCCTGCCTTCGAGGCCTCGTCACATAGAAGCCAAAGGTGTTGCCTAATAGGCAGGCTTAAGTTCGTAACCTTTTCGACTCTGGTGCATCGAGAGATTTTTTTCCTACATGTGTAACAGTAACTATTCACCCTAGTTTCTCACTGTGCGAAAAAACCACAGTGAATCCCGTTAATTTTTTTGCCGGGATTTACTGTAGTTTAGAACACAGGATCTACTGTGCCTGGCGACAGTATTTACTGTACCTGGTACATGATATTCCGTACTCCACTCCTGTGGTACAGTAAATCCCGTACAAAATACAGTAGATCCTGTCAAAAAAGTACAGTAAATCCTGTACTCTGAACTACAGTGACAGCTGTACTTATCACTACAGGATTTACTGTGATTTTTTCCCACAGTGCTCTTAGTGTTATTAATTGTACCGCGTTCATTTTTTTTCTTGTTGATTTTCATGACAGGGACATTGTGCGGTCTTGACAAGTTGCCGTGTCTTGCTAAATACAATGGTAAGCATTTTATGTAAAGGAGAAAGACGCTGTCAGTGGCACATAGTGACAGAACGGGTTTTCAGAGAACCGTTGGAAAAGTGTGTTAAGGACAGAGGTAGAATAAACTCAGTTTTCAGCCCTTAAATCATTTTTAAAAAAATGAGATACACGGTACTTTGAACAGAATAGACACAATTTTGTGGAATCGTTGTACGAATTATGCTGTCAATACTGCTCTGAAAACAAGTTAATACTCCGGACGGTTTTCATGTCCTAGCTGGACCAATAATATCATTTTCTCAGTAGCTGCACGAAGGGCACTTCTTCGAGTGTATTTGGGATTTCACAAAGTGACATGAAACTTTCTTTCCATGCATTGCAGAAGAGGAACACGACGCCATGGTAAAAAATCAAGTCAAGGGAGATCAGCTTCCCTCGAACCCAGGCGATGGTAAGCATACATTAGTAATGTGAAAACGGGGATGACTTTTGAAACAAAGGACTCCTAGGCATTGTCCTAAAAAAATGCAACTGTCTATTAAAAATGAACAGAAATAAGAAACAATTTAAAGCAGGACACCAAAGTTGATGCAAGTGATAAGTGTCGAACATATTCGTCCGAAATTGTCCTTCCCGCCAGTTCTTTGACAAGAATACTCTTTAAAGTATTGTTCACGCTCAATTCAACGCACGACACGCACGGTAAAAATAATTCCTGGTTTTCCCAGGAACCACCACCTTTGTCTTTACCATGGGCTTCCTGGGAAAACCAGGTACCGTTTTTACCGTGCGGTCAGTTCTAAAAGTCACCCCTGTTCTGGTTCTTTCGAAAGAGAACTCCCATTTGAACGATCAACTGATGCTTACAATTTGAAGCGGACCAGTTGTCGGAGGACATTACCCAAGCCTGCGGTTGCATGGCGCAGTGCAACTCCGTGGACTACGCCATCGAGACGACAACGGCCAACTTCGGCTCGGCGGGGAGCGTCCGCCGCAACTTCTAGTGAGCCTACAGTATTAGTTGTGTTCGCAGGGATCCTTAACTCAACATTTATCTAACACTGCTTTAATGACGTAACACAAGACAATGTTCGTTAAGGGTACACTGTAGAAAAAATCCACGGGAAAAGGTACACACTACAAATCCAAAGGTCAGACTTCTCGCCACACCAGAGGCGAGACATAAAAGTCTCGCCAAGTTTTGGTCAGACCTGAAAGTCTGACCAAAATTTGGTCAGACAAAAAAGTCTGACCACAAAACGGTCAGACACTAAAGTCTTACCACAAAATTCAAGGAATAAGTTGACAGAATTTCAGCCATCAAACGGCATACAGGACATGAGCCCCGTCCCGTTTGAGCCCCGATGGTCTGAGCCCCGATGGTCTGAGCCCCGACCTGAGCCCAAACCTGAAACAGGGTTGAGCCCCGACTTGAGTCCCGACCCAAGCCCCAATTTTCAGAGCCCGGATTGAGCCCCGACCTGAGCCCCGTTTGAGCCCCGTTTGAGACCTATTTGAGCCCCATTTAAGTCCCGCGGCCTGAAATCACGCATTTTTTGCATAATTTATTGCCGCGGGGCTCACGCGGGGCTCAAATGGGGCTCAATCCGGGCTCTGGAAATTGGGGCTTGGGTCGGGACTCAAGTCGGGGCTAACCCTGTTTTAGGTTGGGGCTCAGGTCGGGGCTCAGACCATCGCACTGTTAGAAATTAGCTCCGAAATTTTATGGAGAAAAACCCTATAATCACGTTCATGGAGACTCCATTCATTTTCCATTTTTTTTCGGAGAGATTTTCTCAGGGCTTATACAGATGTTCTTCGGAGCATTCCTTGGGTCCAGATAGGAGGTAAAATGCAAGTCTTTTCTCAGATATATTAAAGAGGACTTCGCTGAAGCATTTTTTTGGTCTGAAATGGTCAAAGAAGGGACAACCTCATTCGAGCTCATTTGACTTATATCCTGTAGCTTTCCCTTAATATTATGAAAACTGAGCTCAAGAAGTAGGGGTTCACCCTTCTTCCCTCAACTTTTAACTGGTTGCAAACCTTTTTTTCGTGTTTTTGTGATAGTGCAGCATGCATTTTTGTTCAAAATTCCGAAATTTTTCGGAGAAAGCCCAGAATTTGCATTTATGGAGAGCTCATGCAGAAGTTTCGGAAAAACTCCATGATTTTTCCATTTATTTTCGGAATTTTCTGACAGTGCGGGGCTCAAACGGGACGGGGCTCATGTCCTGTATGCCATTGTTTCTGGCATTCTGGCAAAATTTACTAGTGTGACATGAGTGGCGACTGCACAGCCTTTTCTCAAGTCAAACTGGGTTTGCCTGTCAGCAAAAACCTGAACGCAACCGACCGCTGTCTCTTGCACGTGTACTTCGACACCCATACGTCCGTCTTGTTGGTCAACGACCTGGTCAGCAACACAGTGCAGCTCATGTGTGAGTACGGCGTCGACAAAGTTTTCTCTTCCTAACTTTTTCCATATTTGTGCAGATGTGCACATTTCAACATAAATTACACTACAAACCTAATTGTCTACTAAGTACACACTTACCAATGCATGCTTGCAAGTACACACTTACAAACGCATGCTTTCCGCCGCATAACTCCATGCGTCAAGCATGCATTTGTAAGAGTGTACTTGGCCAAGCATGCGTTGGTAAGTGTGTACGTGTACTTGCAAGCATGCATTTGTAAGTGTGTACTTAGTAGACAGTTAGGTTTGTAGTACAACTATCAAAAGTAGTTCCGTGGCATCAGCGGTTCATTACATGACAGTTTT